ACGGGGCGCTGCTGCTAGGCGCAGCTCGCACGGCACCGGGGCGCCAGGCCCCACGTTCCCAAGTGCAGCGTGGTGGCCTTGCGCCGCCGCCTTCTGGGGTGCGAACTGCAGAGATGAGGGTATTGCCTGGTGTCCAGGTAGATTGGGGGTAGCCAGGTGGATTGAGCCCGCTTGTTCCCTTCTCTTCTGCCACGCGGTCAGATGCGTGGGTTATTACTCACCCCCCCACCCCCAGCAGTTTCCAATTTGTTACCTTGATTAGCGCTCCTACCTTTCAGTTGAAATGAAGCAGAGTGAAATGTATGTGCCTACCTTTTGGTGGGGAATATTAGAGGAAGTTGTTGGAAGGTGCCGCTGTAGTGTGCGGACTTGAAGAGGGTTACAGTTGCCAAATCTGGAAGCTGTGGCGTCTGCCAGTGAGAAATTCATTCAAATTTCGCTTATCAGATTGTCTTTGGGCCCCACCCCCCGGGGTTAGTGATTATATAAGGTTTGACATTTTTAAAAAAGACATTCTGCTGGGAAAGGTGATTAAGTCAACGATACCGTAAATTCGTGAAATCATAAGGTAGTGCAAAGAGTTCAACAACCATCGTGTTTTAACTTGTTCTTCCAATACAAAGTGCTGAGAGCTTATTTTCCTAAGAACTTTCTGGACCCTGTCCCCATTTTTCTTCACTTGCAGTAAAAAGAAAAAAAAATTTTTTTTTTGTTTTTGTTTTCATTAGAGGTACCGTGGGTTTTGGCCTGAATTGAAGTTACTAGGTCCTCTGTGCCCAGCAGAAAGACAGATTCTGTTCTTCACTATCAAAAGTTTTTCTTTGCTTAGCCTCTTGATTGTTCTTTGTTATAGTTTTCTGCCGCTTAGAATCGGTAACCCAGAGGCCCACTAAAGCTGTATTCTGTTCTACTGAGCCTTCAGGAGCCACACATTTTGAATATAATCCCTAGTCTTTATCTTATGATGAGAGTCATTAGAAGTTGGGAGTGAGGTGGGTGGAGAAAATTGTGACGGTGTTAACTTCTGGGAGACAAAATGATAAAGCTACAAATGCTTTTCTCAGAGTATCTGAGAAAATTAAAGGTATTTTTTTTTAATGTTGAAAAATTGATGAACTAAGTATTTTGGAAGAGGAAGACGCATGTAGCTCCATGCTAAGTGTTATTTTTAAACCCCTAAGTGTTTTTCATCATCATTCTTTTGGTTGCTTCCAGGGATTATCTTGAACACATAACAGCCATTGGCCCCAGGACTACAGGAAGTCCAGAAAATGAAATTCTGACGGTGCACTACCTTTTGGAACAGATCAAACTCATTGAAATTCAAAGCAGCAGCCTTCACAAGATTTCAGTAGATGTACAGCGGCCCACAGGCTCCTTTAGCATTGACTTCTTGGGAGGTTTTACAAGCTACTATGACAATATCACCAATGTTGTGGTAAAGCTGGAACCCAGAAATGGAGCCCAGCATGCTGTCCTGGCTAACTGCCATTTTGACTCAGTTCCAAGTTCACCAGGTGTGTATTTGTTTTGCAGTCATTTTAAGTTTTTGAAATACAGAAAGTTTATTATGATAACCCCAAGCTCCTTGAGCACTTGTGCGGACCATTTTTATGGTTAAACTTTTTTTGTCTGTTGGAAGGCAGGATAATTAGTATTGGTACTGAATCTAATCATTTTCTTAAATGCTTTATTGTCATTATTTGTAACATAATACCAGCAGCCCAGTGACAATACTTGACATGTTTCTGATGTTGCCTTATCAGTGTTAACAAGAGTGTGTGTGGCCTGTGTCTTGGAATCAGATTCTGCTGCTTCACATGTTTATGCGGCTAATTGTAGTAGTTGGCTTTCGGGACCCTGGATAAAGGACAGTCTGTGACTTTAAGTGATGCACAGTTTGGAGGACAGCACTGCTAGTATATTTGTTGACCTGTGGAGTGAGAATTTTGGTCCACTGGGAGGAAGTGTGGCATATTGTTAGAGAGCAACTTAAATTCTTGCTCTGAAAAAATACAGGCAAAATAGAATGTAGTACTTGATGCTTAAGACGGTGCCTAATAATCATAATTGTCAAATGAATGAGAATCCCCAAAATTCCACTTATAAAGACAAGATTCCTCAAGAAAATGTTTTCAGTAGTTAAAGTAGATAAGGTAAGGAGGTGAGTAGTAAAGAGCCTTTTGCAATGGTATTGTAGCTGGCATATTTGACACTGGAATAAATTTAGCTGATCACTATTGATGAGAGATGGAATTGGATCAAATGCTAGGTGTCTTCCCTTGACCATTCTTACAGCTGCATTTGGAAGGAAGGAAAAGTTGTAGAGTCTAGCTAATACCCTTTTTGGCAGATTTCTTAATGGAGGGATCCCTCAGTTTCTTATCTATTAAATGGAAATGTAATAGTAATTTCCTAATAGTATTGCTCACCTAGAGGTGAGCACCTGTAGGGAAAGTCTACCATTTTTTCCTTTGCTATTGATTTTAAAATTAATGCTTTTAGATTACTTGATTTTTTTAGCAGCTCCACTATAGTTACATAAAATATGAAATTTATTTGCTTGATAAAATAATTCAGATCAGAATTATCTTTAATTAGATGATTACATTTAGATTATACTTTGCTTTTTCAATAGTTAATATGCACACATTTGTTATATAAAGGCAGAAGTATCTTTGTGTATTCTGAGGAAACCAATGGTATTTGTGCCCACTTCAAAGAAATAATAAAACAAATGTCATCCCACTTAATAGCATTATTAGTATGATGCTCAAATTCTGGGAAGGCACAAGTAAATACCATGGTTACTAATGAACAACTATGTAAGATGCATATAACAGAAATTGGTGAGGAAGAAAAAATAATTTTTCCTATACTTCTCATAATTTTTAGATGGTATACACTGCTAAATTATGAAAAGGTTGATTAATGAGAAAAAGTTAATTGCTGTATATATCTCATGTACACATGGACGATATGCAGGGAAAGTGATTCAGTGTCAGAGATGTATAGCATCTAGTTTGTGTAGCATCTTCAACAAAGAGCAGTGTCCTTTTGGAGAGGTGCCAAGAGGGAGAAAAAGGATTTTGAGTCTCTGTGGGAAGCAGGTTGAGAGAAGACAGATACAGTATATAGTAAATGAAGGCTCGTTAGTAAAGTCATCTAGAGGACAGATTTTCTCTGATGCTGTCTGAAGAATAAGAAGGGTCTACAGTTGTCTTTGGTGTTCAATCTTGCCCCTCCTGGTAGAGGGAGCAGGCCAGATGGTTTTTCTTGTACTGTCTACTTCTCAGTTGCCTTTAGCTCCAAATAATCCATGTTTTGGGATGACAAATTTGGCTCCCCTTTGTAAGCACAGTGCCAGATTGGAATCCATTAATTAAACAGTGGCATTCTTATGATCCATTAGAACCCATTTTTACATAAAATTTTATAGGAACGCCTATATCAACAATGTCAAGGAAATTTCTGTAGTTTTTAAAAATAATCTTTTAAAAAGAAGAAGCAAGATATATCATGAACAGGTATGAATTCTCTATGACAAATGTCATCAATATGTATATCTAAAATGTATCAGTAAAATAAAAACAAAAAAATAATCTTTTACATGTTCATCAGATAGGCTATCACCCAAATCCTTTTAATGGATGATCTCATTGAAGCATGAGTTTTCTCTCTTTTCCTCTTTCTTTCTGTGATGCTGGGGTTTGTATGTTTTGGGGTTTTTTTGAGACAGGGTCTCACTGTGTAGTTCAGGCTGGCTTCAAACTCAGAATCCTCTTGCCTCAAGTCTCCCAAGTGCTTAGGTTACAGGTATGCACCACAATACCTGGCTTAATGCTGGGGTTCGAACCAGGGGCTTGTGCATGTTAGGTAATAACTCTGCTGTTGAGCTACACCCCCACCCCCATGACTATTGTTTTAAAAGTTCTTCTCGGCAGTGTACCTGGAACTCAGGAACTGACACCAGTTTAGAGTAATATCACCCACAGAAAGGCCTTAATTATCTTCTTGGGTCTGTTGTATAGTTCTCCAGGTCAGTGATAGAAGAGACAGAGTTATTTTGGGGGTGGCTTCAATTTCAGTGTTAATTCTAAATGAAAAGGGTGGTTGGTTAATGATCCAACCTGTTTAGATACTGTGCTGTCTTCTTTCTTTCACTTTGTTAAAGGTACTTCACCTTTCTTTAGTTCTCTTGTAAGTCAGCAGAAGTATTAGTATAGGGGAAAGTAAATAGTTTTAACTTGTTAAAAGTAATCCTATAAAGGTAGATACCTTTAAATTTCCCTTTTACTTTGAATAAAGAAAAATTTTGTTTGCTTTTTACTTTCAAGTAATTCACAAAGTAAAAAAGTTTATATCATTTGGTTTCTGGAAAGTAGCACTATTTACTGTATATGTCTTGCTTGATAGTAGATAACTTATTTGTGTTTCATTTTAACTAAAATACAATCCATTAATCCCCAATAAGATAGTGTTTCTTCTTCTTCTTCTTCTTTTTTTTTTTTTGAGACAGGGTCTCACTATGTAGGTGAGACTGACCTGGAACTCACTATGTAACCCAGGCTGGTCTTGAACTCACAGTGATTCTCCTGCTGGGATTACAGGCGTGCACCACCAGGCCCTGCTCAGTATTTCTTCTTGAGTAGGAATAGCACCTGGAATTTAACAAAGCCTGAACAAGCATTTTATTTAGCTGCCTACAGGACCTTCTTTCAGTTTATAAAGAGAAGGAAAAATGAACGTTGAGTGCTTCCTAGGTGTTGGGCATTGGGTGTTATTTTGTGTAATCTTTGCAACAAACCTGTGAGGTGGCTTTCATTAGTTTGCTTTATAGTGGAGGAAATAATGGAGGAAAGCAGTGGAATTAATGTTTATTTCTAAGTCTTTCCTGTTTTATAATACCCACTAAGTTCCATAGTACCCTGCCTCCTGATATGTAGGCCCAGAAATGCCATTGCCTGAGTTATAATAGTATTTATTTTGAATCCTCTTTAAATTTATTGTGGAGGATTATAGATGTATAGAAAAAAGTTTAAATGCATCTGTCACCGAGGTTCAACAGTTCAATCCTGTTTTCTATCTCAGCCCCTCCACTCCTTGATTATTTTGAAGTAGAGCTTAGCTGTGATGGTTCCTGGGTAACTATTTCAGTCTACATTGCTGAAAGAGAGTCATCCTTTTTGACATGTTAATACTTTGAGTTATTGCACCTATACAACCAAACATTAAATTGGAGATGAAGCTCAGTTGTACAGTGTTTGCCTAGCATACAGTGGGCCCTGAGTTTGATCTCCAGCACTATAAAACATCCTCCCCTCCTCCTGAAAAACTTAATAATTCCTGAGTATCATTGAATAGCTAGTCAATTCCTTTCCCTCTTGTAGTACTTTTAAAAAAATCAAGGCACTAGAGTCCTCTTTATTTATCTGTTAATTAGCATACAGACTTCTGAATTTGAGGGTAGGAGATATGACTAAGGACTTAGGGATACAATTTAGGTCATTAGTCTCCTTTCCTGTGTCTTACTAGATAGTTGTATTCTTTGTACTTTTTCATCATGTGATTCCCTTGGAAAAACATTAAAAATCCTATACTGTCCAAACTGACCTCTCTGTCATATGGAATTATCTATAGCTTTTATGATTTTTTTTTTTTTGTACATGGAGATTGAACTCAGGACCTTACAGTTGCGAAGCAGGTGGTGGAACCACTGAGCTAAGTCCTCGGCCTGCTTTTATGATTTTTATAAGAAAACAAATAAAAGTGGGTGGGTTGGAGATGGAGAAAGCCGTGTGTTCTAGAAGTGAGTTTAATACAGAGGATATTAATAGGGATAAAGGATGACAGATGGCCTGAGAATGCCAGATTTTAGTATGACTTTGTGTCTCATTTGGTTAATTTTGTTCAGCAGATATCGAGTGACTTCATTGAGCCAGGCACAGGTCTAGGCCCTGGTTATAAGTCAGTGAGCAAACCTGACAAAGAACTTTGTGAGGCTTATCCCCAGTGGGGTTGTAATTGTCACCTGATGATTACAGAGCTGTGCTCCTGGTCATGTGGCTGTTGTGATGCTTCTCTGAGACAATACCACCATTGTTAGCCAAAATGATTCATAATATAAAGACTTTGAAATCTGAGTAGCAAATATTTTTTTTCTGCTTTTAAGGTGCCAGTGATGATGCAGTTAGTTGTTCAGTGATGCTGGAAGTCCTTCGAGTGTTATCAACATCTTCTGAAGCTTTACAGCATGCTGTGGTATTTCTCTTCAATGGTGCTGAGGAAAATGTCTTGCAAGTGAGATTTTACTAATCTGAGTAATAATGATGATAATAATAGCTAACAGTGCAGTTTTAGTCATGAGTAGTATCAAAATGATATGCAAAGAACTATTTTATCTTGCATTATTAAAAACAATCCATTAATGTAGACATGTTTAGTATTTGAAACAACTCACCTCAGAACAGGTCATCCTGGCAGTGGCAGTGTTAGATTCTTTTTTTCTTCCTCTTTTTTATGGTACTGGAGTTTGAACCTATGGCTCTTGCACTGAGTTATATCCCAGTTGCTGAATTGTCCAGGCTGGACTTGACCTTGCAGTCCTCTTGCTTTGTCCTGCCTGAGTGCTAGGATTATAGGTGTGCACCACACCTGACTTGCACTGATTTTTTTTTTTTTTTATTGAGTTTATTGGTACATTTTAGGGATTACAGTACAGTTACATTCATTGTTGGAATCATGTACCTTTACATGGCAAGTCTTGATTCTCATTTTTTTCCCCTTACCTCTGCCCTCCCTTCACCCCCTCCTCCCCTCCCCATCTACAAACACTTTATTTTCATCTTTTCATTCTCTCACATTTTTTTCTTTTCCCTTTTTGTTCTTCCCCTACGTATCACACCTTCCCTACACCTTTAGCTCCTTTCCTCCCATTTCTAAATGTCAGTAATCTTATTAGAATCTTATGCATTGTTGCAGAATATTCACACCAGGGAAACTATTTGGTATTTACACATGTGGGACTTATTTATTTCACTTAGGAGTATATCTTCAATATGTATCCATTTTCCTATGAATGAATCTATTCTCTCGCTCTTTATGGCTGAGTAATATTCCATTTTATAGAAAAACCACAACTTCTTTATCCAGTTTCCAACGGATGGGCAAATAGGTTGTTTCCAAGATTTAGCTATTACAAACTGTGCCGCTATAAACATGGGTGCACATACTTCTCTGTGATATGATTCTTTTAGTTCTCTTGGAAAGATATCCAACAGAGGGATGGCTGGGTGCACTGATTTTTTTACTCTGTTGTTCCAGAGATGTTTTTAGGCAGGCACACAGCAGGCAAGCTCAGCCAAATGGGCTGTGTCTTCTCTGTTCTCTTCTCTTTGCTCTTTCACACAGCGTCATACTTACCAAGAATGTTGTTTAGCACCAGTCATAGTAATCAGGTTACCTCTGGTAGATGACTTTTCACTGAGCAACCTGCACATAGTTATCATGCATAGAAATACAAATATCTTTAAGAAATGATTATTTTGTTTTCATATTCTTTTTATTATATGAAAAGTGTGAATGGTTTTAAGATTGTTTCTCTCTTTCTTCTTAAGGCTAGTCATGGTTTCATTACTCAGCATCCATGGGCCAACTTGATTCGTGCATTTATTAACCTGGAGGCAGCAGGTGTAGGAGGGAAAGAACTTGTGTTCCAGACAGGTATGTGAGACTGTGCCCTGTATATTTTAATGCAGTTCTGGTTTGTATGAAAGTGGGAAGTTTCTGAACTTGAATCCCTTTAACTAGCAATCTCTTGAGTGAGCATTCTTTTTAAGACATGAAGTGATTTCAATTTGTCTTTATTAAAAATTTTTAGCTAATAATATTAATAGCACATAACACTTATATGGTGCTTATGTGCCGAGTGTTATTCAAAACATCTTGTGTAAGAATTGAGGTATATTATGTACAGGTACAGATCCCTATGAAGAGTGTGATCATTATGTATATCTAAAATGTACCAATAAACTTAATTAAAAAAAAAAGGTGTGTGTGTGTTTGTGGAGTTACGTTCCCCCTACACCCCTGCCCCCACACCGGGGATTGAACTTAGGGCCTTTGTGCTGAGCTATAGTCCTAGCACTTTATTTTTACTGTGAGATGGGGTCTCAGTAAACCTTTGAGAATCTCAAGGTCGTAAGGTCAGAAGCATCAAGGTTCTGCTTTCTTTCTGTTAAACCTTTCTATTTCCTCTTCATCTCATGAAGCTGAACTCTAATATGTTCAGGAACACGGAACTGCTACATTTTTGTCCATTCCCTCTATTTCTTGGACATCATTGAGGATGAGAACATGCACAGCAACCACTAAATCAAAAAACAGCTGCACAAAATTCTGTAAGGAAAGAAGACACTGGGTCTTTCTTTCTCCTGTGAGAATCTCGGGAATTCATGTGGGCAGCAGTGTTGTCTCTATATTTTCCCTGTCAGAAGTGCTTCGTGCCTTTGTATTCAAATTTTTAATTTATTGTCACGACATCTTGTCTTCATACTTTGCCCCAGAGGGTTTGATCCAGTTTGATGGGCTAGTCTGTCTCTTGATTTTTTTCCTGTGTGTATGCATAAATATATTCTGCATATGAATAGTCTAGAGAGGTTAAAACATGTACCTAGGGTTAGTCAGCTCCAGGCCCAAGTCCGTTCCCTTAGTTACATTTACTGAGTACTCACTTGTGCTAGGTCTGACAAAGTCTTTACTCTTTACTAGATGTATGTACTTTTAGATACAAATTCTATAGCTACATAAATTTTAGCAGTAGTATTATCTGGAAGGATGTAAAAAAATTAATAACAGTTACAGCTTAGATGGTGAGTATTTTCTGGTGGAATTGAATATTCCTGGAGTGAAGGTGGGTGAAATGTAAAATATCAGTTTGAGCTGTCTGTTGTTTCATGAAGTTAAGATTAGAATTGGCATTACTGCTTTACTTGTACTTTATATAGTTTACTGTATTGTTTAAAGTTTTATAGTACATATGTTACTTTAATAAGGCAAAGTAATACTTGGGAGTCATGAGCAGCATATATACAGTTTAAATGTTACTCATTTAAAAATCTGCATATTTCAAAAATTGTTATTTTTTTTGTAGATCATCCTACAGAAGATTTGGGGAGACTGTCTGCCCCTTTTCTTTCAGTTTTTACATTTTTTTTTCTTGTAGTTTTCATCCTTGTTCTTGTGGTTAAACCACATGTCTGAAAGCTGGATGTTTTTTAATATTCTGGTACCTTTCTTGTACCCCTTTTACTTCTGATATCACTCCCCACAAAAGACTAGCTTTCTGGTGAATATGTCTTTCAGAAAGCTAGCTAGTGTTTACTTGTTTGAGTAAAAGAGGATAATGGCCTCTCTTCCCTGCCTCTAGACTTGGAATTGTGCTAGAGAGCATATACCAGATGGCTCTGTCCTTGTTTTTTTTTTTCCCCTCCTTCTTCCCACTATGTGGCAATACTTGTCCTGTCCCAGAAACTTTGCAGTTAAAACACTTTGTACTCCAACTGTGTTCATTGTTACCTCCAAGAAAGATGTTCATTTAGGGAATTTTCAGTGACTAGAGTAATTTTTTAAGACTACCTAATATTTAAAAAGGACTAGAATAATTTATCAGACCAATGACTTAGAAAGGCTTGATTCAGTAGTTGGGAAGGTGTTAAAAAATTCAAGCTTTTAAAGTTTAATCAGATTAAAACAATAACATATGTTCCTTTTTAAAAAAAATTTATATATTAGCCAAGCATGGTGGTTGGTGCTTGCTACTCAGGAAGCTGATTCAGAAGGATTACAAATTCAAGGCCACCTTGGACAACTTAGTGAGTCCTTGTTTGCAAATAAAAATGGCTAGGGATGTAGTTTGATGCTAGAGCATGGGCCTAGCATGTGGGTATGTGTAAATCTCCAGGATGACCAAAAAAAAAAAAAAAAAAAAAAACCCTTAACTTTGAATGTAGGATAGCCAGTAAGCAAAATGGGTCATAGAATCTTTTATTTTCTCTTATAAAAATACTAGTATCCCGGTGTTTCTGCCAACCAAAGCAAACTGTTGTTACGGTTTAGTCTACACTTTTCTGGAACTTTTGTGTGTACGTATTTGTATGTGTGTGTGTTTATAGAGAGCAAACGAGAGATTTATAAAAAATGGAATCATATTCTGTCTATAGCCTTTAGGATGTATTTTTTGAAAAATCACAGCTTTATTCATAATCTGTAATTCATGAATTTATTTTTTATTTTTTGGTTTTTTTGAGAGACAGGGTCTCACTATGTAGTTGAGACTGACCTGGAACTCACTATGTAGCCCAGGTTGGTCTCGAACTCACAGCAATCCTCCTGCCTCAGCCTCCCGAGTGCTGGGATTACAGGTTTGTGTCACCACCCCAGGCTGTAATTCACAAATTTAAAATGTAAAATTCAGCATTGTGAATGTGTATTTAGTTATGCAGTCCTCATTATAATTTTGGAACATTTTTTTCACACCTGAAAGGAATCCCTGTACTTATTAGCAGTCACTTCCATTTTTTTTGAAGCCCAGGCAACCACCTGTCAACTTTCTCTCTTTACAGATTTGCCTGTTTTAGATATTTCCTTTAACTGTGGTCTTTTATATATGGTGTCTTATCCTCAGTATGATGTTTTTTGAGGTTCACCATGTTGGTAGCATGCATCAGTACTTTGTCTCTTTTAATGGCTGAATAACCCATTATCTGTATACCACGTTTTGTTTACTCATCAGCTCATGGACATTTGGACTGTTTTCATTCTTACGCTGTTAGGAATAATGCTGCTGTGAACTTTCATTTGGAAGTCTTTGCATGAACACATTTCCATTTTTGAGGGGTAGATACTTGAGTATAAATTTGTTTAAATTCTTTAAAAATTATGTAAACAGTTGTGCTTGTTTATTTATTTATTGTGTGACTGGGCTTGAACTGAGAGCCTTGCACATGCCAGGCAAGTATTCTACTGCTGAGCTACATCTCCAGCCTTTAATTATTCATAAATTATTTATTTATTTATTTATTTTTTTGCCATACTGGGAATTGAGCCTAGGGCATTCACACTCAGCTACATATCCAACCTCTTAATATTTAAAAAAATGTTTTTTTGAGAGAATGAATCCTCACTAAGTTAATGAATTGTTCAGGCTGGGCTTGAACTTGCTGTCCTTCTGGCTCAGCCTCCCACAGTGCTTGGATTACATGTGTGTGGTGTACCATGCCTGGCTCCTTTTGTATTTTTATTTTGAGGCAGGGTCTCTCTTAAGTTGGCCAAACTGGCTTTGAACTTGTGATCTTTCTTAGCCTCCTGAGTACCTGGGATTATAGGCATATACTTCCAAGTTATATTTGAAAAGAAATACAAATTTAAACAGTGGTACTTTTAAAAAATAATAATATTGGCAAAAAATGAGTGCAATGATGAGACTGGTGCTTGTGAGTATAGAGAAATAGGCATTTTCATAAATCACTGGTAGAAATGTAGGTTGCCTTTTGGTATTATGTACTACCATTTGAAATGTACAGACTCATCATTCCAGCCACTCCACCTTCTGGGAGTTTATCCTACACACATGGCATGGATACACAATCTAAGTATTACTTAGTCATCTTGACTTTTTTGGGGTTTTTTTTTTAGTACCGGGGATCGAACTTGGGACCTTGTACTTGCGAAGCAGGCAGCAGAACCACTGAGGTAAAACTCCAGCCCCATCTTGACTTTTTTGAATAAAAAATTTAGAATATGTTTAAGGTTGGTAAGTAGGAGACTTGCTATATAGATGGTGACTTTATCATTAATTTTTCCTTCTCTGTAGAAACACGATTTTTTTCATCTTAAAGAAGATCACTTTTCCCCTAACCCCAACTACTATCTCATTTCTCTGACTCTTTACTGTAGAATTCCTCAAGAATAGCCTATGGCATACAGTTTCTAGTGCCTTTTTTTTTTTTTTGTCTTGCTTTGCTGTTCAGGCTGGCCTTGAACTCACTGTGATCCTCCTGCCTCAGCCTCCTAAGTGCTGAGATTACGGTGTGCACCACCATACCTGGATTTGCTTCTGTTTTTGACCAGTTTGCCTCCCTACTTTACCAAAACTGCTATTAGAAAAGTTGCACTAGCAAATTCAGTGGTCAATTTTAAAGTGTCATATTATTTAGCTTCACTAATAGTATCTGCCACTCTTTGCCTCTTTTGTTAATTCCTCCTTTTTCATTTCTGCTGGGTGTTAATGCCACTTTCCAAGGATAGGAGTAAGTCGAACAGTAGAGATGATGCTGTGGATCTACTGGATTTCATTCTGGCACCAAGTTCAGCCTTCTGTCAGTATCTCACATGCCTGTGGGTTTTGTATGCAGAAAGTTGGGGTTCATTCATTAAGAAATTGAACACACACAACCCACCCCTGTAAGCATCACAGGGTTTAGATATTGGCAGGAGAAAGAATGCAGATTGAAAATATGCCTGCCATCTTCTGTAGGATAATTAAGATAAAAGCTTTCTGGAGGAAGCAGGTTAGGGGAGCAACTAAGCACCAATTTTGCAATTAAATGACATAAATCTCAAGACATTAGAGCTTGTATGCTCTAAAAGTGGAACCTTGGACAAGTCACATAAACCTTCCAAATAGCTTCTCATTTGTAAAAGTGATACTGTTGGTACCTACCTCTTATGATTGATAATCTCAGAATAAAACTTGCGGGCTTAATTTCTCATTTAAGGGGCTTCCTTTTGCTTTGTATCACGGAGATTATTTCACTCAGGAGCTGATCTGTCTCGTGAGCACCCTCCTCTTTTTACATCCAAATTTGCTCTGTCCACAACCTGTAGACCTAAGAGGGTGGAGTTAGGGCTAGAGCTCTTCCATGCTACAGTAAACTCTATAAGGGGGTTAAGGGCCAGACAGCATATCTTTAGAACTAAATCCCTTTCCTCCTAATGGATCTTACATTTTTAAAAATATATTTTGTACTTTTTATGGTATAGTGCATAAAATGAACTTTATTATTGTTGGGTGTCTTTTATTTCATTGCAAGAAAAGCTTGCTGCTTGTGTTTGGCTTAATATATTTTTACAAGTGCAATATAATAATGTAGCCACTACCCAGATGATAACAGAGAATATGATGGGTAAGAAGCCTTTGTGGCCCTTCTCAGTCATTCCTATCCCAAATGGTTACCATGATACTGACATATCTTGTTAGATTTAATGTTGTGTGTGCTGAGTAAAATATAAGCAAACTGAGTCTAGCAAGTTATATTACAAAACAAGTAATACTTTCCAACCCAAGTGAGCAATAAGATGGTCTAATATTTGAAAATCAGTCAGTGTAATTCACAATGAGTGAAGGAGAAAAATTATGTCAGTTGATAAGCTCAATGAATTTATCTGAGTAAAGGACAGGAATATGCTCTGTAACAGCATATTTATCACACTCAAGAAATACTGTGATATAAAGCTGCTCAAGAAAAATGTACATTCAGCTCCAGTTGTTCCAGTACTACTCTAGTTTTTGTTTTTAGATTTTTAAAAACTTTCATTAGTACATGTTTGTAGTATGTAATTATTACATTTAGTGTAGAGAATTGGTACATGTACCTAACACATTTCAATTCTTTTTTCAACTCTTCCCCCTAATCTCCTTTCATTTTTCTAGCTTCATTTTTCTAGCTTCATTTGTCTTTTAAGACTTTATAAAGTTAATTATCATATATATAGATTAAAAACCAGACTAATGTGCCAAAGAACATAAAAAAACTTCTAAGATAGTGTACTGAGTTATGTAAACTTAGATACATTGTCCACACTGGATTACAATGTATTTTCTTATTATCTGTCTTTTATCTCATACTTTATGTATGTTGAATTTTTCATATAAGATAAACCATGCAGTATTTGAGCTTGTGTGTCTGAATTAGTTTGCTTAACATTATGGTATCCGGGTGCATCCATTTTCCTGTAAATGAATTGAGGTTATCCTTTATGACAGAATAGTTCTTTATTGTATATAATACCACATTTTCTTTCTTCATTCATGTGTTGATGGGCATATTTGCTTTTTCCAAGATTTGGCTATTATGAATTGTGCTGCTGTAGACATGGGTATGCATACATTACTGTGGTATGATGTGCAGATACCTAGAAGGGGAATAGCTGGGTCAAATGGAATTGCTAGTTTTAGTTTATTGAGGAATCTCCATACAGATTTCCATAGTGGTTGTGATAAGATTGATTCAGTTCTGATATTTGTTGATATTTTTGTCTGATGTATTTGTGACAGTGGGGGGGGTATTGAGGTCCCTTACAGTTGTATCAGTGCTTATTTGACTTTTCATGTCTGTTAATATTTGTTTTATGTAGTTGGGTGCACAAATCTACTTTATCTGAAAATAGAATGGTAATCCCTGCTTTTTTCAACATCAGGAGCAACATGACAGGGATAAATCAGTATGTATCAGTTGTAATCATCAATGTAAATGGTCTCAATTCACCATTCAAAAGAAACACTGGCAGAGTGGATCAAGAAAGCAAGATCCAACAATATGCTGCATACAATAAACACATTTAATTTAAAAATTCATAGACTGAAAATCAAAGAATGGAAAACAATATGCGACAGGAACCCAGAAGAAAAGAAAATTAAAAAAAAGTTCACTTCAGGGCATGTCTCTGCTGTAACTGGTAGACAGAGTGGGTGGACAGACCTTGGGTCCATGTTGATTGATCCCAGCAAGCTAGCTGTACATTAACAGCAGGGTAGTGGAAAATCCCAGCAAGCCTGCATCTTTAATTCCACTGAAGTTCAGGCTGGTTTCTGGCTTTGAGGCTGGAACCTGATTTATTCAGTCTGAAACACTCCACATTGGCTTGAATTCGGCTCCTTCACCTTCTGCTGACTTGAACTCCATTCTGCCTGACCATGTCACAGGAAGCGACCAGATGGAGCTAGCCTGCATCTGCTCTGAGATCTTAGCTCTTTGCCTCTCTTCAGAATGGCTACCAGCCAATTGTGAGATGTCTGAACCCAAATAACTCACCAGCCACTGTGGACTGCTGAATCCACGGAAGCCTCTGGGGTTGCCACTAATTACTGTTCATCTGCAGATTTGAGCCTCCTCTCCTATACAGTGAGGACTGAAGGAGAAAGTGTTATCTGCCACCTCCTCCGTCTGCATTGAGGTCTCTCTTTTTGCTCTCCCCATGGGCTTTGATTCTTTCTTCAGATCCTTATTAGGTCCTGCAGACCCACTTTCCTCCTCCTCTTTCTCACATTCCAGTATTGCAGCATCTGGACACCAAGTCTTGGAGAGGCTGTTTCTCTGCTGTCACCAGTCCTCTATGTTTTCTCCTCCAATAGTGGTTCTATCATTTTGTACTCCTACCAAAATGGTGAAGGGTTCCTTTCTCCCTTGTAATGAGTACTTTGAAATTATGTAGCTGTCCTGTTCCCACCACACTTTGATCTTAGTTTTAGCAGTCATTGATAATTCTTGTCTCATAAAATTTTCGCCACATACTGAGTTTTCTAGCTTCATCATTCCATCATCTTAATTGTTGCAGTTGTAGAAGGGAGGCTTTCACTTCTCCTTTGTGTGTGTGTGTAATTATAGTATTTCAGAATTTCATTTTTTTGTTTGCTTTTTTTTGGTACTGGAGATCAAATTTAGGATCTTGCACTTGTGAGGCAGGCGCGGTGGTGCTGCACTAAATCCCTGGCCCCAAGTGTTTCAGTATTTCATGTATTTTATTCTGTATGTGTTCTGTTATCATTACCTCTTTAAACATTGCTTTTGGTACATTTTGTCTCCTGTTCTCAGGGACTGCAGTTAATCTTGGGCTAGACTTTTTCATTGTATCCTGTATACATTTCTGTATATCCCATCCTTTTTTCTTTCTGTGTTTTAAAATATATTAATCATAGTATTTTAAATTTGCATCTAGGGGCTGGGGATGTAACTTAGTGGTAAGGCACTTGCCCATCAATTGTGAGGCCTTGGGCTTACTTTCTAGCAGTGGGGGGGGGAAATTCTGTGGTTCTTAACTATAGTATTTCATTCTCCTGTGTGTTTATTGCTGTAATGCCCCTTCACCCTTTTTTTAATTTCTTTTTTTATAGTAGGAAAGCAATTTGATAATTTATTTATAATTTGTTTATAAATTTATAATTTTATAAAGTTATAAAAATCCTGGATTCTCTGAAGTACAGTTACTTGATCTGCTACATTCGTCAATTTATTGCTAATTTTTGCTATAGCACACAGTCCTAGAATCTCAGGCTTATTTCTTATGCTTTTGGTTCCTGAATAACTGCAGCCATACTTGATGATCATATTCCAGGTGTCTAATTCATTCTGAAATCTGGGATGAAGTGGAAGCCTTATCAGGGATTATTGACCTCAAAGCCAAATTTAAAGAGGTGTAAGGAATGGCTTTTTAAAGTCTGCTGGTTTGAAGGTCATGTCATCCTGCTCACAAGCAAGTCTTGTGGTCAAGCCTGCTGTTAATTGTTTTTGGAATAAAATTTACTGATTGTACAGGGAGGCATCACAAGTGATGTGGCAAGAGGAGGAATGGGGTAATCCTTTTAAAAAATAGTTTGGAACAGTAATGTAATTTATCCTGTGAGCATAAAACAGAAACTTCCAATTTTGAAGAAAAACTATCTACAAATACATGAATGCAAAATTATTATGATAAATTGTAAGCCATAGTAAGGAATTTTAATGGCATATTCAGCAAAATGTTATTGAAATTATCATTGTTTCAGGCCGGGGATTTAGCTCAGTGGTGCTGCTACCTGCCTCACAAGTGCAAAGTCCCGAGTTAAATCCCTGGTACCACAAAAAAAAAAAAAAAAATCATTGTCTCTAGCAACATAGGAAAATACATTTAATATAATGTGAAAGTGAGAGTGGTGTACAAAATAATACCTTTTGATTATAGCTATGTACACATGATTATAAGTCTATAAAAAATTAAAGGTATGAAATTGATAGCAATTATCTAAGGATGATAGACTTACAAATTTTTTTGTTTTGTATTCACTTTTTTTTTTTGATACAGGGGATGGAACTCGGGACCTTGTGCTTACAAGGCAGGCAGAGAAACCACTGAGCTAAATCCCCAGCCACAATTTTGTTTTGTTTTCAGATTTAACTTTTTATAAGTGCCATTATAATATAATTATCTTTATAATTATTTTTCATTCTACAAGTCATATACATATATGAAAGAAGTGCTGAAAATTACAGAAAAAGGGATTAAGAAATTAATTTTGACTACATCTCCAAAACCCATTACTGTCAGTACTTTTGGTATGTTTAAAAAAGAAAATTAGGGGCCAGGGATTTAACTCAGTGGCACCTTGCCTGCCTCACAAGCACAAGGTCCCGAGTTCCATCCCCAGTACAAAAAAATTAGTACTGGGGCTGGGGCTGTAGCTCAGTGTTAAAGTGCCTCTTTACCATGGGCTGGGCCCTGGGTTCCAGCACAACCACCAAAAAGAAGAAAAGTTAGTAGTATATGTTAAGAAGATTGAGGTTAATCTTGTACTGTGTTGTCATGTTTCATTTCAGGTCCTGAAAATCCCTGGTTGATTCAAGCTTATGTTTCAGCAGCCAAACACCCTTTTGCTTCTGTGGTGGCTCAAGAGGTATTTCAGAGTGGAATCATTCCTTCAGAAACTGACTTCCGTATCTACAGAGATTTTGGAAACATTCCAGGTATTTTATCAATGGTTAAAGGATATTGCACGATATTGACTTGTCAAAAGTGGGGTTCACTAATGGAAAGTTTGTGAGTAAACAGCATTTTCTGAGAACACAGTCTTTTTTGTGAGAACTATCCTTTCTGGCTCTCTAGATTTCTTAGTATTTTCCTTTTTTAAACTCCATGATAATTTAAATGTTTGCCTCCTCTAGATCTTATTGTCCCATAATGTGACAGAGAGATGAAAGTTTAATACTTTATTCCCATAAGATGACAACAGGATCTGTTTTGACTTGCACTGTTGTTTTGCTTTGCCTATTCCTTTAGTGACTTATATAGCATAGGTTAGGGATGGTGAACCTTTTAGAGACCGAGTGCCAAACTGCAACCCAAAACCCACTTATTTTATCACAGAGCCAACACTGCCATCATACCTGAACACTGAGGTTTTAGTTTAGAAAAAACAACTCTATATTAATATATTTTGCCTTAAGATAAAAACACAACGTATACCATAGGTTCAACTCCACTAGCTTAGGTGAAGCTAAAATTTGGGTCTGGCCTGACAAAGGTATAGATAGCAGAGTTTTTTTCTTTTTGTGTTACCTAGGACCTTACGTACGCTAGGCCAAGGCTGTCAATGAGCCACAGCCCCAACCCTAGATAGCAAAGTTCTGATGACCACAAACTCTTTTGTGTGATGTCTGATGTCTCCCTGTGGAGTAGTATACTTCCTCAATCATTATGTATTGAATTATATATCATAAAGTGTAGATTTTATAAGAATGTAGAAGAGAATTTGTCATTCATTCATAAATACGACAAATCAATCATCCTACTTCTTTGACATTTTGTCTTTTTAGGAATTTAATTCCTTGGTTTATCAACCCATTTCTTTCTACTATTCTGGTCACAAACTGAACTGGACGAGAAGCAAATCAAATTTCCCCATAAGGTCAACATTGAACCTAGACGGGGAATTTGATTAATTTCTCATCCAACTTGATTTACAGCCAGAATCATGGAAAGAATCAAGTTTGTGAACCAAGGTACCAGTGAATAGGCCTAAAGCAAGGTTGATCTTCAAAGCAAAGTGACTTTTTTTCCTTTGTTTTAGGAATAGACTTAGCTTTTATTGAAAATGGATACATTTATCACACCAAGTATGACACAGCGGACAGAATTTTAACAGATTCCATTCAGAGAGCAGGTTGGTATTTCAAGTTTGACTTTTATACTATAAAATGAAATATTAGGTATGACCTAGAAATGTATAAATAATCTGCACCCAGTGTGTTGTGCTATGTCGTGGAATGAGTTAGGGATTTGCTGTCTGAGAGGTGAGGGCTTAAATTTTACTTCTATTTGAAACATTTCAGAACATGTACATATTTATTGTGAGGATTTAGCAAGCGATTATTGAGGTTTATAGTAAGATTTCTGAACAGTAAGTATAGCCAACACTAAATCAGAGGTCGTAATAGGACACAGGTGTGGGCAGTTTGCTTGGTGTGGAAAACAGTTACATGGATCCGTGGTTGGGTGGTGGTGTGGGAGCAGGTGAGAACTTACAGGACAGGGAGTTAAAGTGCTTTCTAGAGAGTTCCAGAAAGGTCAGAGGAGACCAATCTGATACTCAGCCTTAAAAATTTGGTAGGATTTGGCCTGTGGAGGAAAGAAGACATTCCAAGTTAGAACATAGCATGAGGAGTGTATTTGTAGGAAGCTATTTGTGAGAAAGCTGTTGGACTAGAATGAAGTATCTTCAGAAATAGAGGGAAGATAGAAGGATATGAGGGAGAAAAAAATTATAGAAGGTTTTAAAAATTAGCAAGAAGATGGCAAGGAAATAAAGACTCTTTCAAGGTCTGACTGAATCCGCAAATGACTGCATGCAGTGGTTTTAAGTGTTGGACTGGTGATGCAGTGTGGAGTGAGTAATGTGGAGAAGAGAGTCAGAAATCGGGTCCATTCTGATAGCAGTTTATATGTGGGATAAAGAGAACCTAGATTGGTGTTGACAGGAAATAGAAACAAAAGGGAGGCTGGATGTGATGGATGGTGCATGCCTGTAATCCCAGTACTGCAGAGGCTGAGGCCGGAGGATGGCCTTACATTCAAGACCAGCCTGGATACATAGTGAGTTCAAAGCCAGCCTCAACTACATAGCGAGACCCTGTCTCCAAAAAGGGAGGAAAGGAAAATTAGATGTATTTTGAATGTAAATTCAGGAATTGACAGGTTGGACAAATCCAAAGATGAAAATATGAAGTCTCTGACTGGGGCAAAGGATGACCTTGAGTATGGTTAGGCAGTGGGATGAGGGGACCCTCATTCAGGCCGGCAGTGGTGAGGGGAAGCAGACTGGAAGATGCCGGCCTGAGGAAAGGAGTGTGGCAGAACTAGGCGTGTGGTTTTTGCAATGAAAGGTGTAGAGAAATGGTGCCAGACTACAGGGTGGACACATTTTCTGGACGAGTGAAGCAAAGGTAGAGGTTTAAGACTGAGCTTTGAAGAAAATACATTTTAAGCAGACAGAAGCCAATGAAAGAATTCTGGTGGTAAGATTATATAGTCTTAAGTTAAAAAAAAGAGGAAGTCAAGGATGGGATGAGGAGCAGGAAGAAGTGCAGATCATGCAAGTCGTCTTAGTGTTCTTGTATTCAAGTTTAAATGCAGCCAGGTGTGGGTGCATGCCTGTAGTCCTAGCTGCTCTGGAGGCTGAGGCAGGAGAGTCATGTTAACGTGGGTGTTTGAGAGCAGCCTGAGCAGTATAGTGAACCCTGTCTAAAACAAAACAAGAAAAAACTTTAAATACAATCATTGATTGATTAATATATCAAATATTAAACCTTTTTTTTTTTTTTGGTACGCGGGGAATGAACGTGGGTCATTGCACTGACGAGGCAGGTGGCAGAATATTATGGACCTTTGATGGGGCAGGTTTTTATATGACTCCTTGCTTCTCCAGCTTCATTGCTGAGTATTCTCTCCACCTTCAGGACTTTTCCTTGTATCTGAAGTTTTCCTCGTCAGGGTCTTTATCTGCACACTTCTGTCTGAACAGTCTCCCTGGCTGTATCTAGCTCCTAGTCATTGTTTGCCTAAAAATGTCATTTCTTCCAGGGCGCATCCCTCACTTCCCAAACTCCACTAGTCTTTCACAGCCGAACCTCTTCTACCAGCTTGTTCAGTGCCTCTGAACTTCATGAGTTTTTGTCTCGTATCTAGCATAGTGTCACGTAGTGGTACAGCTAATATCTATTAAATGAGTGGAGACTAAGATACAATCATTAGGTTGTACAGTTGATCATAGAGCGTGGTTCTACTAGAGAGCTTTTATTTATTTATTTATTTGGTACCGGGCATCGAACTCCGGTCCTTGCATTTGCAAGGCAGGCGGCAGAACCACTGAGCTAAATTGCAGGCCTGCCCCAAGCTGACCTAGAGAGCATGGACCGTGAGAAATTTAGTAAGAAAAATGGGACAGCAGAGGATGGCAGGAAGCTTTGCTTATTCTTGCCCTTCTCTATTTATTCAAACAGTAGATGGTTTGCTTTTGCTTTGTATACTACTTCATGTAAATCACATTCAAATTATTCAGCTTATGTTATCTTCCTTTACTAACAGGTGACAACATTTTAGCAGTTCTTAAATATCTAGCTACATCTGATATGCTGGCTTTTTCTTCCGAGTATCGACATGGAAAAATGGTCTTCTTTGATGTGCTTGGCCTGTTTGTCATTGCTTACCCCTGTCGTGTTGGCTCCATAATAAACTACATGGTGGTGATGGCTGTTGTTTTGTACCTGGGCAAAAAACTGTTGCAACCCAAACATAAGAGTAAGTATCCTCCTCTAAAGCTGCAGCTACTGGCATGGGTATTAAGATTTGTATGAAGTTTTTAAATCAGTGTGCTTATATCTTCCCAGGTAGTTAAAAATCTTAAGAAAACAATGTTTGATTTATATTGTGAAAAATTCTTAAGTAAATATTAAATTGATGTGCTCTTATAGTTTTAGACTTCACGAGTAGACAATTTTTATGAACTTCACAGAAATAACAGGAAGCAATGAAAGATGGTTTGTATAGATTGACTTTTAATGAAAAGTCTCATTAAAAAAAAAATCTTTCCTGCTGGTCGTGGTTGCATAGTCCTGCAATCACAGCACTCGGGAGGCCGAGGCAGGAGGATCGCTGTGAGTTTAAAGGCAGTCAGGCTAAAAAGTGAGTTCAAGGCCAGTCTGAAAAGACAAAAGACCTTTTCACTTTATAGTTCGTAGCACAATGTTTTGAAGTATGAATTAACTGCTTTTGGTTAAATTTGTCTCTCCTGAATGAAATGTTTCTGCTTGATATGTTTTAGACTCTTTAAGTTGTCATGTTCTGTTACAAAATGAAATATTTAGCACTGATATAAATAATTCATTATCACTATTTTCTCCATGTCTGTGTTTTCCTATTAGCAAAATTTCATATGAAATTTTGCCTTCCATCCTTGCTAATATGTTCATACTTTAAGTATTCCAAAGTTGATGGAGATTAAAACTATCCACTTGCTTGATAAACTTTCTTGGAATATTATTCTTTGATATTTTCCGTATGTTTCAGCACTAGCACATTCCAGTACTTTTCAGTATTTTTCAACATTTACCCCTTTAACTGTGCTGTTTATATACTGGATTTGTTGAATATGATGATTTCCAACTTTGTGCTTTCTCTTCACCAGCTGTTAACTACATGAAGGATTTCTTGTATGGACTTGGCATCACTTTCATTAGCTGGTTTACCAGCCTCGTTACGGTTCTCATCATAGCAGTGTTTGTGTCTCTAATTGGACAGTCTCTTTCATGGTACAACCACTTCTATGTCTCCGTGTGTCTGTATGGAACTGCAGCTGCAGCCAAAATAATATTCATACATACCCTTGCAAAAAGATTTTATTACACAGTAAGTAGTAGGCATATTTGTTATTTATTTATTTTTGCTGCTTTCAAGGACTAAGGCTTTTAAAAAGACAGGTGAAATTAATTGTGTTTGGTCTTTTGAGCTATTAGAGATTGTTCAAAATGGTTAAAGATAACACTCCCACAACTGTGTTAATTTGCTCTCTTATTCTGAGAGTTGTGTTGCAGAATTCAAACGAGCTTCTAAAGCTTTTCTTGGTAACATGTTCTTGTATTTGCAAACCCACCGTGGACTCCCCAGTTGTTTATATTTGGGTTTTTTTTTTTGGTACCAAGGATCAAACTTGGGTCCTTGTGCTTGCAAGACAGATGGTGGAACCACTGAGCTAAATCCCTGGCCCCTGTTTATATTTGAATACTGTTCTCCTCTGCACTGTTAAGCTTCATGAGGACAGATTTTTTTGTTTTGTTTTGTTTTGTTTTTGGTACTTGGGAAATCGAACTTGGGACCTTGTGCTTGCGAAGCAGGCAGTGGAACCACTGAGCTAAATCCCCAGCACTGTGATTGTTTTACTCATCATGTATTCCTTGCTTAGGCAGTATCTGATACATAGCATTAACACACAGCAAGTACCTGTTGCATTAAGGAATGTTGCACTTAGACTCTTTAGTTTTTCATTTTTTTTCTTTTTTTCTTTTACCTATATGTTTGTTGATGCAGGTTGTTTTTTTTTTTTTTTTTTTTTTTGGTACTGGGGATTGAACTCTGGTCCTTGCACTCTGATCTGACCCGCTGAGCTAAATCCTGGCTTGATGCAGATTTTGATAGCATGCATGTTGTTAAAGACACATTGCTAGGGAAAAAGGTGGGAAGAGAAATGGAGTTCTAAATGATTTATACTGAGTGTTAAGAGAATACTGTCATGTTGTGGTTTCAGTGGTATAAATTTGGTAAAAATATGAATTAAGATTATGAAATTGCAACTAGAAATGAAATATACTAAGAAAGTGATAGTTTCTTGTTTTCAAGAGAATTAAGGGGGAAGCTTCCTTATTTTTAAAACAGCCAGTGAATATCTGCCTTCCAGCTTGCACTGGTAGGGATAAAATTGGGAACATGGAAGAATGTAATGTAGCCTTTTTCTTTTAGGATGTCTTTGGTCTCGGTTTCAGTTAATGTTGTGAGATGGTCTAAGGAAATTTGCCATGTTAGCAGGCCCTTTTGAAGAAAGGTGTTTTTGAGGGTCTTATCACATTTATTCTCAGTGTAGGTATTATAACCTGAGTGTGATTGAATGTTGTTGATTGGGACAGGTGTAGGATAGAAATGCCTAGAGAAGCTCACCTTCCACAAATTTAAATGGTCTGATTATAACACTTTGGGCTGAAAATACAATGGAAGGAATAACCTTGCATTTTCAGTTCAGATATATTTTTAAAGTAGTTAATAGGCATTAGAATGAGACCTGGTGATACAGAGATCCACAAGAATCTGAGCTCTTTGAGAAGCTCACAGTTTCATTTGGGAAGAGATGCAAACCACACTGATTGTAGTACGTTATGGGGTAAAGGGAAACAGTGACATATAGGCAGTGCTTTAGGAATACAGGGGCAGGAGAGATGAGTTTTGCTTGTGGAAGTCAGGAGGGTGTCATGATGGAGACGGTGACATTTGGGGTTTTTGAAGCATGAATAGAAGTTTGTTAGATAAGAGTGGGTTTATGAACAGTCAAGATGGAAATATATAAGTACATTTGGGTCATAATCAGTAAAACATCCAGGGGGGTGAAGACAAAATATGGAACAGCACAATAACTGAAAAGTAGGCTAGCAGCATGATCCCCAAAATCACTGTGATCACCATTAAAAAATTTTTAGCAGGATACAGATTTGGTGATTTAGTAGGAAAACTTACAACACTGTAGAGTCTTTGGAATAGGGCAAATAGGGAAAGGTAGCTCAAATTTTATATGAAATTACCAGGAAAACAAGAAGAGGGCAAAGGTGACCAGTTGGAGATAGAAAAGACTCAGGAAAATCAAACCACAACCACTAAATCAAATCCTGAGGTTACGCCCTGTGGACCTGCAGCAGTTCCTTCACAGACCGCTTGGTTTGCTTCTGTCTTTGGAAATTATAAACAGGAAAAACTTACAGAAACGGATGTTTTTAGGAGACTCCTTTTATTTTGGAGTATTTCCAAAGATTACTCAGCCCTGTGAAAGAAAAGCACAGATTAGATACAGCTTTCTTCCATCTTGTGAAATTACCCTTCCTGCGCAGTAATTTTGAATTTACTATGTAGGATAGAAGGCTGGAATGGAGGCACATGGCTGTACGTCCAGCTACTTGGGTAGCTCAGTGAAGGAAAAGGATAAGTTTAAATGGAGTCTGGGAAAATTATTCAGACACAAATATTTCATTTTAAAAAGGGCCTGTTGGGCTGGGGATTTAGCTTAGTGGTTCCATCGCCTGCCTCGCAAGTGCAAGGACCCAAGTTCAAGTTCTGGTCCCACTCCCCCCCAAATTAAAAAAAAATAAAAAGGGCCTGTTGATCTATGGTGGAGGTTTACTTTGTCTGTTTAAAGGGTAGACTGCCTAAAACAAAATGTAGCTCATTTGTGAATGACCTGTAATGAGACTGTTTATTTTCTTTCTTTCAGAATGCCAGTGACCAGTATCTGGGAGAAGTGTTTTTTGACATCTCACTGTTTGTGCACTGTAGTTTTCTTGTAATGTTCACATACCAAGGACTTTGCTCGGCGTTCATTAGTGCTGTCTGGGTAGCATTTCCTTTGCTCACAAAACTTTGCGTGCACAAGGAGTTTAAGCAGCATGGTAGGGGAATTAATTTTCATGCAGATGAAAAATACCTTAAAATATATAAAGCTTTCAGAAACTTTGTTCTATTGAGTAGTCTTTCCTAATAATAATAATAATAATAATAATAATAATAATAAAATTATTATTATTTTTGAACAGGGTATTGCTATGTAGATCAGACTGGCCTTTAAACTCATGGCTATCCTTCTGCCTCAGCCTCCCGAGTGGTTGTTAGTTTTTTTGAGATGAGGTCTCACCATGTTTCCCAGGCTTGCCTCGAACTTGAGTCCTTCCAACTCAGCCTTCTGAGTAGCTGGGATTGCAAACCACTGCACTCAACCCTTAAAGTTTTATACCATGCAAATTTTTGTCTTAGCTTATGCCCCACCTCATTCTCATATTTATGAACACATACTAATATATTACTGGTCTATTTTAATTCTCATTTATATTTTATCTCCTCTGAATGCACTTGTGTTATTTCATTAGGTAACATGTATCAAAGGGCATCTAACCTAATTTCTGTTAAATGTCAAGACCTATCGCCATAAAAATCTGCATCTGGGGGTAGCATTCATAGATGCTTTTTCTTTCTCTTCTAGGTGCTCAAGGAAAATTTATTGTCTTTTACCTGTTGGGGATGTTTATTCCTTATGTTTATGCAATGTACCTCATCTGGGCGGTATTTGAAATGTTTACTCCTATCCTTGGGAGAAGTGGTTCAGAAATCCCACCTGATATTGTGCTGGCGTCCATTCTGGCTGTTTGTACGATGATTCTATCTTCCTATTTTGTAAGAAAAAAAAAATTTTGCTTTTTTAAAAAAATATGATGAGGTTAGCCATACCAGATTCTGTGAAATAATGTTGCTTATATTTTGAGAATGTCTTAAGTAAAAGAAATGGTGAATAGTTGGGCATCTTTGGAAAACATAGAATGGGTTCTTTTGTTGTTGCTGTTTGTATTTTTTGCCTCCTTATCCTCCCAAATCTTCTGATTAGACCCCTTTTCAAATTGCATTTCATACTATCTGAATGTGAATCTGTAGAATGCATACCAAATGAGAATTGTTGGAGATTGCTTTAGAACAGTTTCTTAGAATGGTTCCTGGACGTGTTTGTTAGAGGCAAATGTTAATAAATTAACACAGTAGTTTTATTAGTAGTATTGGAGCTAGGGAAGGAAGGCTAATTTTGATGAGGATGTTTTTTTTAACCTCATTGCTGGGTGTCAAAATTCATGAATGCATCTGTCTCCTTGGGTGATACACAATTAGGATACCCAGCATGCCTTCACTTACCAAGTAATAAACCATATCACTGGCCTTGTCAGTCTTGTCAGTTTGCTTTGGAATTTTCTACCCTGGTAGGGAAAAACTTTGCTAACCTTGCTCACCCTTGGGACTTTCTAGAAGGCAGAAAAGATAGTGACACTGAGTTTAAGACTGGAATCACCAGGCAGGGCTCTACTCTTGGCATGATGTCTATACCTCCAGGTCTCAGTCCAACCCTCTCTAGAGAAGGCAGGCCTCTGTTTTATGTCTCTTTTAATAGGAATGCCTACGAGGAGGAGTGCTTACTGAATACCCATAGGTATTTTCTTGAGCTTTAAGGCTAGAGGACCAAATAGAAAAAGTATTAAGATTTCAATATAGCTCATTCCTTCATGGAGATGGATGATAATGGCGGTTTTTTGTACTGCTACGGTAAAGGGCATCCTTGTGGAAGTTAGGTTCTGAAGACCAAAGGAGGTAAGGGGAATACCACAACTGTAGTCAAAATAATCCACCAAAACCTCTTAGTGGTTAGTAAAGCTTGGTGTATGTGGCTTTGCATATACACCCACAGAGTAATTTTTATGCACATTATTGTTTGAGCTGTAGTAGTCCTAAAAGAAACCTCAGCATTCCAGCCTTGCCATCTTTAAGATAATGATTAATTCCTTCCTGGCATTTACAGGGATTGATGGAAAGTTTTAAATGTTCTTTGCCTTTATGGTTTACTTCTTTTGGTTTTATTATTAACTCTTAGATCCTCCGTATTTGTTAACAGACAGATTTGCTATGGTAAAGATTAAAGGAGATAGTAAAGTTAGGTGAAGTTTTTGTCTAATGTTGGCTACGTTCTAAACTGGACCCCCTCAGAGTATTACACTGAATAGATGGACATTATTGGTGCCTATAAAAGTGTGGAGCATTTACATTTTTTTTGTTGAAGAAGGGAAGTGAACTTTCTCCTGGAATCTGTCACTGTGGAAATTGAAAGTGTTTGCTGAAAGATGGACAACTTTGAAACCAGAAGAAGATACAAATATTTCCTAAATTATATTTCTTTAGGAAAGTGTTTCAAGAGAAGAGTATCTCTTAAAATACTTAAAAAAAACCCTGTTAATTTTTTTATTATAATGTGAAAAGAACCTACTTTTTGATGCTTCGGGTTATCATTCTCTGTTTTCTTATTTATGTGAGGTAAGGTTAAAAACAGTGGCTTAATTAACAGTGAAATTGTTCTCCTTAGGTAATGGAGAATTGAACTGTAGTGCTTACTCAGCTTTTCTTTCAATCCTTGGGGATATATAAATATATTTTCTAGAAAGCAGCTAAAGTTTTGTCAACCAGTTAACACGTTTCCTGGGATTACTCTTTGCTCGGCTGTCATGATTATATTGATTTTTGACAGTGGCAAAAATGGGACTCCTAATAGTGGATCAGAAGGAGGAGATTTCACTTGGTGACGCACATTCCAGTAACCCCATTTGTTTGGGAAGCTAAGATTGGAGGATTGCAAGCTCGAACGCAGCCTGGGCAATTTAGTGAGAACTTGTCTTAAAATAAAAAAAAAAATAAAAGGGCTGGGGATGTAGCTCAGTGCTAGAGCACTTGTTGAGCATTTGCCAGGTCAATCCTTAGTACTCCCCTCCCCTGCCCCCCAAAAAGACTCAGTGAGAAAAAGCTCAGAGTCAGCACACTGCTGGACATTTTATTCTTTCCTGAGCATCTTTTCATTTTATTTTTCACTCCTTAAGAACCTAAAGTAGCTGAGTATGGTGACACATGCCTGTAATCCTATCACTCGGAGGCTGAGGTAGGAGAATCACGAGTGAGCCTAGCCTGGACAATTGAGTAACTTCCTAAGATCCTACCACAAAATAAAACTAGCCATGTAGTTCAACATCTAGTACCAACATACAAAAACAAAGAAACTTAAACTGACATGTAGAAGTAGAATTGGAAAGGTGATTAACCTCTTCCTTTCCCTTTATTCTCTGATTGTCATTCTTTTTATCACCGTTACCACCCCTCTTCCAGACGGGGAAAGAGGCAGAAGAAAGAGCCTCCCGATTTGGAGAAGAGGGACCTTAAATATTGATAGCTTAAAGTGAGATTTTTTTGACAACTTTGGGAATACTTGGCTTGAGAATGACAGAAACCACAGCATTATGGCAGGAAGGTTTTTTCTTGTTAACCTATTCTTTTCCTAAACTTACCAGCTTCCTAGTAGATGGGACACTCATTACTTGGCAGGATATTTGAAACTTTATAAGAAGTGACATTTTAAATATTGTGACTCTTAGGAGGTGTCAGGGCAGGCAGGGTTACAAATTTTGTTTTGCTGACTTACTGCTGTAAATCCTGGGTGCTTTGTCATATTTCTTTAGTTACAGTATACAAACATAAGATCTTTCACCTAAGAATGCTACTCTTTTGTTGGAGATTATCCCTGATAGACTGTTGGAACATTTTTCCCCACTGTTTATTGGTACATTTAAAGCAAATAATACAGTTATATTTATCATTGGGCTCATGTGCCTTTACATGATATGTCTTGTTTTTTGTTTTTTTTTTTAAGAATAAGCTTTTTTTTCCTTGGTACCAGGGATTGAACTCGGGACCTTGTACTTGTGAGGCAGGCAGCGGAACTACTGCGCTAAATCCCCAGCCCTATTGGAACATTTTAGATTGGAAAATCCTTTCACTTTGCATGGTAGATTATGAATATTTGCTTAATTTTTCATTTTTTTCCTAATAAAATATTTTTGCATTCATGTTATTTTCTGCCCACTGAATTTAGGTGGTGGGCTTTTAAGTAAAGAAGGCAAAAGAGTGGGATCCGGGTTTAGATCATTGTTTCTCAGAATGGCTTTTTCAGGTCATTTCAGACTCTGAAGGAAACTAAACATATCAGTGAGTCTTGTGAGTCCTCTCCAGTTTTCAGTTCAGTGATATGCTTACAGATTAAAAAGTTAAGTATATTTAGTGTTTTCTGGATGTCAGTCTTGACACTGAGCCTTTGACTTTACTGCCCAAGCTCAGACTTGTTTTGATTGTGTTGACCCTGGTTAACTTATGATCTAAAGGGACACTATTACTTTGTAATAGTTTTTCCTCAGCTGCAGGTGCAAAGGCAGTCTCAAGGCACATCTAAATACTAGTTTATATGCGTCTATGTCTTTGGCACAGTGTAGAAACACTGAATGGAATTTGAGTTTCATTGAAATACTATAGATCTACTTAAGTTTAAAGAGCTTACATTTGGTAGTTTATTTTTTACTTATTTTTATTTTTTGCTGCACTGGGGATGGAAGCCAGGGCCTTTGCACTGAGCTGCCTATCCCTACTCCTATTTTAAAATTTCACTTGAGGCTTCAAAAATAGACCCAGCTCAATTTCACAGTACACCTTTTCTCTTGTACTTTATTTCTGATTGTATGCTTTTAAACTTCCTAATAACCCCCTATATACCTTTTAAAAATTAAAAATAATTATTACTATGTTTGTTTTTGGTACTGGGGCTTGAACCCAGGACCTCTTTACTGAGCTATGTCCCTAACCCTTTTTAAAAAAATGTTTACTTTAGAAACAAGGTCTTGCTAAGTTGCCCAGTCAGGGCTTGAACTTTCAGTCCTCCTGCCCCAGCCTGCCCAAGTGTAGGGATTACAGGCATGTGCCATTATGTGCAGCTTTTTTTTTTTTTTTTTTAGGCAATGTCTCACTAAGTCACCTAGGGTGGACTTGAACTTGTTATTGTCCTGCTTCAGCCTCCCAGTGTTAGGATTATGGGTGTGTGCCACCATACCTAGCATGTTTGGTAATTTAATGAAACCCTAGATACCCTAATTTTTGGTGCAGTTCAGTGGAGCCTGCTATGAAGTGTTGACTATTGAAGAGCATTGATAAAATCAAATAAAGGTGATGGCTTGGCTGGTGATAGGTTTACATTCTCTGCATTCTTTGCTGATTGAGCACTGAAACACAGTGCTCAGTTTTGTATTCTCTGTTGCTTTCCGGCTGCCTGTCAGAAGGCACCATTCTGGCCAGTTGAAAGTATCTGTCATTTCCTAGGCTTTGACTTGTGATGGAAAGTCCCCAAAATTAGTGCTTTATTTTTACATAATGATAATTTTTCTTCATTGCCTGCTGAATAATACTTGTTACAAAAGAAAGTCAGTTAAAAATCTCTGTCAGAGCTGGGCAGACGGCACATGCCTGCAATCCTAGTGCTCAGTGAAGCTGAGAGGCAGGAGGGTCACAAATTCCAGTTCCACGTGGGCAATGCAGTGAGACCCTGTTTGAAAATAAAATCATAAAAAGGCCTGGAGATGTAGTTCTGTGATAGAGCACCCATGAGTTCAATCCCTAGTAAGATTAAAAAAGAAAAACCCCAAAAACCAAACACCTTTTTTTTTGGTACCCAGGTTCAAAACAACTTTCTGCCTGTGAATATATAATTTTTCTATTTTTGTATTTTAGGTGAACTTCATCTACCTTGTCAGAAGCACAAAAAAAACGCTGTTATCTCTAACTTTGGTATGTACGGTTACATTCCTCCTTGTTTGCAGTGGAACCTTTTTCCCATACAGCTCCAGTCCTACTAATCCAAAGCCAAAGAGAATGATTCTTCAGGTAAGAACAATTCTGTGGGAGTTATTTGAGATTCAGGAGGAGAAATTCTCCTTGTGTGTTTTGCGCTTTAGCAGTGAACTGGAAACTCAACTGACTTCTGCTCTTGACCTGTTTAGTTCTCTACTCTTGTATGTAAGGCAGTAAGGAAAAAGACTGAACATCAAGGGGCATTCTTATTAGGTAGACCTTATTTCTCCTCACAGGAAGAATTGGGAATGTTTAACTACTAAAATTATCAAACTACTTGTTTGGATAAACAAGAACAAATATGTAGCAGGGAATGACGAGCATTTAGAAAAACAAATTGCATAAATGTCTATAGGCTGAGTAAAGATCTTAACAATTAACTAGCAAAATAAAATACGGCATTTTAAAATGTTAGTTAAAATTGAGTTTCGATGGGTATAGTATTGCAGGCCTGTAGTCTCAACACCCTGGGAGGCTGAGGCAGGACTGCAAGTTCAAGCCCAGCTGGGGCAATTTATCAACTTAGGGAGTCTCCAATTTAAAAAAAAAAAAGCCAGGAATGTAATTGAGTCCAAAGGCTCTGGGTTCACTTCCCAGTACCTAAATAAGTAAGAGCACATAAATAAAAACTCAGGTAACATTCACAGTAATATGTGATGGTGTGAAGTCTAACTTAGACAGGGATTACTAAAATGAGATATAGAACTTTGTGTAGATTTTTTAGAGCTGGTATAAAGCCACAGCTTCATTTTCAGTCCTCTGTGTTAAAGGTTGTGAATAGCCAAACAGAATGTCAAAGGAGTCATAACCTGGATACAGTGGACCTTTGATTTACGAACTAGATTGGTTCCTAAGGGTTGGTTGTAACTCAAGTTGAGTGTAAGTCAATACAGCTGAGATCTGGATGTTTACCTGGATACACACCATAGATAATGAGGCAGATGAATCTTCCATTAACCAATTAACTGAAATTGTTTATATGTCAGGCCAGTTAACTTGAGGGTCCACTGTTTTGAAGGACTAGAAAAATTAAAAATACTTAGATTTTGAAAATGGGCCAGATATGCTTTGCTTTTAGTCCTGTGGGACACTGGTATATTTTATGTGACAACTTTTATAATTTGCAAAACCTTTAGTGAAGAACAGATAGTTTTTAGGAGGTTGTAGTTTCTACTGGCATGCCAATTTTTATAATCATGCTAGTAAGGTTAGGAAAAGCTTGATTTCTGTTTAAAAATAAAATCCTGCTGTAATTTGAGGTTCTTTAGCCAGAACGGGTACACTAGAAGTTGACAAATTTACCTAAAGAGGCAAGATAATAAATATTGTAGGCCATGTGAGCTGTAGATTAAACCTCAGCCAATGTGTGTGATTGTGTTCCAATAAAACTTTATATATTCAGTGGGTAATTTGGCCTGGTCCTTTTTCTTTTGCTGTTGGGTTTTTTTTAGGCTGGTTTCTGCTTTAACTGCTGAATGGTTTATCCTGAGCATCACTTAGGCAGCACATGTTTCCCTACTGACTCTCTCGAGCATCACTTGGGCAAGTGTCATTTCAACCAATGGATTCTTTTTTTCTTCTTGTTTTTTTGAGACAGGGTCTTGCTTTGTAGTTCAGGCTGGCCCTGAGCTCACTGCGCAGCCCAGGCTGGCCTTGAACTCAAGGCAATCCTCCTGCCTCTGCCTCTCCAGTACTGGGATTACAGTCATGTGCCACTATGCCTGGCCAGTGGATCCTTGTATTGAACAGATTTGATAAAACTGTCATTTTTATATTTCCTATTATAAAAATTGATGAAAAATATGCAATTTTTGGTCATCCTGTGTTTCAGTAATTGGACTGATAAGTGGTTAATACAGCTATTTATGAAGCTTGGGGCTTTTTCACAGAATTGTATTAGGCACAAGACTGTTAACCTTTTTCTCTGTATGAATTAGCTTCGTGTCACACACTGAAATGATTGTGAATGTGTAATGTGTTTTGGATGTATTTGTTTTAAATCTTTTTTTTTTTGGTACTGGGGATTGAACTTGGGTCCTTGGTGCTTACGAGGCAGGTGGCAGCACCACTGAGCTAAATCCCCAGCCCTATATCCTTTTCTAAAAGGTATAAAATTTATATCTTTTTAAGTCCTACAGGAGATGAGGTTTTGCTATGTTGCGCAGGCTAGTCTTGAACTCCTGGATTCAAGCGATCATCTCGCCTTAGCCTCCTGAGTAGCTGGTATTATCAGTGTACAACACTGTACGCATCCGAAGTTTTTATATAAAATTAAAATATAAAAATATATTTGTAGATACAATGACAGTCACTTATATATCCATAATCCAGTTTAAAAAATCAACCTCTAGCCATATCTTACTAAACCTAAGCATTCTTTTCTCATTTCTTGGTATGATCATATTTTATTCAGTCTTTATTAATTTGGTTTGGGAATGTAGAAAGTAGTTTAAATGGTTTTCTCATTACTCTTGTTCTTTTCAGCATATGACTAGAACGTTTCATGACTTAGAAGGAAACATAGTTAAAAAGGACTCTGGAATATGGATCAATGGGTTTGATTATACTGGAATGTCTCATATAACACCACACATTCCTGAAATCAATGATACCATTCGAGCTCACTGTGAGGAGAATGCACCCTTTTGTGGTTTCCCATGGTATCTTCCAGTGCACTTTCTGATCAGGTTGGTTCATTACTTTTCTACGTAAGTTGGGGTTTAGTTTGTTCTCAAGTCCTGTCAGTACATTAGTACTCTTATTTTTAAGTTTTTACACACTTAACCCTCAAGTCAAGGGCTATATATGCTATTTTTCAATCACTACAAAACTTCATCAATGAAATTTAACTTGGATAATTTTGCTTTTTCAAATTTAAAAAGTCTTCTAGAAACCTGAGCACTGGGAAAGGGTGACATTCTGTAAGAATATGATAGATGGCAGTTAAGCATCAGTCTGAAATGGTTTTATTTCTGGGAAATTTTTATAGTTTGGCAGTGAAGAATTGGATGAGGATAGGATGTGTAGTGGAAATCAAGATTCCCTAGTGTCTTAAGTCACTTTTCCTTGTTTCTGGGACAAAATACTCAGCAGCCACAATGTAAAGGAGAAGACCTTTATTTTGACTTATGGCTTTTAGAGGATTCAGTCCATAACTGGCTGGCTTCAAGGCAGGAAGTGCATGGTGGAAGGGCCTGCCTCAGAGGAAAGCTGCTTAGTCTTGGCAGCCAGGAAGCCAGAGGGGAAGGGAGGAGCCAGGGAGGGACATACACCCTTGAAGATGACACCCCCAGATCACACTCTTCTGACCAAAACCTACTCCTAACAGCAAGACTGCTGTAGTGCTCCATAATCCAATTACCTTCCTTCCAAAGGCCCCACCTCTGAATACATGATACTTTTGGGCGGTATTTATAGCTAAACTAAGAACAAAGGAGTTGCCTAGGTATTAAGTTGAGAATATCTTACTAAGAGAAGTTCGTGTCCTTTATTATACCTGTCAGTTTGTTTATTCAAAGATGCGTGCACGTATTCTAAACACTGAAATGGATAGCTATCAACTAATAAGGCATCCTAAGTATTGAAGCTACCTTTCCACATAGGAAAAACTGGTATTTTCCTGCCTCAGAAGTTTCTCCAAGAAATCCTGCTCATTTCAGACTTACAGCCAAAGAACAGACACCTTGGGATTCTGTAAAGTTGACCTTCGAAGCCACAGGTAAGTCAGATGTCAATTTTCCCTTCTTTCACTGCTCCCTGGCTTTATGCGGGCTGAGGATTGAACCCAGCGCCTTGTGCATGCTGGATACTGGCTTCGCCACTTGAGCTACATTTCCAGCCTATTTTAACTTTGTTTTGAGGCGAGGTCTTGCTAAATTATCCAAATTGGGCTCAAAGTTGTAGTCTTCCTGCTTTAGCCGCCTGAGTAGCTAGGATTATGGGCACGAGTCACTACACCTGGTTTATTCATGTTTTAATGTTACGTTTTGTACTGAAATTAAAAAAGTTTGGTTATCCCAGCTGCTCCAGGGGCTGAGGCAGGAAGACTGCAAATTTGAAGGTAGCCTGGACAACATTGTAAGACCCTCTCAAAATAAAAAGGGCTTAGGGGCTGGGGTTTTAGCTCAGTGGTTCGGTGGCCTGCCTCACAAACGCAAAATAAAAAGGGCTGGTGTATAGCTCAGTGCTCTCTGGGTTCAATTGCTCGTACCATAAACCACCAGCCAAACAAAACAGCCCCAGAAAGCTTATTTCTTATGTGTATCTTTTTTTTTTCTTTTTTGGTACTGGGGATCAAACTCGGGACTTTGCACTTTCCAAGCAGGCAGTGGAATCACTGAGCTAATTCCCCAGCCCTCTTATTTGTATTTTTTAGTACCAGTAATGAATTTGAAGAAATGGTGAGGCATCCAGTGCATAAACTGCCTTTGTTCAAATGTTTTTATGTCTTTTCGGAGTGTTGTACAGTTTTCTTCATCTAGATTTTGTGGCTATAACTTGGTTGTTTTATGTTCTACCTCCTATTATTTTTTGAGGTAGTTTTAATAATTCATACTCTTAGATTTTCAAGGTGCAACAGGGATTGTGAAATTATTTTTATAAAGGGTTGGATAGTAAATATTTTGGGTTTTGCCACATAGATCTGTGTAACAGATTCTTTTCTATTTTTGTTAATCACCCTTTAAAAAAATGTAAGAAACCATTCTTAACCTGAGGGCCATACAAAGAATAGACCTCAGGTGGGGTTTATTGACTGCGCATCATCTACAAATATACTATTTCTATACCAATTTTTAGGCCTCTAACTTTTTGAATTATTAGTAATTCTCACGTAGTGTAGAAGTCATGGGTACAGTGAACATCCTTCCTTTGTTTCTATTAGGGCAGAGGTCTGTAGTGTTTTCCTGCATGTAAGATACTGCCCTTAGGACTAAGGCGTGTATTTTTATCATGTTCAGCAGGCATTCATCAACTGTAAGTTTCTTGAATTTTTAAAATCAGGAATGGGTGTTTAATTTTGTGAAAGGCTTTTTAAGCATCTATGAAGTAACGTTATCACAACATTTTTCTGCCTTGTATCTCACCGTGGTATATTCCAATTCCTGACTTACAATTTTCGTAATCTGATGATAGAATTTCTTTGCTAATGTTTCCTAATGTTTAGAATTTTACATCACACGTGAATACTGTTTTTTATTCTTTTCATCAGATTTACATTAAAATAGTTCTCTTTCCCTTTATTTTCAACAATTTATGGCACACTAGAATTATTTGGTTGAAAGGTTAGCTTGAATTCTTCAGTGTGAACATCTTAATAACTTTCTAGGAAAACTGGTCAGGTTAGACTTAATTATTTTGGTACTCTATAGTTTCCTAGCAAAGTACAGTACTAGTTCCTTTTGGACTTAAGTGTGAAGTCCGTAAAATAGTGAAGATTAAAAAAAATTTTGTGTGTGACATCTTTACTTTTGTGTATTTGTGATTCTTCAAGTTAGGTAGTGTTTCTTACTGTTATTAAGAAAAAACAGTTGGGTATTTGACTTTTAAAATTAGTTTTTGTTTTATTCTTTCATTTTGTTAGCAGCTTTTATCTTTTGTACTTCCTTGTGCTTTCTTTTGGTTACTTCATCCCTCCACACCCCTCCCCCAACTTTTTTTGAGACAGGGTGTCAATTTCAAGTCCAGGCTGGTCTCAAAATTCACAATCTTCCCCCTCATCTTCCCAAGTGCTGGGATTATAGGTGTGTACCACCATTCCTGGCTGTTGAAGTTATTTTTAGTTTTACTACAAAAACTATTACTATGACTTTTAGTTTTTATTCCTGCTTTCTGTGTATCCAGTGTAGGTTTTGTTTTATTTTTCCAGTACAAGGTCTCATTATGTAGTTCAGACTGGCCATAAACTCCCTGCTATCCCAGGCTGGACTTAAACACACAGTGATCCTCCTGTCACAGCCTCCCAAGTGCTGGTATTACAGGTGTGTACCACCACAACTGGCTTAATTTATATTTCAGACTTACAGGTTTACTGGGATGAATGAGGTGTGGTCAAAATGCAAGGGAAATATTGTATTTAAAACTGTTACAATAAAGACATATTGCCATTCATTCCTCTCTAAATATCCCTCATTTTAAACATCATTTGTGCAACTTTCTGAAGCAATTCTTCTTTTGTCATTGTATTGTCAAGGCTACTTTGATGTCCCGAATTAATTGAAAACATTTACCTTTCATGGTCATTTTGAATTTGGGGAATAGCTAGAAGTTGCATAGTGCCAGATCCAGTAAATAGGGAAGAGGAGGACACACTGTAAAGGGTTTGAGCATAAAAAGTTGGTCAGTGCAGTGTGACTTAAAAATACAGTGAATATTTAAAGTAAAAAAAAGGTACTGTAGTAAGATACATTGCCATTGATTCCCCTCGAGTACTCCCACATACTTCAAACACACTTCCCTCCTTTTAAAAAAGATTTATTTTTGGTACTGGGGATCGAACTCAGGACCTTGTGCTTATCTCCAGCGTCTCCCTCATCGTTCTTGACAGTGTCTTTTACTGTGATGTTAAACATTCACCAGTTTTGATCACCCCAACATGCTTATCCAATCAGTATACTGTGTCTTGCATGGCTAGTAGCGTCCCCTCGCCCTCACTGGGGATTGAATTCAAGGCCTTTGCATTAGACAAGTTCTCCCAAAGTTGCCCAGGCTGGGCTCCAGCTTGCCAACCTGAGTATAGTACTGGGATTACAGTTTTGTGCCACTGTACCTGTCATCTTTTGTAGTTTTGTCCCATAAAGCATTGGCTGTGTGACTTGATGTATATTCAGTTTTTATATCTGCATTGTGAATTGTGACTTTTAGCATTTAAAAAGTGCTGTTATGTTTAAGGCTTTCTGTCTTCAGTGCTATTCTTTTTGGATATCAGATGGGCCTTTAAAAAAATTACTTCCAACTGGATATGGTGGCTAATGCCTAGAATTCTAGCACTTGGGTGGCTGAAGCAGGATTGCTGCAAGTTCAAGCCCATCCTGCGCTACATTGAGATCAAGGCCAGCATGAACATTCTTTTGTCACCAAGTTTGCCTACTATACTTTTCCTCTTCATTTTCCTTCCAGTTTTTGTTACAGGCAGTATTTGCCTTCCACTGTTACCTCAGTATTTTAATAATGTATATTTACTACTAAAATCCTATTTATCAATTCTGCTGAAAATTTTAATTATCTCTTGGTTGGATGAAACCTACCCTTCTAAACAGGGGCTCATGAATACTATGTTCCTGTATGTTTAAAACTGGTATTCTATGAGCTGGGTGTGCTGGCGCACAGCTATAATCCCAGCACTCGGGAGGCTGAGACAGGATTGCTGTGAGTTTGAGACCAGCCTGGGCTACATAGTGAGTTAGTTCCAGGTCAGTCTCAACTACATAGTGAGACCCTGTCTCAAAAAACCAAAAATAATCAAAAGCAAAAAACTGGCATTCTAGGGGCCAGACATTTAGCCCAGCAGCACCATGCCTGCGTTGCATGCGCAAGGTTGAGTTCGATCTCTGGTACCAAAAAACCAAACCAAATGGTATTCTGTAACCCTGATAATGAAGGATACTGGTGGGTATCAAAATTTAGTTTGAACTTTCCAGTATTAAAAAAAAAAAAAAAAATTGTCCTCATTGTTGCCTTGTTTTGTGTACTGTTTCTGCAGTCTGACACCAATGTAATTTTCTTAGTCCTATATTTGACATTTTTATTAAGATCTTAATTTGTTTTACTTGAGTACATCTCTAAGTTTTTCATTCTGAGTTGATATTCTAAGGTTCCAGATAGGCTGTTTCAGTGTGTAGATTCTGGTTTCTTTCTGAAAAATTTTCTCATATTAGTTTTTAAGTTATGTTCCATTATAGTATTTTACTTCTTTAGGGTTACAGATTAAATGACTATTGGTTATGATCTGCCTTCCAATTTTTATCTCCCACTGAGCTTTTTTACTTGCCTTTTCTTTTTCTTAGTACCTTTTCAGCCTTCTCATGATTTTTATTTTGAGTTTATTCTGCCTTGGACATTGTTTTACTTTGTCCCTGAGACACAGTACCTGACATCTACAACTTTAAAGGAGGTGTATTTTAGCTCAGTTTTACTGTAAATGTGCTGCTGAAGAGAGCACTGGCTAAGTTTGTATAGGCTTCAGTTCATAGCTAGCTCTAAGGTAGAGGGAAAGGCAGAAAGAAGCAGAGAAAGATGGAGGGGGAGATAGACTCTTCCAGGCCCTGCCCCCAGTGACCTGCCTCTGACCAGGGACCTCTAGAAATGAATCATACAGAAATTTTGTAATTTGCCTTTTCCATTTGTTCCCCCTTTTAGTTTGTATACTTCTGAGATTTAGAATTTCTGATTTGTTATAGGTTTTTCCATATTCTCAAGTAGTTTTCAAAATGTACTTTAGTTTGTCTTAGCATTTTCTTTTGCTTAGAAATGTTGGTCCACAGTTTCTATTCTTTTCTTCTGGAATTTGTAAAATAGCCAGTGTGCCCCTCTTCTGTCAGCACAACAGACTTTTAAGTTTTAAATTTTGTCTTGGTGGGGATGGCTTTAAGTTTTCCAGGACAAAGTTGCCCTTATTGCCTTTCACCTTTACCACCCAAGTGTCAAAGGATGCTACCACCCCTTTTATTTTCCTAGAAGCTTTGCATTTGAAAAATACTTCAATAGTGTGTAATGTAGCTTTCCCTTAAATTTTGCTTCTGTTGGGACTCTAGCATGCTCAGATTTAAAGTGGACTTGCTTGGTTTGCATTTACTTGTCACAAAGCTTTGCTGCAGGAATGGGTCAGGCATGAGGAAGTCACATCCATGCCTCATTTAAAAATTTATCCTTTATTCACATTGGGGTATTGTCCATCTTAACATTAGATGGAGGTTATGTTTTAGTTTTAGTTAACAGCTTTTGTTGTTAGAACTTCTTGCTGCTTTAAAGAAAAAAACTAGAGAATACTGTAATATTATGTATCAAGTCTGTCTGCAAACTGCCATTCTATTCATAATACTGTTCAGTACTTTTAAAGCACTTTGCAGGCTTTTTAACACTTTCACATGCTTTTTACTCTCTCAAAAATCTACTTCACAGATGAAAAAATTGAGTCAGATTTATTACATGAATGCCTAGTATCATGTAGCAGTTGACAATACCAACATTTAACACAAGCTTTCTTGTTTGGATTCTGTACCTTTTCTCCTATACTTCACTTCTTAACCTCTTTGATACTGATACTGAATGCCCAAATGAGTAAACGTCTGTAGTGAATACATTTAAAATAATGTAAGGCCTAAACCTTCACAGTATGGTTTGGGTGCTGGTTAACTGCTTTACTTGATGCCTTTTAAAAAAAGATTGATAGAACTGTTCTTCCTCATCTTACAGGACCAAGCCATATGTCATTCTATGTTCGAACCCACAAAGGATGGACACTTTCTCAGTGGTCTCTGGGCAGTGGCACTCCAGTCACGTGTAAAGGGGGAGACTATTTTGTATTTTATTCCCATGGACTCCAGGCCTCTGTGTGGCAGTTCTGGATAGAAGTGCAGGTAGGCATTTCCCAGCAGTTCTTGTTTTATTGAACAGTCTTCTGTGTGGTATACAGCAAGAACCTCAGTTTGAGCATCCTGGCTTCCTCCAGCAGGTCTCGGGAGAACAGCCTGAAGGAGGAATGGTCACTGTAGCTCTTGCTGCCCACTATCATTCTGGAGAAGACAACAGATCCTCTCAACTGACTGCTTTGAAAGAGAAGTTCCCAGATTGGGTATTTCCCTTTTCCTGGGTGTGCACTTATAGCCTCTTTGTGTTTTAATCTTGTGGATGAACTCTAAGTACACGTCCAGAGGATACTCCATGTGATAGTTTCTCCCCACGTTACATGGCTGTGTCATGTAAGTCAATGAATTTTAATGAGCATATGTTCAACAAGCTTTTTAGGTTAATACTTGTTAGGGTCAAGTACACTGGGTGAAACTAGAGAACAGTAAGGCATGGCCTTTTTGACACTTGAGAATGCCAGGTTTTTGGCACTTAAGTAAATGTGGTTACTGCTACTGCACAATGAAATGTCATTTTATAAGACCTTCAGGATAAAGAGCCAATAAACCACTTCAATAGCTATCCCTCTTAAAATCAAGAAGGGTGAAGACCAGTGATAGTGAACTTTTTAGAGCTTTCAGTGATAACAGGCAGCTGCAACATGACTGATAAAGACTGTCAGACCACTACTGAGAGAAGTCATTTCCAATTAAAGCCCAAGACCATTTGTTGTGTTAGTGAATGGTGGGTAAAAAATACTATTTGCTGGGGTAGGGACTCTCCTCAAGATACAACTTTTAGTTCACTGGAAAGTGATTGCCCTGCGGACTATCGAAGAAGCATTGGACCTTTGAGGCCCTAACAGCTATACAACACTTACACTTCACCAGGCTGCCCCTAGAGCAGTGGTGTTCAACTTAGGGCACATGTGCTGAAGCTGGCTGTTTATTATCACTGTAAGCTCTAAAAATTTTGCCATCACTGCTTGGGAGTATTCTTTGTCCTGAAACTTAGACCGCTGCTGTAGGCAGGTCCTGAGCTTAGTGACTGATTGTCTGACACTTTGTCACTGACGGCCATTGCTGTGTGCTGTGCTGCTCTCCTGAAGAGGTTTTCCTCTGAAACATACTTGTTCTCCTTTCTCTTCTTTACCAGTATGAGAAGGGAAGTATTTGTTCAGTTACATTTCCCTCTGGGTTTTCACAGGTTCCTTTGATTCAAAAATTGCACAAATATATGACTTGAAGGTTCCTCCTCAGAGCAGAGCTGCCAGCATGGCCATTCTGGGGTGATGAGGATAATGGGGATGGAGAGCTGTGACATTTTAGGTATTTATTCTTTTGTTTTGGTAATTTACTGTCCAGTGGGACCAGGTTTCCTGAGACTTGAGTTTGTGGCCTGTATGGGAATAGATCATTGTACCTAAAGCTGTTAGTGTGTATCAAAGTAGCACCTCTGTGGCTTTTAGGTTACAGCAGTGATAGGGTTTGGTGAGATGAGTGGTAAATTAGGCTTTAAAGTAATTCCCATTCTGAAATGTTTTTGACAAAACTGAGCTTGTATTTGTTGAACAGTAAGCCCTAGTTTTGTTTTTTTTAAGTAGACTTACCAAGAGCATAGTAATTATGTATCAAAGGAGAAAACTTTCCTAAAATTTCTTCTGTGACTTACATGGTGCACTTGAACTATGCTCAACTAACTGGGCCTCTACAGATAGCAATACTGCAGCCAAAGCTGAATGTAACATTCTGTATTCTGGCTGTCTCTTCCCAGAAGTGACACTTTATGGAATGCATTCACTGGTTTTCCTGAACTTTATAGAAACCAAATTTTTTCAAATTCAAGTTTTTGGCTATATATGCCAGTATTGTAGTAAATAAGGTTTTCAGGGCTTATAGTTTATACAGAATCAGAATTGTGGAGAAAAGTAACAGCAGTAGTATCTCAGTTTCATAATATAGCTTATGTATTGTCCCTGTGGTTAATCTGAAAAAAGATTATTAGACATTTATAGAAAAAGTAAAGCACCATGTTGGAGACTGTATGAACAACAAATTGCTCCTTTTGCTATTTTTACTTTGGGAAGAAAGACATTTCAGTAATAATCATGGTTTTCTTTAGCATTACAAAGCTTGGATATTTTGCAGTCAGTAACAAGATGCTCATGCTTAGTATCTGGGAGGCTATTTTAATGCCAGAAATGGTCAAGTAATTACATGCAGTATTCATAACGCTGTAATAAGCATACAATCTGTCATAGCAGTCTTGACATTAAACCTGTTAGGTCCTGTCCTTTTAACTACTTACCAGCCCAATTATTTAAATATAGGATGACCAAAAGTTCAGTATTTTTATTTCATTAATTTTTATAACAAAATATAAAAATAATTTTATCAAATTTATTCAATACAAGAATAGAGTGAAGTTGGACAGTTAGCTCAGTGGTGCCATGCCTGGCAAGTGCAAGGTCCTGAGTTCAATTCCTGGTACCAAAAAAAAAAAAAGTGCAATTGGAATGATATTTACCCAAGTAACACTTGACATAATTAGTACACAAACAAGCTACCCAAATGACCTTCAGGGTAAACTGTTATATCACCACTTGATACTTCTGATTTAAAGCTCTAACAAATACATTTAAATTCTGTAGGAAATAAGTAGTGCAGTACCACATATTTAGGGAAAGTGTGAAGATTTGTCATTTCAGAATAATTATGTTTGATCTAAGAATGATTGTTGGGTGAAGTGTTTCAATAATTTAGCAGATATAATTGAACATGGGAGGATTTACTAAGATACAACCAAGGGGGCACTTCAGACTGCTGACTAGGGAAGCATGAATGTTTCACTGGTATGCTGACTTGCTGAGAATTATTACCTTACAATGTTACTGAAATAAACATACTGGTTGGTATCTGTTAAACAAAAACATCTTTCACTGCTTATGCTTTATTCCCATATTTCAAGTCTACAGAGCCTACAGATGGCTCATGTGGCTGTAACTGCTATTTTAATTAAGTGATAGGAACAAAGAACTTAACACGGAAATGTTTACATCAGTTGGAATCTTTTTGACCTTGGAATGAAATGGTGCATCTCAATTTCAAATATTTAGAAGTTTGGTAATTTCATCCCGCAAGGGAGATGATTTTAAAGGGCTAAATAGTATGATTCCTTTATTAGGGGTAGGACAGAGGGAAGAAATTAGCCAGAGTGGACCCCCCCATGTAATTAATCTCAACCCAAGGGAAAGGCAGAATGCCCAAACAAAGCAGGTCTCTGTCCAAGTTTTTTAATTTAGTACAAAGTGAAACAAAAATCCATTCTTTAATATACCTCCACTTTTAGGCCCAATAAAGCCAAGATACACTTATGCTTTGTTGTGTCTGTTTTCACTTACTTAAAATACAGAAATTTGGGGCACATCATATCAAATATATAATGACTTAAAAACTCTTACCGTGTCGACAACTTCTTTTACCCATTTTGGCCTATAGCATAATCAGCGTTTATCCTAGGAATGCAAAGTTGATTCAACTTGGGAAAACCAACCAGTGTGACATGTCCATATTTGTTGAATTAAGTATAGAAACCTCAGTAGATGCAAAAATTTTTTTTCTTTTACAAATCTAAAACCTTTCCATGATAAAAATCTTCAACAGACTTAGAACTTAACTTAGTTAAGGTCATCTGTGAACAACATAAACAAACAGAAAAGACAAGGTATCCATCATGCCAGTTCTGCTTCCTTTCTAGCCAGGGCAATTCTGCAAAAGAAAAGGCATCCAGGGTGGAAAGAAAAAGCTAAAACCATCTCTACTTGTAAATAACATGACTGTCTATATAGAAAATCCTGAGGAGGCCAAATGTATACATAAAACCTTAGCTTCAGTGGTATTCATGACTCAGGATCAATATACAGAAATCAACCATTTCCATACATAGTCCAAAACTGAAATTTCATTGTTCCACAAACACATAGATCACTGTTCATTAAAGCCAACAACTTATACAAATAAAGGGAAAATATTTTTCCATAACAACTGGTGCTCAAACAATTGAATATCCATATGTAAATTATACCATACCATATAAACTAAATGAAAATGGAACAGAGACCTAAATATAGAAGCTAAAACTATAAAATTCATAGAGAAAAGGCATAAAAATATAATTTGAATTAGGCAATGTTTCCCCTAGCTATGACACCAAAAACAAAGGCAACCAGTGAAAAAAACTGGTCAGAAACAAGGCAAGGATGTTCACTCACCTCAGTACAGTTCTTGAAATTTTAGCTGGTTAGGCAAGAAGAAGAAGAAGGCAAATTATCTTTGTAGATAACATGGTTCTGTATGCAGAAGACCCTAAAGGTTCTACCAGAGACTTTTAGAGCTAGTAAATGAATTCAACAATGCAGCAGGATATAAAATCAACTTTAAAAATCAAAAGCTTTATCATACAACAGTAAAAGACAAGTCTTTATACCAAAAATGGACTAGCTGAGAAATCAGGCAAACAATTCCATTCCTAATGACTTCAAATAAAATAATAGGTGAATGATCTCTAAATAAAAATTTCAGAAGTGAAGAAAGTGGACCACCCCCCCTCTTGCACTGGTAGAATTAATACAGTCAAATAGCCGTATTACCAAAAGTGATCTACACATTCAGTGCAATCTCAATCAAGATACCTAGGATATTCGTTATGGAATTAGTAAAAACAATCCTTAAATTCATATGGAAACACTAAAGGTCCAGAATGGCCACATCCTAAGCAAAAAGAATAAGGCTGGAAGCATCACAATACTCCATTTCAACTTATACTACAAAACCATAGAAAAAATGCATAATAACTGGCATAAAAATAGACATATAGCATAGTGGAACATGGGCCGGGGACTTAGCTCAGTGGTTCTGCCACCTGCCTCAAAAGGTGGCAGCAAGGTCCTGAGTTCGATCCCCAGTACCAAAAAAATAAATTAAAAAAAGATTTATCTTTTTAGAGTAGTGGAACAGAATAGAGGATGCAGAAACAAATCTATACAACAAAGAGTCAAAAATGTATGTTGGCAGTCCCTTTAAACAAATGGTGCTAGGAAAACTGGACATCTCTTGTAGAAGACTGAAACTGGTCTATTAATGAAACACAGGAAACACTTGAAGCCACAGGCAAAGACTTCCTTAATAGGATTCCCAGTAGTACAGGAGATAATAGTAAGAATCAACAAATGGAACCACATCAAATTAAGTTTCTGCACAGCAATAGAAATAGCTAAGAAACAACTTATAGAATGGGAGAAAATCTTTAGTATTTCTGAGGATTATTATCGAGAATATAAAATGAACCTGAAAAATGTAAAGTACATGTAACTAATAAGTATTTTAAAAATGTTCAACATCTTTAGCCATTTGGTAAATTCAAATCAAAACTATGATAAAGAGTCCATGTCATCCCAGTCAAAATGACTAGAAAGTAGTGGGCCCCCAAATTCATGGGAGTTATATCCCTACAGTATCTGCAAATTGTGAAAAACTGCAAGTTTCAGATAAGGTCAGAAAAAAGCCTATAAATGCCTATTTTTTATAGTTCAAACTCTAAATGTGCTACGTCTCCCACACTTAACGCAATTTAATAAAATACTATATTAAAAAAGCCTTAGAAGGTACAGTGTTTTTGTGGTATCTTAGGGCTTTAAGACCAAAACTAAGAACACTGGAGACAGTTAAATGTGTTACAGTAACCTATGATGATGGAATGCTGGTGCCATCTGCTTGAGATAGGTTATAGACCAGCAGCCAATCAGCAGCAAGGGGAATGGAATAATATTCTCAGATTGCTACTTGCAAACCTGCCAAAAAAAACAAATGAAGATATTTGCAGTTTCTGTGAAATTGCAGGAGTTTCTACAAACTGTTAGGTTCGAAGGAAAAGTCTGAATGACTGAGGCCATGAATTCTGAACCACGACTTTATGGGGGTATACTGTATAAACATTTTTAATCATTTGGAAAATTCAAACCAGAACTACATTGAAATTTAGTCTTACCTCAGTCAGAGTGTCTATCATCAAGAAATCAAGGCTAGTTAATTAGTACAGCCACTGTCAAAATCAGTATGAAGGTTCCTCAAAAAACAAAAGTACAATACCTTTTGATCCAGCTATATCACTTCTTTGCTATATACCCGAAGGAATTAAAGTCAGCATACTATTAGGGCACTGCATCTGCATAAAGAACCAGCCTAAGTGCCAACAACAGATGAATGGGTAAAGAAAATGTAGTACATAGTACACACACACACACCCACCCACCCAAGAATGTTATTTAGGCATAAGGAACAACAATCATGTTGAGTAAAGTAAGCCAGACTCAGAGAAGTATCACGTTTTCGCCAGTTAGCTGAATCTAAAAAAATGACAAGAAATTAGAAGGCAGACTATTATTAAATAGGAAGGGGAAAACGTGTAATGGTAGATAACGGGGAATAGATACGAGCAAAATATATATGCATTGAAATCCTCATCCTGCGTGAAACTAGGAAGGCAGGACAGGGCACAGGGTAATTAACCAGTAAGAGTGAAAAATAAATTAGAATTAATAAAAATGAAAAACCTGTTTGAAAGGATACTAGAAAAGACACGAGATTTTTGTAAATCATGTATCTAAAACAGATTTAGTATCCACAATAAAGAATCAATGTATACCAGTGATAAAAAGAGAAATTATCTGTTCACATTTTTCTTTGAAGATCTACAACCAGCATATACATATCAGCTCTTTTGGTGGGTGGGGGGTACCAGGGATCGAACTTAGGACTGCACTTGCAAGGCAGACGTGGTGCCACTGGGCTAAATCCCCAGCCCTACATTAACTCTTAAGCACAATAGAAATTATAGTGACATCTCCATTTCATACACATCTTGGATTGCTTTGATTAAAAAGACAGTAGGCAAGTTTTGGTAGAGACTGGGACCTCTGTAAACTGCTTCCTAAATGTCAGTGCAGGCAGTCTGAAATAGTTTGGCATTTCTGCAAAATATTAACCAGTTACTATTCTAGCAGTTCTACTCAGAAATGAGCACCTCCCCACACAAGGAGATACACTCTAAAATTCCCCTATGCACTCCAACATAACCCTAAAACTCGGTTGTACTATTTAAACTTTGTCCTATACATACATCATACATACATACCCAAGATGAAGTTTATGTTTTAGACACAGTAAGGGATAACTAATAAAATGGGACAATTACAATAATATGCTGTAATAACAGTTATTTAAAAAAGACTATTTCTGTCATTTTTCATTTATTTTTGGACCTTGGTCAGGCTGACTGCAAATAAAACTTTAGAAAGTGAAAAGTATAGACAAAGAAGAATGATGTGTGAATCTTCACAGTATTGTTACTCATAATGACCAAAAAGTGGGGAAAAAACCCAAGTAAACTTTCAACTTCTGAATGGATAAACATCCACACAATGTAATATTACTCAACCTTAAGGAACAAAGTAATGGTATATGAGGATGAATCTTGAAAATCTGATGCCAGACAGAAGTCTATGATTCCACTAATGTCTAGAAGAGGCAAGTGCATACCATCAGATCAGATTTAATACAGGAAAATCATTTTTAACCCTATTAAAAGATGATGTCTAATCTGTACACTTGGAGCCTATACAGTATACATAATTTTCTATTAATTTGGGACATTTCTCATGCTATGAATACAACTGTTCTTCCAATAGTTTGCGGTCAGGCATCGAGGATGCTACCACCTCTTGATGTTCCCAATTCTACATCTACACACAAGCCTTTTAAATAAATGTCTGAATTTGTAGCCAGTTCATAAGAACTCTAAAAGGTAGAATTATAAAATACACATACACACACACACTTACGTAATTGTGTGTGTGTGTGTGTGAATGAATGAATGAGAAGGGCAGGAAAAAAATAGGTTTGCGCCAACCATGTTGTCTTAGAATATCTGAAGCTTTTAATAAATACACTTTTTGTTGTTAACCTAAGATGATAAATAAACAAGCTTGTAGTGTGGTTTTATTCTTTACCAAGTAAAAAATACACATTACAGAGGTATCAGCAATTTTAGTTACAAGTAAATGTTGGCTCTACCCCTACGTAACTTATTTTGGTGTCAGCAAATAATTTAAATGTATCTAATAACCTTCAAATAATTATGCTGAATATTTAAGTGCACTGGTTAAATTATGGCTTAAACTGTTTGTATGTATTTTAACCAAGTAAGATAGCAAAATAAAGTGAGCTTTTAAAAACTGAAGTAGAGGGCTGGGGATTTAGCTCAGTGGTCCCATCGCCTGCCTCACAAGCACAAGGACCCGAGTTTGATCCCCGGTACCCCGCCACACAAAAAAACCCACAAAAAAACTGAAGTATATAACAAACTGTAAGAGTAAAGTTTTCTATAACCTTGCTAAATTTCTTACCTTGGGACATCCTATATCTACTAATTAAAAAATATTTTACAGAAGGAAAGTTTCACAGCCTAAACTACAGAAATAATGTTAACTTATTGGTGACCTGCTTTTAAGAATGTGAGATGAACTCAGCAGTTTTATTTAGGATATCTGAAAAAGATCACAACTGTTTATAAATGGTAAATCATTTTTATTAACTGAATATTCACATGAAACACAAATGTAATGCTGTTTCTTCTCCCCCTACTGGATTAGGACAGGAGAAGACATTTCAGTTTAGTTTCTTTTTGCACTGGTTTATTTTTTTATCTTAAGATTTAGAGAAAGGTGGTTTGAGCTGACAACTTAAATAAAAAGGAGCACCAGAAGAACCAGGTACAGTAGTCACATATTCCACCCATCTGGAGTTTTATTATGTGAAATTATTGCACTTGTAATGCAAAAAGTAAATGATAGTAAATTATCAAACTCAGTAATTATTTTCAATAGTTGATAAATTTTGAAATAAGCAATTTCAAAATGATTGAGTTTCCCTTCAAAGGAAATCTGGCACAGACAACTAAGTGTAGCTATGTACTTTAAAAAGCAAGGCTAGAGGACCAGATTTGATTTCTGAACTGTAACTGCACTATGAAAAGAGAGGCTGTTTCACATAGTGGTATGAATTTGGTCCACATCTAATACATCGTTATAAAAATAAACATGTTTTTATAAAAAATTACATTGCATTCCTTGTTCAAATTGCACAGTACAAACAAGCTATCTAAATTAATACTGTTATTAGGTAATCAGAATTACATATAGTTGACATGTGTATAGTCTGAAGCAATTAAGGAATATGTGGTACTGTTTTCATAATGTATGAAAACTAAAATTTAAGTCATATCTAGAAATACATAAAATATTTTTAAAGTTTACAATGAAGAATGCATTCTTTACATATTTTAGTAGCTGTGATAATATAGGATTCAGCTGTGTATTTACATAAAAGTTCATTTTTATTCAATTTACAAAAGCAATAAATAAGAAACATTAATTTGAACAAAACCTGTTCCACTTCATGATCATTGGGACCATTTTTGTGACTTTATGACAAAGCCATTAAATCCATGTTCCATTATGAAGGCTGCTCATTTCTGGAAAGAAGTGTAAGCCCTGTCTTTATGCTAAGAGTATGTATTTATACTCATGCAGAATCCAGTAAAACCTTACAAATTATAATACAAGCCTTAAAAATATGAACAGCGCCTTTGAAGTATATTTACACAAGAGCATTTACAAAAAGGTATAGTTTTTTTTTTTTGATACAAAATAGTGGTATAATTGATTACCCCTCATACCACTGCCTACATTGATCTAGTAGGAATCAAGCTTGCTAAAACAGGCACATTAATTGACAGGTAAATAAGCTTTCATCAGTTCAGGTCTGAGATTTAAAGGCTTAGTAAAGCCAAAGAGAAGTCTCCGTTGCATTAGCATAAATGCAAGGGGTAGTCATCTATTCAGAGAACCAAACAGGAAGTCCAGTGAGCTCTATCCAAGGAAGCAAACAGGTAGCTCAAGTGCTTAATGAGCTACAGCAAGCACCTTAGCATTTATTTTTAAAAAAGCAGTCTAGACACATGCTGAACCATAAAACATACGAAACTATAAGCTCACCCAGGACAAAACTATCCCCATGGTTTGCAAGCTACCAACATTTGAGTAAAACAAAAAAGGTACACCTGTACAATAGTCTTTATTTCCACTGCAGCTTTAAAAAATTTTATGAAAGATGTTTTATTTGATATCACATTTTTAATAGAATCCAAGAGATTTCTTAAGAGTTCATTAAAATGTAGTAATACTTTACCAGTCTGTGAGCTGAGTTCTCTCTCGCAAGGTCACAGTATACTCAGCTGCACACCGCTGCTAATTAATACTGACTGTTGTGACATTATACTATTGTTAGGACACAGAACAGTCATAAGTCCCATCCTGAAATGGTTCCTCCTCTTCTGATTGGGCTGTGTCCTCTTCTTTCCGGGTAACTATACTGTTACCCCCAACCTCACATTGGGGGACATTTCCATGGCCAGAGGAGCCCCTGCTCTCCTCTGCCCTAGGGCTAGTCTGTTCAGGAGTCTTACCCACTGCTATTGGTTGGAAGGCATCAGGCTGGACTTGCTCTTCTGCTATCTCGCTGAGCTTCTGCAGTTGTGGCTTAATGATGTTTAAAAATGGCTTATATCCAGGGCTAAACAGAGGGGGAAAAATTAGTTTTCATATGCTGTAATTCAAAAGACCTAACAAAATGTGATGGATACACTTCTAGTAAACACTGGTACAATGAGGCAAGCAAGAGATTACAAGAAGAGGGAAGGTTTCTTAGGTGCCTTACCCAGCACAGGAGCTGTATATAGGACAGGCTTAAGTCAAATTTTTCAGCTGTAGGAGCAAGGACTGATCTTTTAAAACAAGTGTTACAATTAAAAATGGAACATCTGGCAATTAAGGAAAACTAGATCTAAGTATGGGAAATGAAAAGCCTCAAATCTATACTGATGATCAGGACAAGCTGGAGGTCCAAGGCTCTGAACTTCCACCCATTATTTTTTAATTTGGACATGCTCGTAAGTGGCATTGAATATTATTTAACTTTTTTTTTTTCAAGCAGACATTTTTATTGCAACTTTCAGTTCCACAGAACTACAAATTTTAAATTGCAGACTAATTTGAAGATCATTTATACTGCATCATCTTAAGTCAGTGACACATTCACATTATAAAATGACCACCACTATAAACTTTACTCAATGGACATTACTTATTCACATGGTTGGGTACAAAACAATTACTAAAGAAAGCATACTTAAGAGTGAGACAGGCATGGTGGCGAATGGGTACATGCCTGTAATCCCAGGTGTTAAAGAGACTGAGACAGGATGACTTCAAGACTGAGGTTAGCCTGGGTAATACAGTGAAACAATGTTTCAAAGTTTAAAAATGCCCAGGGATGTAATGCAGCTCAGTGTTACAGTGCTTGCCTAGCATGTGTGAGGTCCTAGATTCAATTCTCAGTACCAAAAATATGTATGTGTATATAGTGCATGTAATGTGTCTGAATATGAAACTTTGTTTCTATAAACCTAAAAAATACCCAAAATAAATGAACAGTAAGTCAATGTGAAAGGATAGGATTCACCAAAAACTAATAGGCTTCTGGGAACCAGCACTTACCAATCTGTAGAGGCCCATCTGTCCACTGCGTGAAATCCCGACTTGATGTTTTGTAACATCTCTCCATCTACCTCTGAAGACTGTGCAATAACCAAAATCTGACTGATTATTGAAGATTCTCTAAGAATCAGGCCTATGACGATGCACCAGTCCAGACACCCTGCCTCCATGAAAATGTGTAGCAAATACCTACATAAAAAATACAATGATTTATGCTAAAAAGTATGGTTATTAGTAAAGTGGCTTCTGCACCCCTTTTGCACAAATGCCGAGTAGCTTTCTGTGTTTTCGAATATGCAAAACTCACCGGAGTTGGACTTGGGATTTGTGAGGTCCTTTACTTGCCAGCTCCATGGAGATGTGCTCCAACTCTGATTGGGTCAGACTGAGTGTGGAGAAATTTTCATCCACCATTGTCCAGTCTCCGTCTACCATGGAGCTACTTTCAGTCAGGTCTGTGGCTGAACCAATGCTGCATTCATCACCTGATGAAGAAATCCTAGAAGTTATAAACCAGCTTCTTGTAGAAAGTATATTTCCTTTTAGTTTTATTAGCTATTCCTCAGATGTTGATTTATCAACAGGATTTTGAAATCAGAACATGAATTCTGCTAAAATAGCCATGTTGTATGAATAGTACTTGAAAAAAAAAAATCAGTAGAGCCATAAACAGAAATCACATACCCTGGGATGGAAAAACATACTACCATCAGTAAGCAGTCTACCTTCCCTTCCCCTCAACAATCTAGTTACCATTTGACCAAGTTTTTAGATTTAGCTACCAATTTACAGGAAACACACAGTACACAATTCAACTAAATCACGAGGATGCAATCAGCAAAATCCACATTTTTCATAAATCCATAGAATCATATTTTCTTGATGAATAAATTGCAAGGGTGAAAGTGGTATGGGGTGGGGGACAATCATTTAAAAAGAAAAACATATACAGCGTGTAAGAAGGTGTGACTTTTTAAAAAATGACATTTATGAATCAATAGGAAATCTAGATACTTGATGGTATTAAAGAATTATTAGATTTTTAGCAGGATGACAATGGCAGTATGCTTTTATAAGAGTCCTTGTAGACTGATAAGCTGCCTTGGATGTGTGTCAAATGATATTGGACAGGAGTAGCAGATAAACATCTTTGGCCATGGTAATAATCAAAGCTGAATGATGGGCAATGGGGAGAATTGGTCACTCTACTGTTTTCTCTACTTATTACATATGTTTGAAATTATCTCTTTAAGAAAAGTTATCTAAAAGAAGTAATGGCACCACCTCATGTCCTTAGGATGGCTACTATTAAAAAACAGAAAATCGGGCTGGGAATTTAGCTCAGTGGTTCTGCCACCTGTCTCGCAAGTGCAAGGACTTGAGTTAAATCGCTGGTACCAGAACAAAAACAAAAACAAAAAAACCCCCAAACCAGAAAATAAGTGTTGGTGAGGATGTGGAGAAACCAGAACCCTTGATGGTACTGGTAGGAATGTCAAATGGTGCATTTGTTATGGGAAACGGTATGACAATTTCTAAAATAATCACAAGTAGATTATCTTATGATCCAGTAATCCAATCTCTGGGTATTTACACAAAAGAACTGAAAGCTGAATTTCAGAGATAACATCTCTATATCTGTATTCATAGCAGGATTGTTCACAATACTCAAAGTAGAAGCAACTCAAGTGTCCCTCCACAGAGAAACAAACTGTATATAAGCACAGTGGAATAATCTGTGGACTTAACGGGAAGGAAATTCTGATATTTACTACAATTGGATGAACCTGAGGATGTAATGCAAGTGAAATAAGCCAGGCTCCCCAGAAACAAATACTATATTTTTTTATATGAAGTACTCAGAATAATCAAATTCATAGAAAACAATTTGGATACAAGTAGCTTAGAATGGGGAGCTGTTACTAAATAACATACACACAATTTTGTTTTTGTAGGACAGTACTGTGTTTGATGGCAAAACAGTGAGGAGGTAGCCAGTACTACTGATATTTATACTTAAAAATGCAAGAGGGTGAAGTATTTTACAATTAAAAAGTAATGGAAAAAGTAGTTATAAGTCTCTGAGTATAATAAATTCAGATAATAGTGTAGGTGGACTAATCAAACATTTAGTAAATGGACATTAAGAAACTGCCAAAAATTCAGACTAATTACTATTTAAACTCCTATATTATATAACCCTATATACACATAAACTGTTTCAAAACCTCTAATATTAACTTACCCATAACTGTAGAGCAGAGATTAGTGTATAGTTTTTGGAAATGACCAGACAGTAAATATTTTAGACAATGAAGGACAAGTAGCAAAATCAAAGACAGTGTGTAGGAACTTATTATACATATATATAGTAAGAGAACAAGCAAACTTCCACAAAATTTTACTGATGAAATAAAAAACAATAATGGAATCAAATTTTTTATGCTACAGGTCCACATGAAAAAAATGGAATTTTGGGCCAGGGATTTAGCTAAGTGGTTCAGCCGTCCAAGTGCAAGGACCCGAGTTCAATCCCTAGTACCAAAAAGAAGGAGGGGTGGTTTGGTAACATTCTGATTAGAGTTTTAAAAATTATTTTTAACTTAAGAAGTTAAAGTTAGGGTTTTCTTATCATAAAAATTGGCTGCAAAAGGAGGTGGGCATGATGGTGCATGCAGGCTTGTAGTCTCAGTTATGCAGGAGGCTGAAGTAGAATTGTGAATGTGTATCCAGCCAAAACAATTTAGCAAGATCTTGTCTCAAAACAAATTGAACTGCAACGATTCATCTAATAATGCTCATGTGCATGCGATTTTACCAAAGTCATGTAACTAACAAAACAGCAAAGTATAGTGAAGGCTATATTGTTGCTCTAGTAATTGTTTACCTCCTAGAAGATACAGCTAATCCTTCAGGATGCTGAAAGAAGACTGACACCTGAAATACTGTAATAGACTTTTGTCCTAAAGAAATGGAAGAGCTGGGACAAAATGGCCCTTACCTTTAGTAGATAAAGGTGACAAGAAAGCATCTTGCATTTGTGGTCCATGGGATGAGGCTGTGTCTATCTCATTATGGGTTGGGCTGATATTACTGAGCCAGCTCTGACTCCGTTGGATGTTAGAGACACCAGCATCCATCTCAAGGTTTATAAAAGGGTCAGCTGATTGAGACTTTAACAACTGCTCTCCCACTGTAGGTTAGGTCAAAGAATAAACAAAAAGTGCCATTTCCTATTCAGTTCTTTTATCCTTTCCACCTGCCTAACCTATACTATCAATTTAAAGCCAACTGCTATCCTGCATTGTATTATGTGCTCAAAAACTAGGGATGTGAAATTATAACAAATACACAAGATGCCATATATTGTGTGTCTTAATGGAACTAGACAAAACTTCATTTTGTTATCTTACATGAGTTGCCTTGGTTCTTAAAGGATGATACAAATTTTCCAAATATCATAATAAAAAGTTTTAAAATTTTCATAGTTAGGAAATTTAATCTGAATTAAATCTGAAAATATCTTAATTTTAAAAAATTCTACTATTAATTTTTGTTATACTTAAATATGCAGTTTCAGTTTGATTTTTCCTAGTTTAGAAAATGGGTCAAGCTGTCAAAGATAATTTTCACTATTTCCTTGGAATGAATTCTATCTGGTAAATAACAATTTAGCTTAATTTGAAGTGCCTGACTAATGGGTTACAAAATTCCTTCTCATAATAAGGTAAGCTCGGTAGCTTTTAACTTCAACCAGTTCTCAACTTCTTTATAAGATAACGATTAGATTTATGAAGCAGACTTTCAGGGTCAAAGGAGTAAGAGACTTAAGTTATACTTTACGAAATCCTCAATTAAATGGAGGGTATTCCACTGTTATACAAAAAGCTGGCTTTAATTAGCTTGAATTTGGAATAAAAAGACTTGCTTGAATCTCAACTAACAGCAAAATGTCTAAATACTTGTAGTAAACAATTCACCTTGTAAAAGTGAAAAGAAGCCTATATTACCTGTTCGGTATTTTCCATTTTTGAAAGGAGAACTGACAGAGGATGCTGGGATGATGGGAAGTGGCCAAAGGAAATCTTTGTGGAGTCTTTTCAGGGCGATCACAAAGTTGTCTACTCGGGCGGCACGAGTACGTTCCTTGCATAGCCAACTAATTAGCTCAAAGCCTAACTGGGCTGCAAAGCAGCCAAGGTCCTTTAATCGCACATCTTCTAAAAGACGCCGAGCATGTCTCCATAGCATCATGTCAATGTACATGTTCTCAGCACTGTCACTATCTTTGCTCCATCTGTAAGTGGAAATAAGAAAGTAATACAGTCTAGTTTTATGCAGTGGCACTGATAAAGCGGATGAGGTAGGAGATCCACTATCAAATATTGTCTGAAGGGGAAGAAAAAGCCCCAGGGCTTCCCCTCTACGTGACACTATATCTTGCTGAACACTTGGAGGCATAGTAGGCTTTCAAGACTGATTTGTAGAACGATCACCTGGAATAGGAAAAAAACGGGACAAAAGCTGTACTAGGAAGGTGAATGGCTGAAGAAAGCAGAAAATAAGTGCTGTAACTAAAGACCTAAGAAAAGAAGGACAGAGGCTGTATGAATGAAATTAAAGAGAGATGTAAAGTGAAATTAAATCTCTCAGTTCGGGTTGTGTAGTCATATGAAAAACTTACCAATAACTAAACCCAGTCTCTTATCTCTTGCTTGTCTGAACTGATGCAGTGTAACTGGTTTGGTCTAGGGTATATGGTCCCCTCCCTGAGAGCCAGTGCTGTGGACAATAAAGATCTTGGTCTACGGAGCAGAACTGTCTGGGTTCAGATGTGACTACCATGAGTTCTGGGAACATAAACAAGTTTATTTTTATGAACCTGTTTCTTCACCCATACATCCACAGAGTTGTAAGGATTAAAGGATCTATACATGTAAGTGCTTGTAAGAGTACCTGGCACATAATAATCACCTGGTAAGTTATTAGCCTATATTTAAATTAAAAGTATGGCTGAGCAAATAATATTTAATTGGCAACTGTTTATAGCCATCTGTAGCTGCATTTTACTTGTACATAGCCCAGGATGATTATGTGTGTTTGTGTTAGAGGTGGGCGTTAATGTCTAGTGATAAAGGAAAGCAGCAATATATCCCAATAAAAAATGTGGCGAGCCAGATGTAGTGCACACTTGTAATTCCAGCACTCTGGGAGACTGAGGCAAGAGGATCAAGCCCAGCCTAACCAACTTAGTTAATAAAAATTGTTTCAAAATAAAAATGAAGAAAAGAAAGAGTTGAGGATGCAACTCAGTGTTGAAAGCCCTGGGTTTAATCTCCAGTATTACAAAAGATGAATAGTACTTTAGTAACAATACAAATAGGAAAAATACAAAAGGAAGGGAGGGAGGGAGGCGAGGGAGAGAGGGAGAGAAACAAACAACAAAAAAACAGCCAAGGATATGTAACAACAAATTTAAGGACCTTGCAAACCAGAGGAAATTCTAATTTTATAATGTTCACCTTCCCAGAGATAATAACAAATCTCCAGATGAAGTAGACTTTGCCCTTCAGAATACAATTATTATTATTATTATTTTTGGTACTGGGAATCCAACTCAGGACCTTGTGCTTGCAAGACAGGCACAGTGCCAATGAACTAAATTCCTGGCCCCTAGAATACAATTCTTTTGGCTTTCCCACTGTTAACTGACTTCTCTAATAAAAAGTCACATGACAGTCAAAGGCATACATAGTAAAGTTTTCCTTCTAAGGGTAAAACTTGACTTTCAGACACCTTTTGTATGATCTGCATACCTATCTTCCTTTTTGGTTTGATTCTGTCATCAGCAGTAGTCAGCTGTACTCAGAACAAGTTCATCAAGATGTACTCTAGTACAAAGGTGCAGAAACTTCACACAGAGTACAGAGTGAACTTAGTGGAAAGGAAGAGGAAAGCCTTCTGAGGGCTTCCTATGTCTTTTGGGAATAAAGGATTTGCAACTGGATTAAATGACTTTATTTTATAAATGCCTTAAAATACAATGTGTCACAGTTGTCCTAAAAGCAATAATGGTTCTTTCTTACCTTTTTCCAGAAGGACCAGATGGCATACTTAGTGTTTTCTGTAAGCTGAATTTACTAGGAGGAGCATTTTCAACTGATTGGGATAAACTGATGCTTCGATTCCTGAAAAACTCAAATCCACCACTTGAACTGGGTTCCTATGAAAACACATAATGTGCAATACAGTTAGACAAAGTTGCCTTACAGATGTATGGCCTAAAGAAACTACAAAATTCTGCAAATGACCTGAGCTGTAGGTGTGGATGGAGGCGTCTCAGATTCTCCAGAGCCAATGGCTTTAAGAAATCGAATCATGTGTCGACATAGGTCCCACTTGCCTTGTTCCAGCGCTGTGTTGAACAGAAGGGTGGCATGTTGCCTGCTTACTGCAGGGACTTCCATATTCTACAGAAACAACCAAGGAAGACAGCATTCCTTTTATACTACATGATTTTGAGAAGATATGTACAATTCTTTTCTCCACAATTCCCTAAAGCCAAGGGATGCAGATATAATACTGTACAGATTAATTTAATGGTATGATTAGAAGGAGCATTAAAAAGGAAAGTGAAGCAAGTACTTCGCTGGTATAATACAAATTATAACTTGTTGAATACCATTACATGCCAGATACTTTACAAACATTATTTACTACTTTCTGTCACTGTGTAAAATAGATGTATCATTCTGCACCCCCCCTTTTTAACAGATGAGGAAACTCAGTTTTGTAAATTGCTGAAGATCAGCAGAAGAGCAAGAATATAAATCTGTTTTTGCCAGACTCCAAAAAAAGCTTAGGGCTGCCTCCAGGGACTGAACTGTCTGAGAATGACTATAAAATCTGTGCTTCAGGGCATACCAAGTAGTACTATTATTCATTTACCATCCTCAATATTTCTCTCATAAATTCAACCTTACTACCTGTGTTGGTTTTCATGGAAAAGTGACTAGTACAAGAATTTAAATGTAATTATTATTTGCCAATTTACAGCAATTTAGGAAATCTGCTAAAGTTTCCAAGCCCATTAATAGGGAGATCACTGAAGGCCTAAGGTGTGACCCAAACAAAAACAAAACAGGTGCTACATGGGCACAGTACTGGATACCCATAGTCCCAACAACTCAAGAGGGTAAGAGGACGTTAAGTTCAGGGACAGCCTTAACAACTTAGTAAAAAAAAAAGGCCAGGAATGTATATCAGGCTATCTCTGGGCTCAATCCCTAGTACTGCAAAAATGAACAAACAGACTTTTAGGCATTTCTTTTCCATTCTTATAATTCTGTGCACATTTTTCTTTTGGGCTAAGGAATCACAGACTCACTCTCAAGGCTATTAGCCTCTGCTTGACTATCTCCTCTGTTTTCAATCACTTGTCATGAAGCAAGTAAGCTGCATCAGGCTGAGCTTTAGGATTAACTCCTTATGTATCAATGGAAACTTTGCTGTAATTACAAATAACTTTTATGAAGCCTGTCAAAATGCTATCAGACTCTCAGGAATAACAAACTGTGAAGCCTTATGTCAAATATATAATTAAACTAATTTTTGGTGCCTCAAAGAACCCACTGAGAAAAATGGGTTATGAGGGTCATTACACTGCGGAAGCCTTTTCACTTTATTCTTGGGAGCCTACGTTTGGTTATGACCCAAGTCTATTGAGAATCCCCTTAGCAATTCTTTCTTTTTTGGTACTGTGGATCAAACTCAGGTCCTTGTGCTCACAAGGCAAGTGGCAGAACCACTGAACTAAATCCCTGGCCCCTTAACAAGGCTACACAGTAAGGAAATGAATTGTTTTGTGAAGCTCAGATAAATGCACTAATGTCCAAACATTTACTGTTAATATTTCCTATATTTAGTAAATGAATGTAATATTTTTAATGTAATATGCATATCGTATATGCATTACAACATATGTAATAAAAGGTTTTTCAGTAGTGTTTAAAATAATACTCAAAAAGGCTGGGCATGGTGGCGCATGCCTGTAATACCAGCACTTGGGAGGCTGAGGCAGGAGGATCGCTGTAAGTTTGAAACCAGCCTGGGTTATGTAGTGAGTTCCAGGTCAGTCTCAACTACATCGTAAGACAACTGTCTCAAAAAGCAAACAAACAAGCAAAAAAAAACCCTCAAAAGTCAGTCAGTAATAGCCCTATTTACAGACAGACAATAAAATACCTTTGTTGTGCTCTTTTATAGTATTCATTTGACAAAACTGAGTTCTTCAAAAGGAAAGATATAAACTAAAGAGAAAATGTGACTAATCCTTAAACACAATCAGAGTGTCAACACAGGATTTTTCTTTTTTCCTAATTCTTGTTTCTGAGAACTGTTACCTGTAAAATAATAAGGTAAGAGGCCGCCGTGTCCAAATCCTGAGCCATCAAACATTCTTCAAATAAATCCTTAGGGTTTCCAACAGCTGCAAAAAGGTAATTCCACAGTGCATATTCAGTCTTCCTGGCACAATGCACAACTGTCTGTAGGAAAAGGGGGAACTCAGTAATAAATTTTGCCACAGTGGGAAGCAGTGGGTCGGGAATGGGCTCCCGTGAGGTAGCTTCTTCTTCCAGCACTTCATGGAGCATAAGCTCCAGCACATGAGGGAAGTAAGGTAATGCAGCACAGGACTGAGCCAAGAGCAAGGCTTGCTCCCCAAGGTTCCTGACCAGAAGTTGACGAAGAATATGGTGGAGGTAGATCTGGGAGGTTCTCTCCACAACACAGAAAGGGAACAGCACCTCCAGCTGCTCCTTAGCACTGTTCCGAGTGTACAAAGAATCATAAAGTAAAGTGTCATTGACAGCACCAAGGACCAATGCATCTTCAAACAGAACTGCAAGGGGATATATATTGATATGGAAAGGCAGCATGATCCGCTGAGACAAAAAGGAATGTGGCTTGCGGTTATCCCTAGGGAAGAGAGGGAGCCAGACTTTCATCCCTGCACCACCACAGCTGAGCCAGAGTGCTTCCAGAAGGTGACGTTTTTGTTTATTTGCTCGACATGTAGTCCAGACATTTTCAACAGACTGCGCCAGTACAACAGGAGGACAGAATGGCAGCTGGAGAAGAGAGAGAAGAATCAGGTTTTTTCCTATTAAGTTTGTAGTTCTTAAGTTCCTAAGTAATAATTTACTGCATTTTTCAGAATGATAGTACAACTTTTGAGGAAAAAAAACCCTCTAGAATTAGAGTTAATAACTATTCTACCTTTCAAAGTATATACAGTTAAATCTAAAAACAGACCAACAATAAATCCCTCAGGGGCCAGGGATTTAGCTCAGTGGAGCCATGCCTGCCTGACAAATGAAAGGTCCTGAGTTCAGGGGGGAATCCCTTCACCAATCCTTGTTTTTACCATTACCATTTACAACTAGTAATACCTAAGCCATTAATAGCTGGAGTACAGGACTTTTTATTATTCTGGGACCTTACCTTTGACCCTTTAGTGTTGTAGCCAGAGGTTTAAAATGAATTTTATATACTTTCTCAGTTTCTGAATCGTAAGACATTATTCTCTTCTTAAATTGTTATCCTAATCTTATTTCTTCTTAATGTCTAAAATGCCTTGTATTTTACTCACAAGTTTCCTTTGGTTGGGGTTACTGTCCTTGTCCCTGACCTGAGGGCCAGACCTATCCCTCTGCATCATGATGAGCTGTCCAGCAAGGTTCAGCATAATGCTCTCTGCATCACGAACCTGAAATTTCAGAAAAAGAAATTAGAGTCACACTAGCGTAAAGATGTTTTCAACATTTCACCATTCCTAATCCAATCTTGAATATTTACTGAGGTTGTACCATTTGAATCCATTCTACGTTCTGTAGAAATACAGTTTTCTGGCTAGAGTAGAACAAAATTTAACACATAATACAGTTAATGAACAAAACCAACGAATGTTAAATTGAGGGTAGAGCTGAATTATCCTGGAAAAACTAAGCAAATGTCAGAAATTCATAAAAAGGTGAGAGATCATTTTACTGATCTGGCTGACATAGCTAAAAACTTTATTTTTTTCTCATTGAGTTTATTGGTACATTTTAGGTACTAACAACTTTAAAGGTTTAAAGTGAGACTTGAGAGATTAGGAAGAAAAGAGAACTATTACAGTGCAATCTCCTTACTGGACATAGATTAACAAAATTCTAAACAAGACACAGCGGTTCTCTGGTTCACAAATGTTCTTATTTGCAAACAATTTGGTTGCAAACAGAAGCATTTGGCAGGATTTTGTTTGCAAACTCTGTATTGGGTAAGAAACACAAACACAGCCATGGTTCTGAAAAACACAAATGTAGCCATCTATTCCAATATCATGGAACAAACTAAGTTTGTGAACCAAGGTACCACCGTACTGGCAAACAGAATGCAACAAATCATCAAAAAGATCATACATCATGACCAAGTAGGCTTCCTCCCAGGGATGCAGGGATTGTTCAACAAATGAATAAATGTAATACATCACATAAACAGAAGGACAAAAATCATATAACTATCTCAGGAGATGCAGGAAAAGCCTGTAACAAAATCCAGCATCCATTCATGATAAAAATTCTGAAGAAAATAGATATAGATTGCTCTTATCTCAATCTGATAAAAGCCATTTATGACCAATTTATTGCCAACATCACATTAAATGGGGAAAATTTGAAAGCTTTTCCTCTAAATTCAGGAACACAATGGAAGATGTAGAAGTAACTCCATGGAGTATTCAATTATCTGATCTTTGACAAAAGGGCCCAAACACATAAACTTGAGGAAATACTGACTAGTAACATGCAGATGATTGAAGCTGGACCTGTATCTGTTAAGATGTACTGTACTAAAATAAAAATGGATCAAAGGTCTAAATATTGAAATAGAAACAATATCCTGGAAGATAAAATAGGTAAAACTCTTGAAGACATAGGTGTAGGCAAGGACTTTCTGAACAGAACTCAGTTACACAAGAAATAACATCAGGAATGAACAAATGGGATCAGACCCAATCCAATTAAAAAGCTTCTGAACAGCACAGGAAACAACCAACGGAGTGGACAATCTACAGAATGGGAATAAAGTTTTTGCCAGCTATTTTTCAGACAGAGAACTAATATCTAGACTATATATAGCCCTCAAAATCAAATCAAACTCTCCAAAATAAGATTCAATGATGTAAGGGGAAACTGAAATGCACAGACACTTTTACCAATAAATATGTGAAAAAAATGCTCATCATCTCTGGGTATTAGAGAAATTCAAATTTAAACAACACTGAGATTCCATCTTATTGCCAAAAGGACTGTCGTCAAGAAATCAAATAAATGTTCGCAAGGCTGCTGGGGAAAAGGAACCCTTCTACATTGTTGTTAGGAATGCAAATCAGTACAACAACCATGGATATCAGTATGGAAAGTCCTCGAAAAACTAAAAATAGAATTTCCACTGGACCCAAATAATCCCCTTCTAGGTATCTTCATGATAAGGTTAAATCATGTGATACATGCATACCCATGTTCATAGCAGTACAATTCATAATAGTTAAATCTTGGAAGCAGCCCATATGTCCATCAAAAGATGAAGAGATAAAGAAAATGAGGTATTTATATACAATGGCTGAGTCATTTATAAGAAAATGGACATACCTTGAGATCATAAGGTCAAATGAAATAAATAAAAAACAGCTTAAATATTACAATTTCTTACATGAGAAATCCAAAATGTAAAATAAAAAAATGACACTAAGAAAACGGGCATGGATCTTTTGCAAAAAAGAGATTAAAAAAAAAAGAATTAAAAGGAAAAAATGGAAACAAAGTCTTTTTAAATACGGAAGGGTGGAGGGGGTAAAAGGAGGGCAGGGGTATAGGGAAAAAATAAAAGCCAAGATACATCATGTAAAGGTACAAGATCCCAATGATGAATGTAAACGTACTGTATACCTAAAAATACCAATAAACATAAAAAAAGACATGCTATGTATATGTATCAACCTCATAGGAGGAAAAGTAATCATTATGCATTGCAAACATGTAGTTATAAAAATAAAAGTTAAAGAAAAACACATCCTCTGTCAAAATCAGAACAATCTGGTTAGACTTAGGGATACAATGATAACACAGCTGGTTGGCAACAGACTTTCCAGGAGGGCTGGAGAGTAAAATAAAAGAGAACAGGAAATAAGCAACCATGTATGGTTCTTGGATAAGGAAGTTATTACTTCAAAGTAGAGAGTCTGGTATAATGACTTCCTCTTGAACCCTAGTTCTCAAGCAATTGTACACATTAAAGAACCAGAAGCATTGTTTTAAAGCAAATATTAGGTATCAAGTCATTTTTACCTTCAAAGAGGAAGAATATTTTGATTGATTTTGTGAAACCAGAGATTGAACCCAGAGCTTTTGCACTGAGCTACATCCTCAGCCCTTCTTTAGTTTTTATTTTGAGAGAGGGTCTTGCTAAGCTACTAAGTTACCTAGGTTGAACTTAAACTTGTAGTTCTTACCTTGGTTTCCCAGAGTTCTGTGATTACAAGCATGCACCATGCTCAGCTATGCATTTTGGGGGGGGGGTAGAGCTTATTGCTATGAAAGGTAGAAAAAGAACAAAAGATGATTTCAAGGTATCAAATGAGGTACTAGAGAGGCTGAGGTTATCAATAAGTTAAGAAGAGAAATCAGGGAAGCAAAGACTGTCCCTTTTCCAATTAAACTAGAAAAATCGTAAGACTTTCAAATGGAAGCATGATGAGTGATGACAAATCAGAGATGACTATACCATCACTATATGCCTAAGAGTGAGGTTGGTAACTAGAAGAGATGAGTTTTCTTGGTTTACTAAGTTGAACAGGGCAGAAAGGGCAGAGGGCCACTGTCTAAGCTTTTTTAGGCAAGAACAGACATAAGGAAGCATAACGCCATATAAACCAAAGAAGGAAAGAATGAGTTTACTGAAGAGGTGGGATTGTGCCTCAGGCTTTGATGCTTGCTTGCTGGATGAATTTAAATTGCCAGTATCATTTAGCATTTAATTAGGGAAAAAAAGAAGCCACCCTATGTAAACTAGTTGTAAAATACTCAGTTATATCATATATTCCTGCGAATAGCTTTCAGATTTTACAAAGGACTGCATATAAAGAAATGGTAAAACTAAAAATTTGGATGGCCGTCCATAACACAAAAAAACACTACCGTAACTTGGAGGTCTGAGATGGACAAACAGAATTTAGAAGATGTATAAGAACTGTTAAGAGTAAGGCACTCAACAGTAAAATGTAGCTAGATAACAGAGGAAAGATAAAAACAAACATGCAAACATCAATCAAGATAGTATGGCTGTCTGAGAAGCAGCATATTAGACTAATTCCTTGAACACTTCAAAGACCTTGAAAGCATTTACTGAAATTCACTACAATGACTAACATGCCTAATGACCACCTTAAATTCTAAGATGGTGGATTACCCCGTTGTAATTCACACACTTTATTAAAACAAAAAATACATACTTGTAATCTCAACACTGGGAGCCTGAGGCAGGAGGACCACAAGTCTAAGGCCAGCCTAAGCTACTTAGTAACTCAGTGAAATCCTTTCTCAAAATAATTAATATAAAAAGGGCTCAGGATGTAGATCAGTGTGAAGGGCCTAGTTTAATCCTCAACACACACATCCTTTCCCACCAAAGAAAAATCTTTTGTTTAAAGAATATTAGCATTTATTCATTTGGTATTTTTATTAATATTACAAGTAACTAATAGTACTCTCAGGCAACTTTAAGTAAGTTTTTAGAAGCACGAGCTACCAGGATGCTCAAAACCCTAAAGCTAAAGGAATTCAAAACACTATTTGTTAGTCTAAAAACTCCCTGGATTCTCCATTCAGATGATTCTCCATTCAGGTATTCAACAAAGTGCTCACTCTTTCATGAGAAAAGCTGTCTGATTCTTAAATAGCTCTGATAAAATTTTCTTAAATCTTTATTAAATCAAGACTTGCTTTGCTGTATAGTACAGTATTCTTGGTTTTCCAATCCATCTAACTTCCATTGTATTTGAACTTAATTCTTGCTCTGCTCTTCACTAAATTACTCTCTTTGTGAAAGGCTCTCTTAAAATGGGGTGTCCAATGCTACTGACATCATTCACAACCTACTGTAACTGGGATACACAAAGTCCCTTTAGGAAAACTTTAAAGTATCTCCATACATTTAATATTTACTCCTAAGATAGGTGGATATGTCTTTATATAATGCTAAACAATTATTTTTTGGTTATCTCAGTTCATATTTAAAAATCCCTATTTTAACAGTATCTTTTTTACAACTGGTTTCAATGATGATACAAATAAGCTGATTTGTTCTGTAGTACAGCAGTTATCACATCTGCCTCACTAATTAGCTTACCCATTATACTAGTTGTTATGGCTCTAAAGCTTATTTAATGGATAAGTCTCTCTTTCTGTTCATGTAATTAACTTATAGCTATCTCACAGAATGTTCTGCATTCTGCTTCTTTGTGCTGTACAAGTACTTAAACCAATCTTGTGTCTCTACCTCTGTAAATGGAAGATGACTCTATATATTTAATTTGCTTTAAGTTTAATGTTTTTGACAATGATTTTTCATGTGAACTTCATGTTACATCATTTCAAGGATAGCACATGTGGCTTTTCCACTTTTAGTGATAAATAATAAGGCTTCGATGTAATAACCTGATCCTGTCACTATAAAGTTCTATCTTGTAATGATCACTGCTGAATCACCTATTTCTTCAGGGTTTCAAAATGGTGATTCTTTAACTTTCATATTCCTTCTACATCTTTTATTTAGAATTTCAGTATAAAGCAGAACTTTCTCTTATCAACTAAGGACTATCTGATTATCATGAAATACATTGTCCAGAGGAAACAAGAGATACATGCTAAGGAAGAGAACAACAGTATTATCTGTAGAAAGCAGAACAAAATAGTGAAGCGGTCTAGAACAAATATCACACGAGATAATTGAAGGTATGGGAATATTTGGCATGCAGAAAGGAAGACTCAGAGAAAGGTATTAGGAGGGACAGGGAAGCCAAAGAATAGTAAGTGTCTGTAAATATTTTAAGGGTCATCTTATGGAAGAGTAACTTTTATTATTTCTTGATCCAAAGAATAGAGAAATGCATTATGTTGTTATAAATCAGATTTTAGGTTCTTATACATAATTGCTTGTAACAACTACAACTGCAATAGAAGAGACTCTTTTATGAAGTAGTTAAATTCTCCAAAATTTATATATAGAGTGTTGAGGTTTAATAGAAATACCTCAGTAAGAATAAGACAGGGCCAACGTGGAGTATAAATAAATCTACTTATAATTTTCTTTTGACAACAGGGTCCCAGTTGACATGAAAATTGAAAACCAGTGGTATAATGTAAGGAGTTCTGGCTCAGAAAATTCTACAACCTGGATCTTGGCACTATTACGTACTTGGTTAGTTCATCCAGAAACTACAGGATTGTACTTTCTCTTTTCTCATAAATAATCATGGAGTCCTTGATATCCTATATTCATTTATTCCATTTCCTTTTTCACTGGTCAAGTTCAAGCCACTAACACCATTCACCTAGAACAGTACAGTGGCCTTCTACCGGTTCTCCTTTCATGCAGTTTATTTTTGTCTTAAACATTAAAAAGCTTAGAGCTAATATCCACCTTTAAGCACTTTGGAAAGTTTAGACACAACTCTAGTATTCTAAATACTTTTCCTTTTTTAAGTTTTTTTTGTTTTGTGGTACTGGGGATTATATTCAGTATCTTGTGCTTGCGAGGCAGGCAGTGGCATCACAGAGCTAAACCCTGAGCCCACTCTATAAAATTCTTCCAACTCCCTGAGTATGTCGTGTTCTCGCTTGCCTATGGCCTTGGCATTAACTCTTCTTTGTGCCTCAAATTCCAATTCTTTGCTTAATCTCCACTCATTCCACAGCTTTTAGAATATACTAGGTTTTGGTAAATTATCTCATAGTAACCCTTACTACTTTTTCCACATATGTATAACAAACACCATTATGTATATAATTATTTCAAGTTTAGCAGAAACCATGTTTGTTTAGTTTGCCACTGCAACCCAATATCTTCATACAAAGTATGTTCTAGATACTTAGCATTTATTTGTTAACTAAAAGCTCCCATCACTAGCTTAAAATACTAAGGACTAAGATGTAAACTCCAAAGACCCTAATAATGGTACGGTACCTGCTGTGGCATTTTCAAGGTGATTCCATTCTCTGTACTCACAGATGTCAGAGTGACAGATACTACCAGGAAAGGGTGAGGAATGTAGCGTGACATAGAGACCTCCTGAAGAACATGAATACCAGCGGTAGTATTCGAACTGTAAAAACAAAAGAAACGCTGACAGCTCAAAAACAATTCTAATCAGTACTTCCCCCCATTTTCTGTATCTAATGTAGTAGATTTCATGCTTATGGAAGATCCAAAACCCTTCTACTTACTGTCCTCTCCTCTCTAAATATCCTTCAATCAGAATTAGCTAGATTTAGGGATCCAAAGAACACATATGGGGATGAGAAAGAAAAAGAATAAGATGTTGAAGAGAAGGGAAAAAACAATAAAAAATAAAAACAACCAAGGGGGAAGAAAGAATAGAAACATTTAAAGGAAAAATAAAACCTAGTCAGCTGAGAAGGATGAAAGTTCACTGAGGCTAGTAAGATGCCTTAATTTTTATTTCCGCAGTACTCCCCAATCACTGTGTTACTTCAACAAATACATAGTTCATAGCTATTCAAACACCTCTGAGAACAAAATAAAACTCAAGAGGTATGGTCTAAAAGCCCCAAGTCAACCAGATGCTAAGAATGTAAGGACACATGTAACAGCTGGAGGTTTTGCTTTTTTCTGCCCTAGACTACAGTCATCTACTACAGTGGAAACAGAAGAGTCTACAAAGGACATGCTTTCCAAGGGCTTAAAGCTATGGCATTCCTTCAAGTTATTCTAAGTGTCTGGAACACTAGAATAGTTAAGTTATTAGGCAATTATTTTCAAGATTTTGAAAAAATTTAGCAGCTAAGGGTTTACTTCAGACAAAACTGTATTTTCTCTTCCAAATGAATCTAGGCAGATTAGCTGAAGAACTATGTGCAGGTTATTTTTCTTTTTCATGGCATAGGTGTGTGACTAATTAAAACTTACATTTGACTTCTAAAATGGGGCATATTAAATATAAAAGTGGATAAATTGGTTTTGAGAAAACAAAAACTATGGAGGAAACACGATAAACAGGAGCAAAAAGTGCTATAACTTACCCATCAGATTTTCTTTCAATACTATAAAGACATATTGAACAGTCTGCTCTAAATACTATTACCATGTCCCGGAACACACTAAGCAATAATGTTTCTGCTTGTGCCTTGGTGACATGGGCAAAGGAATTGTCCAGATTTGATGTTCGCAAGTATACTCTGAGCTGAAAAAAGAAAATAAAGAAAAGTCATAAAAATAAGATCGCTACCAAAGATGACTAAATACTTTAGTTACGCTGTTTTTACCTACGGACCCTTCTTTCCCATATTAGGAATTAAAAGACCTATCTAATCTTTAGTAATAAGTGGATTATATTTTTGGGAAGCTAGACTCATTTTACAAATAACCCAAAGATCAAGTGCTCAAAATTGTGAATGTAATATTAAGAGACATTCCTTTTAAACTTGCATATTTAGATCTAATGAGATCAACTATTGCTGAAAATAAACATAAAAATCAAGTAAATAAATCTATCTTAAAGAACATTCTTTTTTTTTTTTTTTGAGACAAGGTCTCACTTTGTAGTTCACTCTGGCCTTGAACTTGGAGAAATCCTCCCGACTCAGCCTCCCAAGTGCTGGGATTACAGGCATGCTCCACCATACCTGCGCTCAAGAACAGCCACTCTTACAAACTTGTTTCTTTTTAACTTTTTTGTTTCATTTTGTTTTTTGAGAGAGGGTCTCACTGTGTAGCTCAGACTGGCCTTGAACTCATGATGATCCACTTGCCTCAGCCTCCTGAGTACTGGGATTACAGGTGTGCACCACTATGCCCAGCTTTTTAACTGTCAAATTTTATACAGACTGTCTAACAGCTAAAAAATCCTTAGAAAAGGCCATCTTAGAATTCCCAAGCCACACAGAGTGGCACACACTTGTAATCCCAGCACTCAGGAGGCTGAGACAGGAGAATCACCATGAGTTGGAGGACAGCCTGGGTTACATATTTAGTTCAAGGTCAGCCTGAACTACAGAGCAAGACAGTGTCTTGAAAGAAGAAAAAAAAAAGTCCTAACAGTCACTTTAAAAAAAAAAAACAGAAGTCCAAAAAATTTTAAGTAGCAATTACCTGCAACAGTAGGCTTATTAGCAAAATATGCTGTATAAAATGAAACAGTGCTTATTAACTCTAAAACTCTACTCTTTCTGACAGGAAAAAGAAAAACTTACTTCTTCTTGATGGTCACTTATGTTATAACATGCAAGGACCACAAAATCGTTCCACCAGGCTAAGCCACCAGTCACAATCATATTCTGTTCCTTAAAAGAAAAATTTTAAAAATGTATGTACCTTAATTTTATTAGAAATCACAAGAAAGTACTACTAAATATTTAAGGCAGACAAAGCAAGTTCAAATTATTTCTGCTTTATTCTCTTCTCTCTCCTAAATGATTACTCTAAGGCTATGGTGGTGAAGCTTTGGCACCCACAGCAGGCTGTTTGTTATCACTAAAAACTCACTCTAAAAGGTTTTGCCATCACTGCTCTAGGGCCTTTAAATAGTAATGATTCATATCCTATATTAGAAATGAATATTTCATTAAGGAAGCAAATACATCATTCAAAATAACTGAGTACCATATAGGGTCACTATTCCCACATCCTAAAGACCTTGCTTTAAAATTTGGCTTTTATTCATCAGATGAGCTCACATCCAGTTGGCTGCACCGAACAGGCTAAACCTTGTCACACACAGTTACTAAGACTCCAAGTCTGCTTCTTGTATTGAAGATCCCTCCCTATTCATTAGCTAGGATTTTGGCAGCAGCATTCACATCCATGTATCACACACAGACAAGCAGGAAATGACTCAAAGGTTTGTGAAAATTTATTATTATTTTTTTGGTACCAGAGATTGAACTCAGGACCTTGCACTTGTGAGGCAGGTGGCAGAACCACTGAGCTACATTCCCAGCCCTGTGGAAATTCATTCTTATCATATGGCTAATGAACTCAACATTGAAAGTAAAGGATAAATCCTCAAGCTAAAGAATGTTATTAATCCTAACAAGAATTAAAAACAAGCCAACTATTTCAACGCCAGATATCTTACCAAATTATCTAATTGGCTCACAGATACTATCCAACATCATTTATTATATTTGATTTCCTTTTTTATAAGTAAATAATGACTTAAGGGCTTAAGCTAGAGTTGCTTTATATTGTAGTTCTTTTAAATATTTTCTAAATATTTGAAAATGACTAACCTGAGTAATGTTTCCAAAAAGTTTCCATTTTTTGGTGAGTAAAGAGTAATGTGCAAAACCAAACTTGCCAACCACAGCAATATTCTGTCCAAGTTTATCAATAGCTGAAAACTGTTAAAAAAAAAAAACAACAAAAAAACTTGTCCTTGCAAACCTACATACTTTATTATGTATAAAGCAATAATCTGTGTAAGGTAAATAGACTACTGAAAATGTTAAGTGAATTAAATATAAAATGCAAGATTTTATGCGTATTTATAGTTATATTTGACAAAATTGTAGATGTTAGTATTAGCAATATATAACAAATCACGTATTAAAATTTTACTTTTATCAGTATACACATTAAAGGGCTCAATTCCCAGAATTGCCTCATGCAGCATATACCATCCAGTGAAGTTAACACCAACAAAAAAACTCACCCGTATAGGCCAATTGCTCTCTAGATAGGTGCTGGAAATCTACAGAAAATAACACATCGGTTTGATAAGATTTATGAAATATAATTAAACTTAAAAGTATTAACTTATAGTATGAGATTTCGCTTTCCATACAATATTTAAGGTGACACGAATAGGGGCTATTAGTAGCAAGGTTCTCAGAATTTACCATTTATACACATATTTCACATCTCATGTCTTAACCATTTCAAGTTTGTAGATATCACAATGTTTTATTTGTTTGTATTATTAAACTCAATAAACAGAGAGTGACAAGACATTTTCAGAGAAGCACACATGAGGGCAGCTATGAATCGTGTAGAGGAAGTTTTGGTTTGCAGATAAGAACCATCCCCAAACCAGCTTATGTAATAGAACTCCAGTCTCAACAAGGGTTTTGGGTTGTAATGGGAATATTCTAATACTTGTATATTCTTCTGATTAAAGAAGCAATGTTTATAAAATTAAATAATATAAAATGTACAAAGTACAAAATAAATTAGTGTTGCTCATGAGCAACTAGTTGTTGCTTTTATCTCTAAACGTATCATGTTTAAGCTCCTACTTTTCTATTCAAGTATTCAGTTTATATATTTTATAAGAAGTCTTAATATAGCAAAGATATCAACACTACTTGCAATATCAGTGGTAAATATATATTTTCCCATGTTACCTGTCTTACATCTTAAATTATGTCATTGTATTACTCTAGCAAAATTAAAAAATTTCATCCTGAGTGGGATTTCAACATGAATTAAGTAAATTCTAACTCTATTAAGACTCTGTTCTCTCTACCAGCCTACTAATAATTTGGGAGTTTTCTTGGTGGCACTGAGGATTGAATTTAAGAAATATTTGAGGTACATTTTCAGTCTTTTTTACTTCATTTTATTTTGGGACAGTCTTGCTAAATTGTCCAGGCTGGCCTCAAATTTCTGATCCTCCTGCCTCAATTTCCTGAGTAGCTGGATTACAGGAGCATGCCATCATGCCAAGCTATAATTATATTCTTTTTCATGAGCATTTGGTAGGAGTGTGGTATGAATTAAGAGAACAACACAAAGGCTGGGGATATACCTCAGTGGCCCCGAGCCTGCCTTACAAGCAAAAGGTCCTGAGTTTGATCCCTGGTGACAGGAAGGAAAAAAAAAAAAAAAAAAAAAAAAAAAAAAAAAAAAAGCCCCCATAATATTTTAAGAGAACAACACAGGAAGAGTCTTCTGTCCCTAGAATAAGAAAAGCTTCAATTTATTCAAGTTTATGCAAAAAACTGTTCTATGTTTTTCAAAAGCCAAATTAAAAAGCCATGCAGCTGGGTGGGGTAGCAAATGCCTGTAATTCCCACACCTTAGGAGTTTGCTGCAGGAAAAACATGATTTTGAGGCCAGCTAGGCTATATAGCAAGTTCAAAGCCAATTAAGAACATAGCAAAACCCTATGGAAAAAAGCAAAACAAAAATAAGCTGTGTAAAATGCAATGATGTTCAATAACAATGTGTAGAAAAAATAAAAATCAAGTAAAAACAATATACTAAAATTGTCTGTATTACCTTTGCTTAATGAAATTTATTCATAAAACTGTTAGATTTCACATCTAACAAGTCAACTTAAAATCCAATTAAATTACAAATAGGTTTTAGTACATTAGAAATTCTTAATCCCAGGACTGAGTGCTTACCTCATAGAATGGCAACAGTGTCATGATATATACCTAATGAATGCTTAATCCGAATCTTAACAGATAAACTATAGTATTCAGGCCAAATGATAAAATTCACTATTATAGGCAAAATTAGTTAAGAATAATGGTGAATTTGAAGTAGTAATTGGTTATACAAAAGTAAAAAGCAATTTTCTTTCAGACTGTAAGTGAAATTCCTCTTTTTTAAATTAAGAGAAAAACAATAGTCACTTTAAGGACATTAACAGAAGCTGCGTATGACTTCTCATTATGTATGGCACCAAAAAAAACCCAACCTCCCCAAACTTTGGTATTTCATTACTACTTATGATGTGAGTGGGACCTGAAATCCTACTGCAAAATCTTACTGCAAATCCTACTGCAAAAGTAGATTCTAATATAGTTTCTATGCATATGAAGAAAATTTAAATCCTATCAAATGATCATACTCTCATTAAATGAATATTATAGGAGAAAACAATTTATTCTTTTAACCTGCAAAACTCTGAATCACTACAAATTATAAATGGCTTATTTCAAAACTAAGATGTAATTTTAAAAATGAAGCTCTACAACAAAGAAAAAAAAATCCAGAAAAACAAGTTAAAAAAAAAACAAACAACTCACGGTCACACACACAATCTCATACATACACAAACACTGGCCCCCTCCCATGAAATGAAGATTTGTCATGGAATTTGAGGATGTTATAAAATACAAACTAGAATAAAAACTTGTAATTTTCATAGTCGTCTCCACTGATCTATGTTATCTGAACTCTGAACTATATACTTAGTACTGGGAATAGAAAATGGCAAAATGAGGAGAGTCAGCCAATGAAAATGAAGAAACAGGTGAAGAACGCATACTCAGAGCACAAAAGTCGTGCCACATCACAGGAAAAATAAGTACCAAGGTACAGAAACAATCTCCACTCTTCTGGTTATAGGGTTTTCCAATCTCTCTTAATCTGAAACTGATTTTTTATCTACATTTTAAAGTCATAGTGCTAAAATCCTGTCTCCTGCCTAGAGTAGTTTTGTCTGAAACTGGTGAGACCTATTTTCCTAGCAGATTAAATCTGTGCCAAATATCACTTCTGTTAAACATGATACATACTGAAGGATGAAAGTCAATTATTTATAAGTGAAAATGCCATTAAAACCCACTGTTAACATCCCTAACATAGTGCCTGATAAACAGTAAGTACTTCTCGTCCACATCGCCAAGGGTTATTTTTTTCCAAATACAGCCAGGTTATAAAGCCAACACAGAATATTGGATAATAATAACTAATTCATCTTTCAGAAATGTTTAATTTTATAAAATATGGAGTCTTAAAAAAATGGCAGTCTGAGAAAAAATATAGCCCAAAACTAAGTTTTTATTTTATGTTTTTGAAAATTTCATAGTGTACCACTGCTTTCTAACTCTATAACCTTTAAAAATAAAATAAATAAAAACACTATCTTTACTACTAGTTTCTAGCCATGATTCTGAAAGTATATATATTTTTTGAATTAGATAAAAGAGAAAACACAGGAAGCATAGACTTCTAATCTGTAGGTTAAAGAGTACAAAGCTTAGACAAACAAAAATCCAGTACTGTAGACAAAGAACAGAAATGGTAGAAGAACTCAATTAGATGAATTCTAAGCTATACAGGAAGCATACAAAATACAAATTACACAAACAAATCAACTCTGATGAAGATGTAGTCTTATCCTAGAAAAGAGGATTATGTTGAAGCAGGCACCCTAGTTTCTTCAGGGAGTCACCATTACTGGCTAAAAAGCCTGGAAGGCAAAGCTTTAGCATTATACAGATACTGTAAAGCACCCTGCTGAAAGAACATCCCCACCATTTCATTCAAAATCATGTGGCTAGACTGCTAGCAAACAGACTACAGGGCAACTCCAAGTGAAAACATGTCCAAGTATGCAAGTTCTAAGTTTTAGTTTGAGGTCAGAAGCTAAAGTGATTGAACATTTAATTTTAAAATACATCAGGTCTCTTGTTTAATGCAGATAACAGTAAGAACAGGTCTGCCTCTACTCTGCTGGGTGACCTTGGTCAAGTCACATAAATTCTCCGAGCTTCAATTTGCTCATGTATAAAATCCACTTGGACTATATGATCTCTAAGGTCCTTCCAGCTCTAAAAATTCTATGAGTCTATTATAATTTTAACTATTTTCAAGGAAACTGCAATACCTAGGTATACTTGGATTTAAAAAGTTTATCTTTCTGTATATCTTTAGAACAGTATGACAAGAATCTTACTAGTGCCTAAAGTCCTAAAATAAGTGTTACATGCTTCTTTTATGGAATACTCCAGAGAAGGCAAAGAATCACTGAATTTTTGAGCTGGAAGAAAATTCAATTTTGTTATTTATTGCCTGATGGATTTTTGAGTTCCAGACCTACCTTCTTTGATCCTCTGCTCTACTTGGCTCTCTGGTAACACAGACCTGGCTAGGCAGAACTGGCATTGATGCTAGGTCAGTGTAGAATGAATAGTTCAAAGTATGGGGAAATGAAAATAGCAGAGAAATGGCTATAGGAGAGAAGGGAGCAGTGGAAAATTTTAGTCAAGGAAGTAGTTGAGGCAAATTTATTTAAAAATTGTTACTAATTATAAAATGGTATGTACATTGCCTGACTCTATGAATTTATTAATGTAAGGTAAATACATTTTCTTTTAGTGCATACCACAAGCCAATGTAGGAGATACTCAATTGTTCACATTATAAGCATTTTTCTGTCGCTCATTATATCTACTCAAAGCCAACTGAAAATAACTTGAGAGCTTAAATAAGCCAGTAAGGTACAAGGTCTGGCGACCAGAAGGCAAAGAACTGTGGAGAAACAAAATGACTGAAAAAAAACCTAATCTGAGAGTGAGCCCTGATGCACTTTGGTAGCAAAGAGGAAAACAAAACTCAGGTCTTTGGAGCTATGCCCTTGAGTTTAAGAAATTTCAGTTTATAGGTTGTCCCAAATTAATTTCAACTGGCATAAAGATTCAGAATTTCCACATGAAGTGCTAAATTTATAATATTAAAAAACTGTCAATTTAAAAATGCTATGAGAATGAGTAATTTGGGACAAGATTAGATTATAATAAAATTATTAACAATAAGATTCCACAATAATCACAAGTTTATAATTTGGACTGTCAGGTGACTAATCTAAATGTAGCTCCATTAGGACTAGAGTCAGCTGCACAGGGTACTAGTTAATATCACCACTTTCCAAGCAATGACTACACTTTTGCTTATACAAACCCACAGAACTTGGTTATACAAAAAAGGCTGAAAGTAAAACAGTTATCTTTAATCAGGGCAAAGTGAACTCCTAGTCCTTGACACTAATAAGAGACTTAAGGTAGGGTGAAAATACACTCTATCAAGTGGAAAGAAAAGAGGACAAGAACACAGAAAAGCGGAGAGACATGACAGGCAAAAAGCTTGAAAATTCCCAGTTTTCCGAAATAATGGATGGAACAATACTTAAAAATCTGTTCGAAGTGATATTTTACCAAGGACCCAGTTGCTAGCAATCAATAGACACTTACCTGTACAACATGCCAATGCCGATGTCCAAGTAAATTGCTTAAACCTTGAGACTCTACACCTCCTTCTGTAAATAAGCTCTTTTCTTGCCTAGGCTTTCGCTCAGAGTGTGCTGAGGAATTCCTGGGATTCTGGGATTGTGAGGTCTCTCCACAGTTCAAGTATAAGCGATCCTCTCCCTGAAGCAACACTTGCTCTTGATTACTCTAGATAGGAAAGAGGAAAAAGAAGGGCAGAAAAGAAAAGCAAATAAAAATAATCTAATGGTAACATTAGGCAGGGAAAATTAAGTAACACTTTCTATTACAGAAAATTTGCTGTATAGCTCAATGTCGATTTTCTTTACAGAGGACAGACTATATAATGATCTCAGACCTATTATATTTAGAGACGTAGTTTAATGTGATTACTTCCCAGTATAAATAAAATCCTTGCTGAAGTCTGTTCTATCACATGTCGGGGCCCAGTCATGGCCCACTGGAGTTTGACATTTGGAAAATAACTTCTGCTTGTATAATTAAGGCATCAACATTTGCTACTCTTCAAGGAAACTGTTTGTTAAGCTAGTTTTGACTCTTTCACCCTGATATAACAGGAAGCTCGTTAGCCGAAGATCTGATGTTATCTGTAAGAGTCAGGAACTCACCCTGACATAACAGGAAGCTCGTTAGCTGAAGATCTGATGTTATCAGTAAGAGTCAGGAAATCCGGTCTTTGAAAAACAATGACTTGGTGTTTTTGGTTGTTGTGTGCCCTTAAAAGCTTCCTGTTGCTGTGAACCTATAAAAGGAGCTCTTTCTGTGAAATAAATCAGACTTCTCTTCGTCTCCACTCAGGCTTGAGTGTTCTTTCCTTTCTCAATCCTCACTCCCCAACTCAGGCATGTTCGTGTTGTGACGGCTGGACCGCCACAATCACATAGTTGTAAACATACCCAGATTTATAACTGCTGTAGTATTTCTCACTACTACTCTAAAATGGTATTACAATGGGAGATCCTGATATTTGAGAAATTGAATATAACTAGTTTTTGTTTATTGTTTACAAAACAGTTTCACAAAAAGTATGGGTCAGTGCTTTTAAGAAAATATGCCTGGTCAAAGCTAAGTCTGTGAGGGGGACATCTAGATATAAACATAACCATGATCTTTACTGCAATCTTTAATGTCCTTTTGTAAAATTGTAAGACTTGAGAAGGGGGATGCCAGCAATTAACTTTTTGTGTATGTATGCTTGTGCACACACGTGTGAATGTTGCCCTTCTCTAATTACCTGCTCATAGTGCAGAGAATCCAGCAACAAGATTTAATAAAAGGGGAGGACATAGCTGAACAGGAGTCATCACATTGGAGAAACTCAGAAAAGAGCAACTAAAAACACAGCTAAATGGAAGAAGGGGACAGACATACGTCCTGATGCAAAAATCAATTTGAAAGAGACTTGTAGATCAGACAAAACATGCAGATAGGAGTTTAAAACAGGCAAAGCTGTTAACAGGGCTGTGCTTGGGGGAATCAACACAGGATCCGCCATTTTAAGAAGCCCCAAATAGCTGGTGGGCTCCAAGTAGCCTGGCAGAATGAAGCCACACAGGAAAGACTAGGGGTATACAATTCCTCCCCTCATTGTCCCTTCTCCAAATAGATGACACTGCACCCCAGCAGCATATTTCCCTGGCACACACAAGGTGCAAATGACCAGGAGCTGCTCACTCCCACTCACACCAGGAATGAGTGGAATGAACGTCCACCCAATTCAGTCCCAGACTTAACATATAAATGAACAACTGCTGCCTGTGTTAGGAGTCTTCAATATTGGATCCTGAACACACCTCACTGACCGCTGGGAGCTTGCAGTTTATCCTAAGCTAACTGGGACACTCATTTGGCACACACAGCTAACACTTGTTTGGTCTGAGTCAGTACTCAGTACCTAGGGGGTCACTTGAATCTACACTGAGCTCTCAATGACCTGCTCCAATCCTAGACCCTCAAAGTCTCTGGCCAACATCTACTACCAGTCCCCAGGCAACTGGGCTTACACGGGGGCATTTCAAGTACCGTGGGCACAACAACGACTTGATCCTGCATTCAGCCAGAGCCTTGGACATAGTCCCTGCCTAACACAATAGGCCAGTACTCTGCCTGGTTAAGCAGCAAGGATTAATGGCTGCCTATTATGCATGGTACTCAGGACAGCCATGAGACATCACCCAGCACTCTATGCTCTCACTGACCCTGTAAAAATAAGTTAGTCCCAGGCAGATTTGTTTTTCCTCTGAGCATCTACAGGACTGAGTCAGGTCTGAGAGCCCACAAGAGCCTCCATATACCAGGAGTCTTTCTACAGATATTGGAAAAATCCATCGGATAACCAGAATCGGTCCCCAACAACGGGAGATATTAAACAGATACAAACATATATCCAGAAGATTAAAAATTCTATTGAAAGAATATGCAACAGAATCAACTAATGTGAAGAGAGAGTATCCAATCTAGAAGACAGTTGTGGTTTGTGATCATCAAATAAAAGACTTCTTAAAAATAGCAAGGGCACCATGAAAAATCAATCACACCAAAAGTGCAAGGTGATGCAAAGAATAATATAAAATTAACTGGAATCAATGAAAAATTAAAGATAACACAAAGGATATAGATATATATAAACTTGTTCAGAAGTAATGGCAGAAAGCTCCCCAACCATGGGAAAAGAATGTGACATACAGATAAGTGATGCATATAGAATCCTAATTAGCCATGATCAGAAAAAACTCACAGCAAGGCACATAATAAACTAGATTCCAGAAATTCAATGCAACAGAATATTAAAAGCTGTTAAAGAAACAAATCACCTATAAAGGAAATCCCATCAGAGTCACAGCAGAACACAAACCATTAAATCAAAAAGCACTTGGAGTGAAATATTTCAAGCCCTAAAAGGAAACCTCCAATCCAGATTACTGGACTCTGAAAAACTATCTTCAAAAGTGATGGAGAAATTCCATGATAAATAAAACCTGAAGCAATTCACATTCTCTAGAGAGAGAGACAATGAAGACACCAATTCCAAGAATCCCAACAGAATGAATCCACCAGGCAAGGCAAGCAATTAACAGAGGGGAAAGAAAGGGAACCAACAACAAGAAAATAGTATGACAAGAATAAGTCAATACATATTAGTTATAGCCATCAATGTAAATAGTCTCAATTCACCAATCAAAAGAAACAGACTGGCAGAATGGATCAAGAAACAAGATCCAGGGCTGAGGATTTAGCTTAGTAGTTCTGCCGCTGCTTGCCTTGCAAACGCAAGGTCCTGACTTCGATCCCTGGTACTAAACAAAACAAAACAAAACAAAAAAGGAACAAGATTCAACAATATGCTGCACAAAATAAATACATTTGACTAAAAAAGAAATTCACTAACTGAAAGTTAATGGATTGGAAACAATACTCCATGTGACAGGAACCTGCAAAAAAGCAGGGGCAGCTATTCTATTTACAGACAAAGTGGATTTCAAGCCAAGACTGATCAGAAGAGACAAAGGCCAGTAACAATCCAGGAGGAAGAGATAACAATCATAAATATATATGCACCGAACGTCAGTGCACTCAATCATAATCACCAATCAAGAAACAGACTGGCAGAATGGATCAAGAAACAAGATCCAGGGCTGAGGATTTAGCTTAGTAGTTCTGCCGCTGCTTGCCTTGCAAACGCAAGGTCCTGACTTCGATCCCTGGTACTAAACAAAACAAAACAAAACAAAAAAGGAACAAGATTCAACAATATGCTGCACAAAATAAATACATTTGACTAAAAAAGAAATTCACTAACTGAAAGTTAATGGATTGGAAACAATACTCCATGTGACAGGAACCTGCAAAAAAGCAGGGGCAGCTATTCTATTTACAGACAAAGTGGATTTCAAGCCAAGACTGATCAGAAGAGACAAAGGCCAGTAACAATCCAGGAGGAAGAGATAACAATCATAAATATATATGCACCGAACGTCAGTGCACTCAATCATATAATCTAAACACTAATGTATACAAAAAACTAGGTAAGTTCTAATACTGTTATAATAGAGGACCTCAATATTCTGTCATAAACAGACAAATCAACTACAGAAAAAAATCAAAAAAGAAATGTCAGAGCTGAACCAAACCTTTGAAAAAAATGGACTGAGACGTTACAGTGTTCCAGTTCCACTCAACAATAGAATACACATTCTAGCACACGGGACTTTCTCCAAAATAAGCCATACACTAACTCAAAGAACATGCTTAAGTGAATGTGAAGGAATAATTATCCAATGCATATTATCAGATCATAGTGCAATGAAACTGGAAATCAATGGCAAAAGAAAGTGAACAATAAAATAGTTTCTACAATTAAATGATAATGTTGATATGACACAGAACTTATGGGATACAATAAAAGCTATTTTAACAGGGAAATTTATAGCAGTGAATAAGCTCAAATAAATGCCCTAATGTTGACCCTCAAACTTCTAAAAAGAGAAGAGCAAGTTAAACCTGAAACTCTTACAAGAAAGGAAATTATAAAGATCAGAAGACATTAATGCAATTGAGAATAAGAAAACAATACAAAGAATCAATAAATCTGAGTTGGTTCTTTGAAAGATTAAATAAATAAACTCTTAGAAAACTTTAACAAAAAAAAAAGGAAAGATGCAAATCTATGCAATTAGGAGGGAAAAGGGTCAAATTACAATGGATCCTGCAGAAATCCAGAAAGTCATCAGTGTCTAGTTTGAGAATTTGTACTCATATAAAATGGAAAACTCAGAAGAAATGGACAGATTCTTAGATAGAAATGAATTATCCAAAGCTGAAAGAAGATCATATACAAATTCTAAATAACTCGGTATCAGTTAATGAAACTGAAGAAAGGACTTCTGGGAAAATGGCAGCTTGGTAAGCAGCAGAAAATGAGCCTCTCTGAGATTTGGTGTCCTAACACTGGAATATAGCAGCTCAAGGGGGAGAAGGAGGAGGGAAGTGGGTCCCCAGGACACAGGAGCAATCTGAGGTAAGAACTGAAGTCTACAGGGAGAGTGAAGAGAGAGACTTTAATGATTAGGAGGGAGGTAGCATACAGCACTCTCTTCCAGAGCCTGGACTCTCAGAGAGGAAACAGTGGGCTGAACCTGCAGATGCACAGTGACAGCTGACCCCAGAGGCCTCCACGGAGAAATGCACCAGTGGAGTGGAGCAGCGGACAAACTGGACTGCAGCAGCTGATAAGAAAATGGCCTAGGATCCAGGACCTATTACAAGTAATACAATTCTTGGGCATGTAAAAGGAATAGATGCTTCTCAGATAAAAGTACAAATATCAAATAAATAAAAATTTTCAACATCACTAGTCATATGAGAACTGCAAATTAAAACAACACTGAAATTCTATCTCATTTCAAAAGAATGCCTATCAGTAAGAAACTAATCAATAACAAATGCTGGAAAGGCTGTGGGGGAAAAGGAACTCTTCTTCATTGCTGGTGGAAGTATAAACTAGTACAACCAATACGGAGGTCCCTCAAAAAAATAAAGCTAGAGGTTCCATTTGACCCAGCTATTTCTCTTTTTGGTATCTTCCTCAAAAGAATTAAAAGCATCATATCATAGCAATATATGCACACTCATGTTTATAGCAGATTTATTGCACACTATATTTATAGCATAATTTGCAACAGCTAAATCTTGGAAATAGCCAAGATACCCAGTAATGGATGAATGGATAAAGAAAATGTGGTTTTTATAACAATGCAGCACTACTCTGCCATAAGGGTAAACTTCAGACATTTTTAGGTAAATATATGCACCATGAGACCATACTTTAAAGTAAAATAAACTGTTTAAATATTGCATTGTTTCTCTGGTGTGAGAAGCCAAAAGCATAAATAAAGACTACTAAATGGATAATGGATAATGGGATGTAGGAATAAAATGTTCAAGTAGGAGAGGGAACAAGGGAGGGGGCAGGAGTAGGAAAAGTAAAAAAGAATGGAAGGAAAAAATGGAAACAAAGCTTTTGTAAATGGGAAGGGGAGGAAGGATTGAAAGGTGAGGAAAGGCATGGGAAAGAAAGAATTAAAATATATTATGTACGGTACAAATTCCCTATGACAAGTAAAATCAATATGTGTGACAAATACGTACTAATAAAAAATAAAGTTTAAAACAAAGAAGTGCTTGTGTGTGTATGCATGCCTGTGTGCCTCATGACCAGCTGGGGGGAAGATTAGGAAAATGTGGTGCACACCAGTTATCACTGCACTCAAGAGGCTGAGGCAGGAGGATCACTGAGTTCAACGTCTACCTGAACTACACATGGAGACTGTCTCAATAAACAAACATAAAACAAACAACTAAAAAAAGATCAGGAAAACAAATAAATGGATGCTGGAGAATCTTCTAAATCATGAGAGGAAGGAGAGAAGCATTACATCTGTAATATGGCTTTAGTAAAATTCAACAATCACTTACTTAGTGAAATGCTTGCTTAGTGCCAAAGACTAAAAAGTCCTAAGAATATTTTGAAAAAGACAGCTCATGCTTTTAGTAATTATGTCCTCGTTTTCAATTAGAAGGCCAGTGTTCTTGACAGTAGAAGACTTTTAACTATTCATACCAGATGGAATGGCACCCTATTACTTTACCTTTCCATTTTAGTTCAAACGTTGTCTTGAAATAAAACTCAAGAGTGCTTTAAAATTATTACTTGGGATGTGGAAGGGCAGGAAAAATACTCTTATTTTTCAATTTCAGCAATGTATCTGGGATCCAGGCTATTTTTTACATTATTTTTCAGTGTGCTAAAAATTTTAATTAGGTTGTTGTAACAAGTATCTTTAAAATGCCATTGTTGACAGATCCTAAGATTATGTACTCTTAACATGCAATCTGAGGGCTGAGGATTTAGCTCAGTGGTTTGGTGGCCTGTCTTGCAAGTGCAAGGACCCAAGTTCAATCCCCAGTACCAAAAAGAAATGTAATCTGTATTTTATATTATCTATATAATAATATATATTACTCTAGCTTGGTAAATCTGGGGACTTTTTAGTTGAATAAGTATAGGGAATAGTACATATTCCAACCCCTACATTTTTATTATGCACAAGTGCATATTTGAGACCCCAAAGTCCTATAATAAATTAATCTTTACTGCTTTGTTTTAAAGCCTTATTTTACACAAGAAAAATAGTGTTTTTGTATTGTTTTTTTTAATTCTGTGGAACTGCTACTAATATTTTCCCTAAGTATTATCTGGTGAACAGTCTGAGAAATCCTATTCAGAGAGTAAGTAAACATAGTTATTCAATATAAAAAGATTGCTCATGGTCCTATTAAAAAAAGAAAACACCCAAAATGTCAAAACATGTTCAGAAATAAGATTTTCGTATGAGTTTAATATAAACTTAAAAGAAAATATAAGAATCACAGAAAATACACAAAAAATAATATGCCAATTGTAGGAGGATACTTGACATCTACGGGTCATAAAGGTCTGAAATTCTGACATGAAAGTCACTAAAGAAATCAAAGAGTGTGAGTACACTTACCATACAAGGGTTTACAGTCAGTACACTCTTGATAAACTGAAATAGCAGAATGCTGGGCTGTTTAACTATTCTCTTTAGGTCAGCCTCAAGCGAAGTGTATGGAGAACAAGATCCACTGATCACCCATAGGTGATAGCCTTCTGCACCCCAGCACTTGGAACGAGAGAGGGACAATATGTCAAAACAACAAAAGGTTATTGTTATTCTTTTCTAACTTCAGTATCTGAAATAACCAATGACAGTACTATAAGTGACTTCCAAAGATTGAAGAATCCATGGCAACACAGAAAAGAGTCATACCTTCCAGGTATATCTTAGCTATCTCTAGAGGAAACCACTACCACTGCACTCTACCCAGAATGATGAAAACTCTAAGTACTATTCTTAGCTTCAACTTCAGGATTCCAATCCGAAGAAATACGTACTGCTGGGCCGGGTATTTAGCTCAGTGGCACTGCACCTGCTTTGCAAGCATAAGGTCCTGAGTTCAATCCCTGGTACCAGAAAAAAAAAAAAGAAAAAAAGGAAATACCTAGTGCTTTTGCTAACTTCTCCATTAATTTAATTGGCTGTTTCTCAAGTACAAAAAACTTTACAGATGAAGACCCAGATTATCTAGTAGCAGCTCAGCAAAGAAGCACTTACAACAGATGCAGCCTTGCAGAGAGCAAGGCATATTAGATTGGAAGCTGCAAGAGTACCAGTTTCATTCCAGTTTGGCTTTCTGTTATGTTACTTTGACACAGTTATTTGGTTTCTCAATGTTTAAGGTCTCTCCTCCATAAAGTTTGAAGATTCAAATAAATTTTTCCAGGCCCATTCAATTTCAATGTTCTACAATTAGATTCCATGATAGTTTTTTTTTTAAGCGATTCTCAATTTGTGAGCCAAATAGTAATGGGGTGGAAGAAGAGATCCATGAATAATTGCAAAATTTCAAAAGTTCAAAAGTTTTACATCTTTTGCAAATCTTTTCTTTATGTTATGATAAATCTTCACAAGCTAATTAAAGACTATATAAAGAAGATCTCCTGAGCTAAAACATAGCTTTGTGATTCTCAGCCCAATATCAGAGGGAAAAACGGGGGGAAAAAAGAACCCTCAAGTTTTTTATCCTATGCCAAGTTTTTATAAAAGTGCTTACCATAGAATTGATCTTAAGGGGGTCTTTTTTGGTCCCATCAGACCTATAACTGAAATAGAATAGAAACTTAATTTGAAAGAGTTTTCCAATTACATATAAAATGCACACATTATTCAGCTTTAATTTTGAAAAATCAAATTGATTTTGCTCCTTCAAAACAGAAATATATACTGCATAAAGTAACACTGGAGCCTAGTACACCTAGGCATTTCACTCAGCTCCATTTTTCTAACTCCAACTAATTTCCTCACAGCATCATGCAGCTTAGGAAGGTATGCTCAGTTCATCAGGACTGAGGCTCAGGACAGTATATAAAAACAGCAGACATGTCAACCCGTTCCTGTCAACCCATTGTGTTAGCTTACATTAACCCAATGAGATAATGTAACTTTTTACTTCCTACTAATTATTTTGTACATGGCTTATTCTTAGTGGATGATAATTTAAGGCAGAATTATGTCTGATTCAGTCTTAAATCTAACATGAGGTCATATATACAAAAGGGGTTCAATAAATAAGCACATTTCCCCCTGGTACTGAAGATCAATGTGTGTTTTTAAAAAATGAATTGTCAGTTTTAAGAAGGTGGATGTTTGGAGAATCGACAAATTATAAACAAATTCATTCTGAATATTACAAACAGTTTTGGGGTAAGAACCAAGTAAGACAAAAGGGTAATTCTATGAGCCAAGGAATGAAAAAAAAAATATAGATAGATACACAGATTGTCAGGGAAGTAAAGTTATTTTATCTAAGATCTGTTTTTATTGACTTACGCAAAATCTCCTCCAAGTGTACAAATCAGCTGGGCTCCAAATACACTCCATAAGGAAAAGCCTCCATATTCCCAGGTCACTATTACAACACTATTGTCAGGAGACCATCTGATCAATTTAACAGCTCCCGTTTTGTTCCAAATGTCTATTAAGAAGTAGTGAGAAGAGTTCAAAATCAGTGATTACTTAAGATATGGTACTTTAAATAGTCTTTATCTTCAAATCTAAATGAGGAAAAAGGCATAACTACTTCAAATAGTAAGATGCATGCTACTGATGTAGGGTTATTTTTAAAAAGGCCACTAGTCTTTGTCTGATTTAGAACAATCTCAGTGTACAAGTAATTAATAAGCAGTGAAAGGCGTTCTGTTCATTATTTACTTGAACTACCAATGTATAATCTTCAAAATCTGCTTTTGTGCAAACCAGCTTCTGTAAAATGGAGATAAGGTTGCAGCAAACAATGTACTTAGAGAAAAATTTATCAAGGCTTTACAAAGTCTACATGATAAGAATGATAAAAATGTAAAGAGCAAATTTATATTTCTGGCAGTACAGCAATGAGAACTTAAATGACACTGAAACAATTTAAGATTCTGAAAATAATATTTAAATAGCTCAAAACAACCAAAAAAACTGGGATAAAGTACTTTTTTCCTGAATTTATTTGCCAACTCCTGGAACCTCGACTAATACCTCTGATGATTCCTAACATGTCAGGGACAGGAGATTCAGCTCAAAGCTTGTCCAAAGGTTAGAGTTTTGTCTATATTCATGGAGGGTGGGAGGGGACACGGACGGACAACAAATCGTTGCTGTGTAGAAATTAAAGAAACAGCAAGAGAGATTTCTATGTTTCATCTATGGTACTGAATAGAAACTAAAGCTCCCTTGATAATCTGCAGTCACAAATCAGCTGTCAGCCTGAAGTATAATTTGTGGTTTTAAAAAAACTCAGAGAGCACAATGTAAACCTAAACGGCCAACAGAAACACAAGCAAATCCTCTCTGAAAGAATTCAAATGCACTATCAGTCTTTAGGCACTCATACAAATAGCTTTCAAAACAAAGCTAGCTCTCAGTCAAAAATCCTAAAATATACAAACAAATGAATGAGAAACCAAAGAAATAACTCATAGCAGCAACAGACTCAAAAAGTCTCCAGCTACTAGGACTAACAGACACAGGATATAAAACATGCTTTTTAAGGTTAAAGAGAAGATGAAATTAGGAACAGGATATACAGAGACTGGAAAAATTAAATAATCCCTTTAGAAAGAAAACAGTAACTAAAATTTAAAAATTCAGTGGACGTATTCAAACAACACATTAGACATAAATGAAGAGAGAATCAGTGAAGCCAAACAGTGATTTGGAAAATATATCTAGAATGCAGTCTAAAGAAACAAAAACATGTAAAGCCAGGTGTGGTGGCACACGCCTGTAATCCCAGCACTCAGGATGAGGGATCCCTGCAAGTTCAAGGTAAGCTTGTGCTAGTAATGAGTTCAAGGACAGTTTGTTTGTTTGGCTAAAAATGAAAATACGTTACTATCATAAAAACTTCACTGAAAAAATTCCAAAGGAATTATTTCAGGAAAAGAATGGTCCCCATAGGAAAGGTATGAATCATTAAAAGAGATAACAGGCAAGATTATTGGTATACTGTATATGTGGGTAGCGTTGAGGCAACATCAATAGTTTATTTAACATGAGGTACCTTAGCTTTTTTCTAAAACTGATTTTTATTATTAAATTTGATTAGATTTATATGGGCACTTTCAACTTCTTTTATTTTCTTTTAACATCAAAGTAATGTGTAGTCTCAGAACAATCGTTCTTAATATGAGAACCAATCTAAATCTGTGAGGAGGATAAAACAGTTTGGAAAATGGTTCCCAATTACTAATTCAGATATAAGTAAAAGTACATTACCAAATCATAAAACATATCATAATGAGATTATACTGCTGTTACATACAATTCTGGAAAGTCACTGATCTCAACTTAAAAAATGGATTCATTCATTATCTATTATGTGCCTCTCACTAAGATCAATTACCTTGGTATAAACAGATGGGAATGACTCTACCCTCGAGAATTATAGGATTACAGGATTATTTCCCTTAAACTATTAAATTCAATAAAGCTTTATATATACGAAGAAAGACATTGGAGAGCACAACAGAGTACAGGAGGGAATGGTATTTTAACTAGATCATTAAAAAGAGACTAAGCTTGAGGTATATAATGAAATATGAATATACAGTGTAACTTCTATGTAGAAATATGAGATATTTCAGGAACAGAGAATAGTGTGAGAGATAAAGGAATCAAACAGTATGGAGATATTTAAGAATCTATAGGTATTGTAGTCTGGTCAACTAAGTAAAATTTAACACTATAGTTCTCAACCTATGTACCAAGGTATAACAAAACAATCCAGAAAAAGTGTTCAATGAAAAATCAATGTGAAACCAGAAATGTGTGTGTTTGTGTCTAATTTGACTCAGTGTCCATGTTTAAACATGAAATAAAAATATTGTTTATATTTTTATTTATAGCTACTTTTTAAAACATGCTACTAGGTTGCTAGTACATAGGATTTATTCAGTAGTTAAATAGGTCTAGCTATTTAATAAACAGATCATTGGAAGTTTCTTTTAGCTTAGGGGTACTACATAAAAATTACAGAAAGAGCATGGCGTGAGCCAAGAAATCATGACATGAGGATTTTGGCAAAAGGTCTTTTATGCCACATATGTGGTAGACACTGTTGGGTGGTTAATGTAATGCCTGTTTCTTTTCTATTTATTTTGCTCCTATCTGCTATAAAGGACTAGAAAAAGCTATCATTTCCAACTTTTGCTTGAAGCCCATCCATGGTAGCCATTTGACATTTACTCCCAATTAGATGGAAGTAGAAGACAGAGCAAATAGGATGTGGGGTTCCATCTGGAAACATTTCTGCTTTCCTGATTAAAAAGTAAATTAACAAACAAATAAATAAAATCATATGTACCTAGTTTCCTCCTTTCTTTTTGACTAAAATGCCTAAGTAATTCTTGGAGCTCAGGAGTTACTCTGGGACCATGAAGAAAAGGTCAAATGAAGGTCAGTAGTTAGCCTGCCTTTGGATTTCTTGCTATTTGAAAAAAGAAATCTTATTTGTTTAAACCATAGTAAGTCAGGGTTTCTGTTACTTCAGTTAAAAGTATTTCTAATGATAAAGAATCTAGAACAGAATCTGTGAACAGCAGAGACTTATTAAAGGGTTTTAAATTTTTTTGTTTGTTCTTGGGAATCCAGCATTTAGAACAGTGTCAAGTGCATGGTAGGTACTAAAAAAAATTATTGAGTAAATTAAATTGAAAGGCATAAAATAACAGAATGAAATCAGTTAAGAGATTACAGCAAAGTCCTGAGAAAGAATGCAGGACTTAAAACTGAGGATTAAAAAAAACCTGTGAATGAATGTAAAAGTTCCCATAGTCTAATTATGCAGAAATCTTTGAGTCACATAAAATCTTGTATGTTCTAATAATATTACTTATAGCATGTATCATTTAATTTAAAATCAGCATTTGTTACACACTAGTACAGTAGCCCCCATTTTGGTGGTTTTACTTTTTCTATTTTCAGTCACTTGATGTCAATTCTGGTCTGAAAATATTAAATGGCAAAATTCAAGAAATAAAAAAATGCATCAAATTTAAACTAACACCATTCTGAGTGGCAGGATGAAATCTTGCTCTGTTCTACTCAGGGAGTGAATCATCACTTTGTCTACTGTATCCATGCTACCTGCCCAATAGTCACTTAGTAGACATCTCAATTATCACACTGACTGTTGCAATCTCTCAAAGCTTGTGCTCAAGTAACCCTTATTTTACTTAATAATGGCCCCAAAGCATAAGAGCAGTGATGCTGGCAATTCAGATATATCAAAGATCAGCCAGAAAATGCTTTCCTTAAAAGGGATAAAGTTACAAAGTTCTATGATAAAAATGAATTTTCTATCTGTTAAAGTGTGATAGAAAAAGAAACTTGTGCTAGTTATGCTGTTGCACTTCAAATTGTGAAAGTTATGGTCATAACAGGTGATAAATACACTGTCACAGAAAAGCATTAACAAATCTGTGGGTGGAAAACATGAACAGAAAACATTCGTTGACAGCAGTGTTGCACCAGAAAGCACTGACCCTATATAAAGACTAGCAAGGGATTCCCTGAAACAAATGATAACAAGTGAAGGTTACACATGTTGTAAATAGGTCTGGACTAAAAAAATGTAAAAATTACTGCAAACTCTACATTTGCCAATGAAGAAGTTACCACCACATTTCTGACAGACTTGAGTAAACTGGTAAAGAAGAAAGGATATGATTCAAAGAAAATCTTTGAAGAAATCGGGCTCTCCTGAAATAAGAAGCCTAACAGATCTTGTATTCATAAAAGTACAAAGAAGGCACTAGGCAGAAAACATACAGTAACTCTGATATTACATGGCAACATCTAAAGGAATATGATAAAATCCAGGTGCAGTGTACAAAGAATCTACATTTGAAAGAGAGACAAAGACAAAAAATGCACATTCACATAACTTTCATTAAAGTATATTATTCCATAATTATTCTATTAGTTAATTTAAATTTTAAAATTAATTGTATATTTTTATAGAGTACAGCATGGTAATTAAATACAGGTATACAATGTATAATGATCAAATCAGGTTACTTCTTATTATGCCTATTTTTTGCTATGTATGTACACAGTATACAGAACGTTAAGTATTATCCAGGGTTTCAGGCATCCATGGGAGGGTGTTGTTTTGAAATGTATCCCTCATAGATAAGGGGAAGGGAGTAACCTTATCAAAAACACTTAAAATACTCACCAGGATACTGCTTTGCTGTTAGCTCTAATTTATGAGATAGCAACATGGCTCCAGTGGTGTTATCTATGGTATAAACCTGCACAGAACCACTGTGAAAATAAGCAAACAGAAAAACTTTTAATGAAACAGGACAAATAGAAAAAGTATTATTATGAAAACTCTTACATTCTGCTGGTACAAATGTAAAGTAGAACAAAACCAATTTGTAAATAATTTCCAGTGATCTCATGAATTCAGAAAAATGCATATTGTATAATCCAGCAATTTCATCTCTAGATACAATATATCCAAGAAATTCTTATCTAATGTCTATCAGTAGACATATAATATTCTCTAAACTACCATGTATAATTGCAGCAAAAACAAAAAAATGAAAACAACTTGAACAGACCTCAATGTGAGGAAAGAAAAACAAACTGGTATATGCATATAGTACTAATACCATATAGCACTGAAAAAGAAATGGGATTCAACCACATGCATTAATTAGCACAGGCAGCATTTATATTGTTGTTGTTGATGTTTTTCTTTTTTTGGTACCAGGGATCAAACTTAGATCCTTGCACTTCCAAGGCAGGCTCAGAGCCACTGAGCTAAATCCCCAGTCCATGTATAAATTGTTTTTTTTTTTTTTTTTTCAATTCAAGACACAGTTGTTAAATACACTGGTGGTTTAAAAAAGTATAGCAATGAGTTAATATACATGAATTTTAGATTAGTGACTACTCAAGTAGAGAATGGAGACTATCAAGGAACAAGCAGACAGAGGGCTTCAACAATACTAATAATGTGCTATTTCTTGTGCTGAATGATAATTTAGACAGATTATCACTGTATGTTTTATACATCATATGCTCTTCTGTGTATCAAATAAATACATATATATATTTCACTTAAAAACTCTTTACAAGGGTCAGACTTATGAAGGAATAAAACCAAAACTAAAAACACTATGGTGGGGGGGGTAAATTGGGGATTAAACCAAGGGCTTTTGCACTGAGCTGTATTTCTAGCCTTTTAACGACAGGTTGTTGCTAAATCACCCATGCTGAGCTCAAATTCAACATCTACAGGTATGTACCATCAAACCCAGCTTCTACATTACTCCTAAGCTACATTTCAAAACCGAACTCCAACGCTCACTTTAAAAACTCATTTATGTGTGTGGTGCTACACTCAGTTTAAAAATTTAACCCCAAAAAATTGATGATGACCTTTGTCACCACAAATGATCAAATTTAGCATCCTCAATTCTGGTGCAATTTGACACTGTTGTTAAAGGAAGTATATATCATCACCTATGACTAAAATGTTTAACTGGAATCTACTTAAACCATTAAATACAGCTAGATTTTTCAAGATGGATCCTTTGGAAACTGGAATCTTGAAAGAATACTGGTTTCCTAACTCATTTTTTAAAGTACATGTTTGCAGTATGTAATGATCACATTTATGACAAGGAATTTGTACATGTACACAACATATTTTAGCTGTTTTATTTTCCAGTCTCCTTACCTTCCCCTCCTTCCAACCCTTCTTTCTCCTTCTTAAAGACACCAGCTACAGACCAGTGCTCAAGGCAATTAACCCTAGAAAGTCCTGACAAAGAAGAGCTGGAAGCTATTGCCTGGTAAGTCACAGAGGTACTATAAAAACAAAAACAAAAATTTGAACCCTAACTCACGATAATGCCAGATGTGCGGACAGACTTCTAAACATGACTGAAAGGCTACAAAACCTAGATTCTAACTTCATTATCCTAATACAGTGACAGTGAACTTTTTAGAGCTCTCAGTGATTAAAAATAGCATACTACAGCACATGTGCCATAGGTTCACCACTGTTCTAATACTTTCTAGTCGTTTCTAGATTCCAAAATCTGGCTTAGCTAGACCCCCAGATGATATACCTGAATGCAAGTAACATGGGAACTTGTCACTATTCCAGTTTTCTCTCAAACTTGTATTTGCTCAACAAGAACCAGCTTTCAGGTTAGTTGTTAACAGGTGTTAGAGACACTAAATGCAATTGTAGGGAAACAAGGAGGCAAATTTGGATTGTAAGACTAAAGAAGTGATCTAAGACAGTATGGTGGCACATCCCTGTAATGCCACATCTCTTGGGAGGCTGAGGCAAGAGGATCACAAGAGTCCAGTCTAGGTAACTCACAAATACCCTGTCTCAAAATAAAAAATAAAAAAAGAACTGGAGATGTAGTTTACTGCAAAGCTTCTAAGTTCAATTCCGATGGAAAGGCCCTAGGTTCAATCAGTTACTGGGGGAAAAAAGTCAATATAATAGCGTGAAAATAAGAAAAAATGGTAAGAATTGGTATAGATAAAAGGTAAGTAAACAAAAACCAAATATAATTCAAGAATTTTCTTTCATTCTTGTTAGAACAAACAAGCTATAAAAGAGATTTTGGTAGTAACTGGGTTAGAGTATGAAATGGGTAATAGATCCTATTAGTTATTTATCATTGTTTATCTCATGTACAATAAAAATACTGAGTTTATGTAAAAGAATGTCTCTGTTTATGGAAACCAAGAGATAATATAAATGTCTATCAGTAGCAAAGTGGATAAATTATGATATATTCGTACTAGGGGACATTATCTGTAAGTCTATATAAAAAATTAAAACTATTCACAAACAACATGGATGAATTCACAATGTTTACAGAGAGAAACAAGAAATAAAAGATAAAATGATTTTATTCCCATAAAGTTCAAACAGAAACAAAGTTATATGTGCAAGGAATATATACACAGGTAGTTAAAGTATAACAAAAACTAAATGATTATCACAAAAGACAGAAAACTGTTACTAATGGAGTCAGACAGGGAACCAGATTTGCAATTAGAAGTAGTGAGGTCAGACTTTATGAAAGACTGGTGATGTTATTTCTTGTCCAATTATGAACTGTGTATCTGGATTATGCATTATTTGGTATGATTATGCATTTATTTTATAATATGAAAGTAAAAAAAAATGATTCACTTTACAAATAAATTATTGGGAAAAAAAGACCACTCAAAGTAGAATTAAGGTGCTGATTTTTAGTAGTTATATAACTTATACCAAAAAAAAAAAAAAAATTTTTTTTTTTTGATACTTAGATGGAGATCATGCAGCCAGAGCCATACTAGACATTATGTCCTATAGAACTACTATAGGTCAATTTTATATTTCAGAAAGCTTTAAAAACTAAAAGCAATATACACATTGTAAGGCAGCACTATGATAATCTTTTTATTTGAGCTATAAGCTAAACAAAAGTATCTTTGTTTTAACGTATCCTGGGTTTAGAACTGTATTTATTACACAGTAAGTATACAGATATTCATTGAATGAATTATTTTGATTTTATTTTTAAAATATACATTACATGAATCAAAGAAGTTTATTTTATGTATGAGCTTTAAGTATGCTCATTAAGTAAAGTACAGACACAAATTTGACGTTATTACCAACACTGATCTCTTAAAAAGGACTTTAAGAAGGAAAAAATATCTTAATAAAAAATACCTTTGGATTTTATATTAAGGATAATTCCCAAATTATGACGACATGATAAAGTTTTATAAGCATGTTAAGATATTTTGAATTTTAAAAATTACTTTTGGCTGGGTGTGGACACATGTCTGTAATCCCAGTACTCTGCAGGGTGAGGCAGAATTGCATATTTGAGCCCAGCGTGGGCAACAATAGTGATTGAGATTCTGTCTCAAAGTAATAAAATAAAATTAAATTAAATTAAAATAAATTATTTTGGCAATAATTCTTAAAATTTCAGAAGTCTGTATCAATTACCTTGTACAACCAAATGCCATTAGCCGATATTTGTTATTTACTGCTACACATGTTCCATCAACAACATCTTGTGGCCAAACTCCATGAAGTTGCTACAATAAAGAAAAACAGTTAAGGCTTAAAAAATGTTCCTACAAATTTAATCAATATAATTTTCTTTCAATAATCATGTGGTTGCACAAGGCTTCATGTGGATATCTGTCTCATCAGGACTACCATCGGAATAGCCTGCCTTAAAACGTCGAGCCTTTCATTAATTGGTTCACTAAATATCCCAAGTGAACTTAATGTATTTATAAAAACACACAAAAAAGGTGGATATTCAATCTCTAAACATGAAATAAATGAAGGTAACTTTTGTTGCAATGTAAACCTTTTGCTACTAGAAACTGTGCCTCATTTGCTCACTATTAACATTCTAGTAGGTGTACTGCAACATTCAGTGTTAAGTACCCAGTTAGTGGAAAATAGTAAATTTTATTTGTTCCATATTCTGGAAGCAATTTGTTATTTGTCAGTTCCTTACTAGTGTTTGTTATTCCATACTTACTATATAGTATGGTTAACAACATAAAAGCTTAGCCCTAACTCAAATGATTATTTGACCTTTCCAAACTTTAATTTTCTTATCTGTAAATTTCCTCTCATCATGATGGCTCAAAGATTTATACTACTTAATTCAACAATTAAGCATTCACTACATAAATGACATCATTAATCTTACATGCTATTCAATTCCACATACAGATACAAAAAGATTTATTATAGCTAAATCTGAACAGATTTAGCTCAGTCTGTCCTTGTCAAAACAGACATTTAGCTTATAAATAAGGCAAAAGTCTGACCTTTACTAAACAAACAAACAAAAACTAGTACCATGCTATTAATAAGGCACTTTACTTTTGAATGATTTCAATAGATGTTAGAAGATGCAATATACTCACAATGGTTTGAACCATACTTTTTTTTGTTTTATTTTATTTTTTTGAGACAGGGTCTCACTATGTAGTTGAGACTGACCTGGAATTCACTATGCAGCCTAGGCTGGTGTCGAACTCACAGTGACCCTCCTGCCTCAGCCTCTTGAGTGCTGGGATTACAGGCATGCGCCACCACGCCCAGCTCTGAACTATACTATTTTAAAGAATTCAATCAATTCCAAAAGGAGTTATAGAATCTATCTAAACACAGAGCAGTCATGTTCCACTTAAAGACAGGACATGCTGATAAATCTTTTGTTAGGCAATTTTGTTGTGCAAGTTATCAGAGTGTATTTCCACAAATTCAGAAGACTATGGATGATAACTAGGCAATATAATATTATGGGACCACCATAAAATACATGCTCTATTGATCAAAATATCATTACATGACTGTATTTGCTTCTTTCAGAGGAATTTTTCAATACGAATTAAAAACCTAGAAACTGTTATGAAATTACTTCTTTTGATCACTGCTTAAACTAAAATTCATTCTTATAACAAATATTTCCAGGGTGTGTACTATTCAACAGGCATTGCCTTAAATGCTGAGGTGCCTAAATCCCTACTTATATCCTTGCTTTATATTTTAGTAGAAAAGATAAAAAATTATACAGTATAGTATACGTGAGGTTGGTAAAAGCTTTAAAAAGTTTGGCAATTATGGCATGAAGGGAATACTGTATAGGGGAAATGTATTTTTGTTTAACATAAACATTTAAGTTCCCCCAAATAATTACAATCATATAGGCAACTTATCAAAAATGAGATTTTTTTCTGAAATTCATCTTTATACATTGACATGTGATCACAAATTATTTGAATTTTTATTATTTGAATAGTTGATAATAGAAAATATTTACAGTATTAAGAATATTAAAGCTGATGGCAAGTACAGAACAAAAAACTTTAAAAACCTGAAATCCATTCCAATTAAACAGAGCAAACTGAATATGACTATTTAGCTTGATTCCTAAACTCCCAACTTTTAAAACAGAAAAGACCCCCCCCCAAAAAAAAAAAAACCTGACAAAGAATGGGAGAAGAGGCAGCAATGGAGCAATGGACAATTCTGGAAGCTGGGGAGCACATGAATGAATGGAATCCTTAACTGGAAGGAAGGAATGCTGAGAATACCTGAATTTACCTTGTGGATTACACAAAAAGCTTGAGAATTCAGATACTGTGTTCTGAAATGCTTCACTAAAGTAGGATTGTTTCAATGTTTAAGAAGTATGTAGGTTCTCCCAAAATACCTCCTCAATGCTGAGTAAGAAATAGCCCACCTCCACTCTAACAGAAAATTGGATATTTTTCCTTGGAGGAAAAAAGGGAAAATCAAAGTAAGTCAAAGTTCAAACCTTGAATGTGGACCCTGTAGTCTAGCTCCATATTTCAAATCCCAGAACATTGTGGGTAGCCAGATAGCCCCAGTAAAGTTATAAAGGACCCTTTCCCAAATACACTAAAGACAGGGAGGGAAAGAGAGGTGAAGAGTAAAAGAGAAGTAGAGAAGGGGATGAGTCTAAAGATAGGGGTTCCCTAACTAAAAAACCCATCAGCTCATCCTTACTAGATAATCAGATTGCCAAATTCATCAAAACTCAAGAGTTTCTGGTATTTCAATTTGGGGGGTGCCTCTGTCACAGCAGCAGAACCCATATATTAACTATCCATATAATAATCATTAGCTATCAAAGGATTCTATACAAATACAAGGATGATGATAAAAACATCGAAAAAACATCTGCCATATAGGCCAGAAAGCACAAAGCATTTCTTCAGTAAGATGAAACATAGTATGTTTAAAAGAATTGAGAGGACATTTACACAATTGGCAGCCAGTTTCAGGTTAAGCGCTGAGTACATAAAGACTAAACAAATGTAAACAAAGAATAACCAATTCTCAATGGGAGAAAATATGTAGGAAAGGAGAAATTATGACAAAATACTGCATGGCTCAGTACCAGCAGTTACTTATGGATAAAAATATAAACAATAAACATTAGCCTAGTCAAAATAATGACATTATTGGGAAATATATGTGCATGAGTGGGGAGTAAGGAAGTTTGACAAGATTAAGTCAGTAAAACAGCCTAAAAACAACTTAAACAAAATACTCAAAGTAGTTGAAGATAAATATTTAAAACAGCTAGGAAAGGAATTATGAAGTAACTGTTTCCAAGAACAGAAATTGAGCATGAGAAGAACAGGGCAGGAACTATCATTTTTCTTCCACATGTCTAATAGAATGTGGCCTACTTTTACCAAGTATATGTATAATTTGATAAAAAAATTAACCTTTAAAATCATATGTGAATAAAAAAATGGAGAAAGATTTAATAATAAACTATAAAATTAATAAATGTATGGAAAGGAAAAGCATTCAAATTGTATTAATTAAGTGGGAGGTGAAAGAGGGCAAATAAAAGAAGATGTGCTATGTACATTGACAAACTCCCCACAATAAATGTAATAATTATGTACTGCAAACAAGTACTAATAAAAATATAAAATAAAATTTGTAATACAAAAATAAATAAATGACCACAAGCTATCTTTTTTTGTTTGTGGAGGGAATGAGAAATAAAAATATTACAGAATTAATTTAGTGGCTGTATCACTAGGGAAAGTTACTGAAATTATTAAAATGTATCCTTGAAATGGGTGAATTTTATCATATAAAAATAGAGCACAATTTTTAAAAAGTTTATTAAGCCATACCTCTGCAGTAAATCTACTTGACATTGGTGTAATAAATCCAACTTTACCGTCATTAAACACAACAGCAAACCCATCAAGTGTGGCACAGTATTCCATGTCTTTGATGTGCACATCTGTAAAGCCCAGGAACGAACCTACTGATGAAAAAATAAGTACATAAAATAGTATTATTATGTTAGTTGTTCATACTTTTGGTTGCAAACCCTGAAGAGATAGTTAAAAGGGCAAAAATAATGACCTAACAACACCCTAAACAATTCAATTAAAATCAACCCACAGAAAACGTCTACCTAGATTGTATCAAACATTAAACAGCTGGTTCTACCTTATGTAGAAAGTATAACTACCTCTAGATGACTGCAGATCTACTGAAAAGGGTACTGTGCAAAGATTAATGGCTTTCCTTCCATTTGTCATTCCTTCCCAGTGAATGAGATGAAGAAGTCCATCAGAAGTAGCAACCAGGAGATCTTCCAGCACAGACTGCAAACTATAGGAAAATAAATAATTTAAACGAGCATACTGGGAAAGCAATATTTTAGAAAATATTCCTGCAGAAAGATCACAAAATATCCAGTTATCTGCAGTTTAGTTATGTAGCACCTTTAGTTATATAAAATTCAATCTAGAATCAGAAATTCTGGGATAAATGAATGGCTACCAGAGTTACAAACTTGATAAACTCAGTTAAAAACTAGAAATAGAGAAACAGTAAATTGGAAAATAGAAGCACAAGTGATAGATGACATGAAAAGAAAAGAGAAGATAAACCACTTTAAAAAATAAAACAAAATTAACGGCAGGCTGATAATTTGGAGCCAAGGAGTGTAGAGGTAACAATCTTCTAGCACTGTGCAAGAAAATTTTTCAAGAACAATAGAAATGTTCTATATCTACATTACTTGATAATAGCAGTCACTAAATCAATCACATGTAGTGACTGAAAACAAGAGCTCATAATCTTGACAATGAATAATGTTGAAAAAAAATGACCAGTTGTATCAATAAATAGCAAAATGTGATCCAGAGTCAAAAGTTCAATATAAATAGCAGACATTTCTGATTTCAGAATTAGTAGACCATGACTTTATAGCAGCTATTAAGTATTCCAAATGTGTATGTGTAGTTTTAAATTTAGAATCTTAACTGAATTTCTAAAGGTTTTAATATAGCTAGAAAAAAGTATGATGCATATATTACGCACTGCTATGTATACTTTAAAGTAGAACAGTATTTCTGGTTAGTCAAATTTTTATATGTCAATTATATAAATCACAAATTGACAATTACCCAAAATATAATTATATTTAATATTCAACTAATATTTTAAAAATATACTACATAGTGCTTTCTTAAGTGCCTAGGATGGAGGAAGATATGGAATAAACTTTGGTTATTTGAAAGTTAGAATGTCTCACAGTTTATAATTATTAAATTATAAATTTATCTCCTAAATGTTATCTATCTTCTATAACAAAATTTGGACACTTAATATTAATCTTTATATTTTCCTTAATCAAATATGAGATAACAGTATTCTTGTTGCTATAAGCAACAACATAACTATTATTCCTAACTTTACCTGTGTTACATCTGTGATGATAGGATGGGGGGAAAACAGTTGGTTATAAAGTCTTTCATACCTTTTTACTAAATTTAAAATTGTATAGGAAATATCCTACTTCAATTGAGGTGCTAATGACATTGCTCTGAAATGCAATTATTTTATTGTAATTTTGAGAGAAATGTTAAGACTTTTGTAACAACCTAAATCTGCAGAACCTAGCAACTGACAGGTTAATTTTGCACAAGGTGTCAGAATTTGTTTTTTAAACCTTTGGCAGTTCCTGGAATTGAACCCTAGGCTCCACGCATGCTAAGCATGGGATCTCACACTGAGCTACAGTCCTAACCTAGAAATTCTCTTTACAAGGCTATCGTATTTCCATACATCATACAATTTTTAGCCACAAGGTGGAGTACAGTCAAGTTTGTACAGTTTCACGTTGCTTGTTACCCACAGACACTCAAAGTTCCCCTGCATCATTATATTTTTGAAAAGGATTTCTATGTGGAAATAAAAATCTAAAGAAATCAGTGACTTTTTGGCCTATGATAATTATGTATAAAAAAGATGGACTAATCAAGGCAAAGATAATAGCTCACCACTTGCATACATTTTATGTAACAAATTCCACTGTCATTCTGTATAGTATTCTAACAAGAGAAATGGTGAGAGAAGCCTTTTATTAGAATTTTGAATCAGGAGTCTTTAAAAAGAGGGTAAAATTAATTTTACTGGTACATTTAATATATACCATATAATGGCATTCATTGCTGGAAATTTGAACCTTTACATAATCAACCTTGGTTCTTATTTTTCTCCCATTTCCCTGCCCTGCCCTCAACCTCTCCCTCCCTATCTACAAAGACTCTGAAGCTCAATATTTTTAAGTACAGAGTAAAAACTCTTCCTCTAAAACCTACCCATGGCTATTCAGTTCTCTTCTCTAGTTTAAAGTAATATTATACAAAACCTCGTTTGTTACCCTCAACATCGTATTTATAAAGTCTTTTTTAGTAAAGAACAACCTCATTGTTTTCACAGCTATATATTGTTTAAATAAATTTTCTTACATTTACACAATAGAAATAACATGAAGCTAAACTAAGCGACAACTAAAATGTCAACCATGAGGCAACTGAGGAAATAAAGCCAAATTATACGTATTTTTCTACCAATGGATATAAAGTAGAATTTTAATATTTTGGTATTTCTGGCTAGTCACAAAACTTTTATTCATACTTGAATTCCAAAGCTTAATGTTCTTCCAAACGTACATACACTTCCCAGAAACTTATGAAAGCACTGGAAACAAAAGCACTTTATCTTTCCTGAACTTGTATGACTTTTGCCTGTATCTTTTTGAAGACTATGGATTATGCTGTATCACTCAAACTATTTCTAGAACTTATCAAGATAAAATACAATTTCAAAATAAAATTACAGTGGCACACCCGAGCTTTATTATAACAATGAACCAACTATATATAAGGGTTTATTACAGATTTCTAAGCTAAATAGGTATCTTCAATTCCAAGAAGTGAAAGTAATTTTCCTACTGGTCATGTAAGTAATCAACTACATTGTCTACTGTCATTGCAAAATGCCAAATTTAACCAAAGCACTGTACCTCATGATGGGTGCCTGCAAATCCAATATTTTCCTCATCTCTAAATTTAATGCTGGAGCACACTGTTCTTCCTTAAAATGGGGTGTCCCCTTCATTTGTGGACTTCCTCTAAAAGAGACACAAGGTTAAAGAGAAAGATATTGAATTTGCACCCACTCCGTGGCTAAATAAACATAACCAAACTTAAAAATCAGGGGTTCAAACTTTACACTTTCAAATGAAAAACAGATTTAAATTCCATTATAGCAGAAAAGCCTGTTATCAAGCAGAAATAAGACTGACCAATGTAACTTGTGTTGGATGGGGGGGGCAGACTATGAAAAAAACCACTCAATATGGACACGAACTCTCAAGAGAACATTTGTTTAAAATGAGGGTCCTTTCTACGTTAGGAAACCATGACAGAAACGTATCATTCCAAACAGTGTATACTCCAAATGGTTTAAACTCTTATTTCATCTTACCTATTCCACACCTCATCCTTGATTCCTACACTAGGAAATATATATCAGATATTTAATTAGATGTTTCTCAAATTACCAGGTAATAAATACCAAAATGGCTAAATTTTAAAAACCCATGGTATTAAATGGCTATTCTATAGTGCTTAGATCAATCAATGCCAACATAAATGAACAGTCACACACATGCCTTAAAAGGACTAGAGAACTGTTTTTGGATTCTTATCACCACAGTTCGTTCACAGGAGCAGTCTACTAGATTACTATTCTTTCTCAATGCCTATTTTGGGACTTAAAAGCTGTCTACTGGCTTTGTGAAAAATTACACTGATGTTCAGAATTATATTCTTGCTCACGTTTTAGCTCCAGACTATTCTTCATATACAAGGTTGGGCTTAGCTTATTGTCATCCTGTCTTGCTACTGTAATGAACTAGAATATTTGAGTCTATGTATAAATTGCTAAACTAGTTGATATTTACACGGGTTCAGACACTACATTTCTAAGAACATGAGTAATTAATTTACACGAGTCACTTTTAAACTGCTAACCAGGGATTCTGGGGTGAATTTCCAAGATGTTCTCCAAGTATAACTGTTTTAATGTTAATTTGTAGTTTTCAAAGTGATACATACCAGAGTTTAAATTCAAACAGTACAGAAAGGTTTATGAAAAAGAAAACGAACACAAGTATTCTTTGGTGGAAACACAAGACATCTACCAAGTACAACAGATCACAATTAGAACAAGCCAACTCCTAAAGATAGCTTTGAGTCAAAATGGAGAAAATGAACAAAAACTAAGTTTCTGATGATATTGGTAAGTTGTTCTGTTCCTTTAAAATGCCTATCACAGATAAAACAGAAGCACTTAGTATTGAAATAGTACAGTGCTAAATCTGGAATTTGCTTTAAAATTGAGAAGTATGCCTAGAGGAAAGGGTGAGGTTGATCACTTTTGAATATATGTCCATGGATTATTTGTTTTATTATATCATTTTCTAGTATGTATCTGACAAATTCTCTAAGAAAAGTTCAAACCAGTATATTTTTCTTAGCATTTTAAAGGTTTTGCTGCATTGTCTGCAATGTTTTTTATATTCTCATGTGTGGCTAAGAAGGTCACTGACTTTTCTTTCTTTGCAATATTGAAGGTTGAACCCTGGCACCTCGTACATGCTAGGAAAGAACTCTACCACTGAGCTTTGTAGCACTAGTATGCAATGACATTCTTATTTGGATCTTTTTATCTCTACTGGGTTCTGAATTTTCAGAATGACGTAGGCTGTTTACGGGGAGGGGCTCATGCTCACCAGATACACTCTACTGCTGAACTACATTTCCCAGCCCCAGAATGATGTACTTTGTATACAAGTATGTGAATGCATATCAACTATTTGCACTGAGCAATTGACCTGTTCTATCTAGTAATGTCTTCAGGTCTGGGAAATTTACATGTTTTATTTCCTTAATATATTAATAAGGCTCTGCATTTCCTGTTATCTTTTTCTAGAATGCTGTTAGGTAAGATGCTGAAACTATTAGCCTCTAATTTTCACTTTTATTTTTGTCTTTTGTTCTGTATCCAGGGACAGTTCAATTGTTTCCAATGCTTTTAAAGAATCTCTTTCATTCGCTCTTCACTTTATCTGCCCCACTCCCACCCCAAGCAGCAGGGATGAAGCCCACAGCTTTGGCAATGAGTTCATCTCCAGCCCTTAAGTTTATTTTGGGACAAGTTCTTGCTAAATTGTCCAGGTCAGCTTTAAACTTGGAATCCTCTTCCTGTCCTACTTTCTTGAATACCAACATGCTCAGCCTCTGTATTTATTTCTATTGTACTTTTAACTTCTAAAACTTGTTTTAAGGCATCCTGTTTTATTAGACATTATCTGTCTGAAGTCATCAACTGTCACTTCCTGGAAATGTTTTTGTTTCTTGTATGTCTGTTACCTCTTTTTCTGTTATATGTGTCTTTTATTTTGGAAATGTTCTACAAATGGCTAACAGTCCTTGGTTGGTTGGTTGTTTTTAAAAGTTTGATACTAAAAACCTAACAATAATGCTGTCTCTGTGCAGATTAGCTGTACCAATTGGTAGACTTCAGGGTAATGGCCAGCTAGCTTTTTGGATGAAGTCTTCAAATATTGGTACCTGTTAAGCAGCTTTTTGGGAATGGTTTAGTTTCTTCAATCTGTCTAAGTTATCTAAGCATGAGAGACTGGATCCAAGCAGGGAAGGACTACTACTGTTCAGTATGACAAGTTTTCATTAATCTCCCTCTTAGCTGGGCAGCTGCTTCCTGCCCTGGATGTGTCTGGAATCCCTCTGCTTCAACCAGACAATGCATTTCCTGCCTCCTGTGAAGTGGAAACAAAGGGATTCTTGTTTCTTATTTAGACTTTTCAAGCAATCTCCTTACACCTTCTATCTCACTAATATATCGTGTAGTACTGATCTAATTCCTAAGCCTTTTTGGATTTGCAGGTACAATTAGGTCATTTTTATCAGTATCCTAGAGGTATTTATGCACTCGGGTTTTTTCTTCCTAAGTCATATACTATTTTTCAATTTTAGTTTATTAAGTTAGAGATACTTCTTTCACTAAAGATGGAACTATTATTTCAATTTTTTCTTTTGATTTCCAAGAAAGAATGAAAACCTCATTACTTAAGACTAGAAACATCGGGGCTGGGGATTTAGCTTAGCAGTTCGGTGGCCTGCCTCGCAAGCGCAAGGACCCAAGTTCAATCCCCGGTACAAAAAAAACCAAAAAAACAAAAAAACAAAAAACAAAAACTAGAAACTTCTATTTTTCTTTCTATAAATAATTTAAAGTACTATGGTAAAAATTATAAAGCAAATTTAAGTAAAACTTGATTTCTCATTGACTTCCATAAAAAATTAGAAAAATTTCCATATCATCTTCTAAACATACTAAACATACTGCAAACCTGAAATGTTACATTAACAAAGAAATTAATAAAAATATTATTATTTTTACTTCAACAATGAGGAAATTTGAAAATCAGAAGATGATTCTGGAAGATAAGCTAATTACAAAGGGCAATAAACACTAAAAATAGCATTAAACTGAGCACCGACTCAGAAACAGAATACAAAATGTTGAGCACACATTACCCCAACCAATTATTCTTTCTAGAACGTCTTATTATTCTAATATTTTCAGAGAAAAAAAAAGTGAAATTTAGAAACACTGAGAACTGTTTCTGATCACAAAACTAGTAAGTGAAGGACTTCAAGAAAAAAGTTGAAAGAATTTGTCACAAGTAGACAAGAAATGCTAAAGAGTGCTTACCTCAGCAGCAAATATACTAAAACTGGAATGACAAAATATTAGTATGGCTCTTTTGAGTGATTACATACAAATTTGTGAGGCATTCCATATTTCTGTAGCACAAAGTGCATGAAAAATTTGTTTGCAGGAATCATAGCAGAAAATTTTCCAAATACTTATGTATAAAGAATCTAATATACAGGTAAGCAAGGCATATAGAACTGTCAAAATCAGAAAAAGAACTTCTCCCTGATTCATAGTAGTCAAAATTCCTTAAGTCTAACACAAAGAATCTCAAAAGATGTTAGAAAAAAAACAAGAAAAATCTTATTAAGGTAAACCCATTAGAATTACACCAGACTTCTCAACATAAACCTTAACTGCCAGAAGAGCTTCCAGTGAAGTGTATCAAGCACTAGAAGAAAATAACTTTCAATTCAGACTAATGTATCCACAAAATTCTCTTTCAAAATTGAGGGGGGAAATAAGGTCTTTCCATAACAAAAATCACCTTAAGAAATTCATGACCAAACCAGCACTGCAAAAAATTTCAAGGATCTATCTCAGAAAGAGACACAGAAGCAAATGCCAAGAGTCTAGTGGAAACAATACACAAGGTAAGCAGTTATGCACAACAGAAAAAAATTTAAAAAGATCAGCAACAGGAAAATAATACAATGACTGGAATAAGCCAGCACATTTCAACAATAAATCTTGTGTTTTTTGTACTGGGGATCGAACTTGGGTCCTTGTGCTTGTGAAGCAGGCATTGGAACCACTAAGCTAAATCCCTGGCCCTCAATAACTCAATGTGAATGTTCTCAATTCCCCATTAAGTAGAGTCCTAGTACATGTGAATTACCAAAACTGTACCAATAAGATACAAAAACCCTGAACAATGCAATAACAAGCAATGAAACTGAGGAAATAATTTAAAACCTATCAATGACGAAAGGCCAAGAACCTGATGGATTGACCCCTGAATTCAATGAGAACTTCAAGGAAGTTCTAAGGTCAAGACTCCTCAAACTCTTTTTTGAAACTGGAAAGGGAAGGAGAACTGCCAAACTTATTTCTGGACACTAGCATTACCTTGGTTTCAAAATGTAACAAGATTCAACTGAAAAAAAAAAAATTGCTTTGACAAACACAGATGCAAAACTCCTCAATAAGATACAAATCAAAAAGATCACACCTTATAACCAAGTAGGCTTCATCTGAGGGATGCAATGATTAAATATATGCAAATCAACAATGTAATACATCACAAAAAGACTCCAGGACACAAATCACATGATCATCTCAATAGAAGCAGAAAAGGCCTTTCACAAAATCCAGCATCTATCCACG